TTCCCATCACTTTCGAATAGTTTTTCTGGATGAAGTTAGCATAGTCGAGGTCCATAGCTGAATTCTCATTCCATTCCATTCCATAATAATGATTCCATGATAATAATGATACATTATCATTTTTAAATCTTGAGAAATGGCGAGATAAGACCGCTTTTGAAAGAATACCCATGTTTAGCTTAAATTCACGGGTGAAGTGTATGATACCACGGCCTCACAAAAAGCATTGAAGCAAGCATCGAGTGAGTGAGGTTACCGTAGCCCAAAACTGATTCTGGGAGGACTCCAAGGGCGGTGTCGCACTGGGGATCTTCAGTTGCAGCTGTCAATGGGCGGCAGTGGTCACTTACTACAACTGGACCTGTCTGCTCGTTTGCCTTAATGTTGAAAGTGATAACAGCATTGTCTAATTGTGTTTTGTATTTTTCTAGAATGATCAAAGGATGGCCCAACACGTACACCTTCACTAAAGCAATAGCTGAAGAAGTGGTCAGATTGAATTGTGGGGATATACCCGTTTGTGTCGTCAGACCACCAGTTGGTAAATACATGTTCTGTTTAGTATAAATGTAATGCTTGTTAATCAGTGACCCACTTTTCATAATTTTTTGCCCCCACGGTGACCTTCAGTAGTATTTCACGTAGTATATTCATAAATATAGTAGTGCACCGTTTTTTTGCGAACTGAAAATTTACATACAATGCTTGCCATATATCATATCGAGTAGGTATGTGACGAAAACCTAAGCACTCCTTCGGCCCCTGTGGTCAAGAGAGGTCTCTGAATGCCGGGAGAGGTCTGAATGGGTCATTGGACGTCCTTTAATAAGAGCCAAAAAATGAATTATAGCCCTGAGCTAAATTACAGTTAGAGGTCAAGAGGAAGCCTCGAGGTGTAGAAATCGATGGGGGTTTAGTGGAAACAGCGAATACTCCTTGCTCCTGCATACCCAAGGAGCCAGCCATCTAAAAAGAATGTTATACGCCATCAACCAAAGAAAACCTGTATTTTTTCCATCTCTTTCGAACTTTCGAGTTACCGCATCCCTTGCAATGTTTACGTGTAAAGGATGATCTGATGAAAGGTACTTCACCGCATAAAATATAAACAAACTTCTTGAAATATCGTGTATCTTTAAGCTAAATAGTCATACACACTAAATAATAATGACATTGTTTTTTTTTTTACAGTTGTACCAGCATATTGTGAGCCTTCTCCGGGGTGGTCAGATCTAAGCGTTATGTATGGACCTTCTGGTGTAAGTATACTCAATCACAGACACATTGTTTTGAAGATTCGATAGATCAGATTATATAGATAGTTATACACATTCTTCAAGAAAAGAGCGTACTCCTTCCTAAAAAGCCGGCAACGCGTTTGTGACTCTTGAGTTGCAGACTTTCACGTGCGGCGATAGTCACTTTCCATCACGTGACCCGTCTGCTCGTCCCTCTAACATAAAAAAAATAAAAATAAGATGCCTGCTGGACGAGAGTGACGCCACCAGTGATGATGGTGTTAAGTAATAGGGAATATGCACGTGACACCAAAATGGACAAAATATTATTTTTATTGCTAAAAAAAAGATACCCATACAATTATTTTTGAAATTTATTATAATTTAATAGTCAAATTTAATTATCAAAAATTGGCTTTTTTAAGATTCCCTCGCAAATTTCTAAAACGCAACGCGATTGGTTGAATAAAACGTGACGTCAACCTACACTGTCAAGAGTGTCAACAAGTTGTGTGTATTTGTAAAATTTGGTTTCTGGTGATTATTTGTTTCATTTTAAGTTAATAACTAATACGTTTTCAGTGTTAAATTATTAAATTCCCGTGTAGAAAGACTCAACACAATGACTGAATATACTTTGTCAGGTGCAGTTTTGATATTATTTGGGCACAAAGGAACGGCACAATATTTATAATAAGTCTTTATTGGCTTTACGGTTTATATTTCGGATGTGTTATATATTGATGTATATTTATTTTTGGTGATGTTATAACTAGTAGAATCGTTTAAAAAAATAAAAAAAAAATACATGCATATTCCCTATTATCGTTGCTTTCAAGGAGTTAGTCAGGTTACAGAAACACAAACCCTTCCTCCTCTCCCTATTTCTTGGGTGACTCAAAAGCACTTGTGACTGTTTAAACGGAAGTGTAATTAGAAGGTTATTCGAGAATCTATGATTTGTTCTTTTTTAGATAATGATCGGTGTTGGACTCGGCGTTCTACACGTGTTCCCCGTTGAAACGGACAAAAAACTAAATATGGTGCCCGTGGACTATGTAAACAACGCAATCATTGCTGCCACGTGGGACACGTGCGAAAGACGAAAACATGGTGCCCTCAAAGAAATTCCGATATACACTGTTAGTTCTACAAAACGAGGCATTGTGTGGGGTGAGTATTTTGGAACTAAACCTTTAACTTTGATTAGTAAATATGAGTAAATTTGAAAGTTTCCTGATAATATAACAACATATATAGCCGACCCACGCAACTTCGTCGGCATCTCAAAAAGGAATAAATTTTCCCCGTTTTTGCAATATTTTTCATTGGTGCTCGGGTCCTATTAGTCGCAGCGTGATGTTATATACCCTATAGCTATCTAATGAGCTATCCAACGATAAGAAAGAGTTTTTCAGTTCGAACCAGTAGTTTCTAAGATTATTGCGTTTAACAACGTTCAACTCTCTAATTTTATAATATATATATCTTCACATCATCAACAGCCTTTACGACTAGTAAAGACCCCTGCTGGGTCCGGACTTACTCACCATTCACCAGAGTATTAACACTACTCAGAAAAGTTATCATCATCATCAACAACCGCCTCTAATAGTCCACTGCTGAACATACCCCTCTCCTTTGAAAGGAGGCTTTGGCCTACTATACCATGCTGGCCATACGGGTTGGTACAGGATTTGTTTCAGGTCTAAGAGGGGTCCGGATGTCTTAATAACAGTAGTTCCCGGATCCCTCCTTTTACAGATGCAGAGTGGCACACCGTGTGGTTTTAGTCGTTCCGATTCTGAAACACCACCCTGCCGCGAACTGCCGAAGGGGTTTCCGTACGTAAAAACAAAAACGGTTTGTTTCAGTTTTTTTATTTATGCAGTGCTCTTTGCCTGCGTAGTTTGCTCCCTTAATCGGCTCCTACGACATCCCTATTCATCCCGTGGGATGCAATGTATTCTTAATCAGTGGACTTCTAAAGGCTGTTGATTATGATGATGATGATTTTTGATCATTTCAATTTCTATTTTTTTTTCTTTCTAGACTTCATGGCAGCAATTATGCGAAGTAAGGACTGCAAAAGGCTCAGTTCCCCACTCGCTGTTTGGTATTGTTATTTAATTGAGGTGACCAATCCTGTCTTATACTGGCTGATGACCTGGATCCTACATTATATACCTGCTTATATGGCCGACATGGTGTGCGCAATTCTCGGAATTAAAATCAAAGAAATTCCGTCGTGAGTATTTGTTATTCTTCAAATATCTTTAAATATTTCATTTACACTTTTAAATTTGGTACAAAATTAAGACCCTGGACGAGTTATACTTCGGCATGAATAGACCGGCTCAACTGGAGTGATAAGGGCCTCACAGAAAATGGATATATATATATACATATATAAAAATAAAAATTGCGCAGCGGTATTGGGTCCTACCACAAGAATAAAGACCCTAACCTAATTTTTTTTTCTGTACGGAAATTGTTGCAGTCGATTTATAATGATTTTCATATCATTTCAGATTCAGACGATTCTATCACAAAGTCTACAAGATGTCAAAATTGTTCTGCTATTTCTTCAACAACGATTGGTATTTTAGCGACCAAAATCTCACCGACATGATATGCAGAATGTCGGGTAAAGATAGGGCAATATTCAATTGTGACATATTTACTATTGATTATGGTCAATTTATTAAAGTTATGGTCTTAGGCCTTAGAAAATATGTAGTTAAAGATGGTTTGAGGGACTCCGAAAAGGCATATCAGAGGCAAAAATGGTTATACGTGGCGAATATTATATTTATAACTTTGTTAGTGTATATTTTATATGCAATTTTGTATTTCTGCTATTCGTGGATTAAATGTGTAGTTTTTTAAAGTATTTCTTGTTTTTATTTAACATCAACCTTTATCATGCTCTTATTTCCTTTTCTATACATATTTATAATACAGAGTGTCAGCACCCCTAAAAAAGTCGTGTCGTAAAAGCCGACTAAGAGAACAAACTACGCAGGACAACAGCACTGCAAAGATAAGGAAAACTTGACACAGACCCTATACCAACCCGTCTGGCCAGCGTGGTGTAGCAGGCCAAAACTTCCTTTCTAAGGAGAGGCCTATATCCAGCCGTGGAATATTAAAGGCTGTTGATGATGATGATGATGATACATACTTATTACTTGCTCTGGCTGGCTGATTCATAAACCAGAGCCTAAACCGCTGGGGCTACAAACTTGAAATTTTGGCAGCTTATGCTTTTTATGTTGTAAGCACCCACTAAAACGGATTTTTGGAAATTTCGCCGCCAAGGGGGTAAAATAAGGGATAAACCCTTGTTTGTAAGTTCGTGATTTTCCATGTAAGTAACACGAAATAATCACATGAGCTAAGCGGTGGACAATAGCTAGCCAATAAATCTAGCCAGCTGATGGCCCTGTACCAGTGGCCTCTCAGATAATTCTGGTTGCTTCAAGCTCACTGCAGTCTCGATTCCGATTTCGGCCTGAGGCTTGTGATACCGTAGCTCTCTCACCGACAAATTTATCTTTCACACACTTTATTCCATTGGAAAATTATTTCATTCCCAAGGAGGCGTCAGGCAAGAGACCAGCCGCTAGACACATCCACCGTAATGAAAGGAAAGGTACATGAATAATGATACAACATGTCACATATACATATATACTCTCACGTTTTTATCGCACGGAGTTTAAAAGACAAAAACTTTTAGCTTCTATTAATTTAATAGTTTTATGATTTTAGTACATTTACTCTTATATCAGCATTACTACATAGAGATTTATCGAAAAAATCGAGTAATGCCTTTGATAATCTTATTCGTCTTAATGTCGGATTTTTTAAGGTTTCTTCAGTATCTTCGAAGTCAATATTCAACAAAGTCAGTTCTATTAATTTATGGTTTGTAGCATTAGGCAATACCCAGTGTTGGGGCAATGTAATATTATATGCCAAATCATTGTTCCTACGTCTGTATTCAATGCAGGGGCCATCTCGTCTAACTGTCACATTAAATCTCGTGCAATGCATCACACAAGCATTGGAGTACGATACACCATTAGTAGCACATACTGGAAAATATACTCTGGGACACTTGCACATTCCTTCTGGATGCTCCTTCATGGCGTCTAGATCCAACAGTTTATCATTGTTATTCATAATTTCGTCCGGCTGTGTCACATTTAACATGTTAAACATTTGTCGTAACTCAGGCAGTTCGTAAGTGGTTTTTGCCGACGCCGTGTTTTCAAAATCTGAAAGAAGTATTTCATGAAGGTTATTCGACGTAAACAAAATAAAATTCTGAATAGAATCTGAAGGTGTTTTATCGCCGCCAATAGCCACCTGCAACTCATAAGACACAAACACGTTCCCGCTTTTTGAATGCTCAAGCTCCCATAATTATCTACCGGAAACCTCACTCAATCAAATGCAATGAAAATATTACTTAATACCGTTTTCTGTGAGGTCATGTTATCACTCGATCGAACCGGCCAGACTGATAGAATACTTGTTACATCAGAGTACCCCAGATACGGGGTTCAGTGTTACAATCGACTGATCCGAATAAATAACAATTTTAATTAGTAATTGCTAATAAACCTAATGTAGAAATAATTTTTGGAACGAAGTTCCTTAGAACTTCGTTCCAAAAATTATTTCTTTCACAACGCGCGATAAGTCGCGCGTTGTGAAAGGGGGCTAGACGGAAAAAAATCCCACGAAAAGTTGTAACGACACTTTTATGTCAGTCATTCAGCGCCATCTATCGAATATATAGGAAATCATTTCTCAAGGAGATTTTACCAATGTATAAATTGTTTTAATTAGAAACCAACTGAAAAATATGTAGGTAATAGCCGCTTTCATAGATGGCGTTGTAATTAAAATCGTGTCGAATCAGTTTTACTCGATCGTCACAACTTCGTTCCTATCGGGTGTCCCACGACACCATACGGTTTTTTTTAGTACCTAAAGAGAAACTGTTGTAGTTTATTTCCACACCAGTCAGAATGCAATTATATAAATATTTTCATCTTTTGTTTTTTTTGTAACACTGTACCCCACCTTACCCTAAAACTTACGATACCATGTCTGTTGAGATAATACATGAAACCCCCTACAGGGTATGATATGTCCACAAACTTCCAGTTTCTGCAGTCACCTCCTGGATGGAAACAGAATTTATTATATATATATATAAGAACTAGCGATCCGCCCCGGCTTTGCACGGGTACAATGTAGATACTACTAATACTAGTAGTATGGTATCAGTGTGGAGTAATTATTTATACGAGTACTAATATTATGCAATATTTATAAGCCCGCTCCGATCCTGTTAGCCGCTGACACCCAGGACGGACATACGGCCCAACGCGGCAGCGCGCAACTACCGCTTTGCCCCGCATTTAAACCTCTAATACCTTTTAAAATATTCATTTTAATGATATGCTGTAAAGAACAATTTTATCTACATTAAATGCATAACGTCTCTAACTTATTAAATTGGATAAGGAATAATATTGTATTATTTAAACATCATCACATCATCAACAGCCTTTAACAGTCCACTGCTGGACATAGGCCTCTCCTTAAAAAGGAGGTTTTGGCCTACTATACCACGCTGGCCAGACGGGTTGGTATAGGGTTTGTGTCAAGTTTTCCTTCTCTTTGCAGTGCTGTTCTCCTGCGTAGTTTGCTCCCTTAGTCGGCTCTTACGACACCCACGGGATGAATAGGGGTCCGTGTGGTGACGGATTAAGAATACGAAGTGTCACCACCCCTATTCATTATTTAAAATAGCTTCGTAAATAACCCATTATTTTTTTATAACATTTAAAAGATAACAATGGTTACTACTGGTTATCCTTAGGAGATAGACATACATATACTCGTACCATTGCTTACTTTTTTGTAGATCATTTTGAGATATACAATTCCGTTGTACATTATTTTGGTCTTTCTCGTAAGGATTAACCAGCGTCTGTAATGTTTTATGAAAAATCTTTAAAATTCTCGGATTTCCTCTACTATAATATGCATGTATGTGTATGTGTACATATCCCCGCATCTTGAATCACTCCCTCTATTGATAAAAACCGCATTAAAATCCGTTGCGTAGTTTGAAAGATCTAAGCGTACAAGAAAAAAAAGCGAATTCATTTTATACTACATGAAGAAAATACTCACCTTTTTTAACAATTAATATTGTTAACATAACTATACGTATGATAGCCATGATTTTAAGTTACTTACAACTGTATGAAACGATAAGCTGAAAATGTTAAGGTATTCTTAATTACGAAAGGTTAATTACACACTTTATTGCTCACTAGCTGACCCGCGCAACTTCGTCTGCGTCTCTCAATAGTAATAAATTTTCTACGTTTTTTAAACATTCTTCATTGGTGCTCCGCTCCTATTGGTCTTAGCGTGATGATATATAGCCTATAGCCTTCCTCGATAAATGGGCTATCTAACACTGAAAGAATTTTTCAAATCGGACCAGTAGTTCCTGAGATTAGCGCGTTCAAACAAACAAACAAACTCTTCAGCTTTATAATATTAATTAGTAATTAGTAATATTAGTAATTAGTATAGATTAAACTAACTAGACGATAAATAGCTACTGATATATGAATGTAGGAAAATAATGATTTCTTACGTAGGAAAGCGGAGTTATACCGGAACGGAATTATACCACGGCCTCACAGAAAACCGGTGTTAAACATTTCTTTCATTGCTATTTTCTGAAACACGGCGTACAACCCTCAACAACATTAAAGGTTTTTTTTGTACATAGGTTGTTAGGTTGATAAGTAACATCAACCTATGTACATATTACAGACGCATGGTTGGATTATAGAGATAATATATAAATTGAGTAGGAAAGCTGGCTGTAGGCGCGTAACAGAATTAGAGAGAGAAAAAAGATTATGCGGGTCTTGCATCTCTTTCTTCACTCTACACTGATTGGCTGCCAGTCCCCTACACAATATTTTTTCTCTCTCTAACGCTGTTACGGTTCCACTTACAGGCCAACATACGGCCTTCTCTAGTTATATATTATCTCAACTTCAACTTCAACTTTTGGTTAATGGCTTTGTGGTAGAGTGTAACCACAATTTCGCCAATGTCATGTATTTGAAAGACAAACTGTCAAAGGATTTTATGTAGAGCTGTGGTAGAGCCAAAAAAAATTTTGAGAATGAAAGAATAAGAATGAATAAATTGTTATCTTTTACAGGCATGATAAAACTTAAACTAGTAAAATATATATACAGCTAATAATATATATACATATACAAAGTAAATATATATATTATCTCTATGGGTAGGATACGGGGCATATGACCTGTTATGTCAATTTGGTATGAAAGAATGAAAATTAAAAAATGCTGCCTTGTTAATGTGTATACTAAACCTTAGTTGGTTTTTATTTTATTTGTATATGTTATTCTTTTACTTTTATTTTTTAACCCCCGACACAAAAACGTGTTATGTTTGACGTGTCTATGTGTGTGTGTGTGTGTGTGTCTGTCTGTAGCATCGTAGCTCCCGAACGGATAAACAGATTTTGATTTTGTTTTTTTGTATTACAGGTGAATTACTCAGGAGTGCTCTAAGCTATGTTTGATGAAAATCGGTCCAAAATGGCCGCCGCCACAAAATGGCGGATTATACATTTTTTCACAACTCCCTCAATATGGGTATTAAATGAAAGGGCTTGACTAGTAGAATACACTATGACAAATTTCAAATCCAAGATGTGTGTCGGGTTTTTTTAATTTTTTGGTATGATGGTTTGTTTTTCTGGAATTGTGGTTGAAAAGTTGAGGAGCAGCAGGTTATTTTGGTATGGACCTGTGATGTTGGAAATGAGCGCACTGGCGTAAAATATTATTGGAAGAAGAATTGTGTAGAAAAGGGAGTAAGCATAAAATGGTAAGTGTGTCACCACCCCTTTATTTACTTTTTGGATGACGGGGTGGAAATTCCTGTCGAATCTTCTGCTCCTCGGGGATTTAGAAGCCACGAGTATGTAGTGATTCTACTAAAAACCACCCCGACGGCCAGCCTCAGACACCCTTCTCTGGGAGCTGGACCCAGACCATGTCATTTCAGGTCCCACCCGAATCGACACCATGCCCTTCCCCGATCAATCACGGCGTAGCGGCCGGTTGTGTCTTAATGCGATCAGACAGCTATCCCATCGCCTACCGCAGCTATTAATCTCCCACCAGAGGTCCCCACCCTCTTGCGGCCCGTAGTACTGGCTCATAACGCCGCCGACGTCTTCTTCGCTCTGGATCTCGGTCTCTTTAGAAGAGGCCACTACGCCCCAGACCCCCTCACCCGCCCGCATGACAATAGAAGTTACTGGCAGCGACAGGTCTCTTCCAAATTGGTCAACCAGGACTTCGCGTTCAGACGCCCACGTTTGAGCGTTTGCTAGGCGGAGTCCCAGTCGGCTGCGCAGTGCTGGCATTGTGCCGTCTCCTTTTAGTTCAATCCAATTCAGGTACTCACCGAAGCAGTCATGCCCAGTGAGTAACTGCGTCAGTCGGTGGGTGACGCGGTTTAAGGTTAGGCAAAACGACATTCTTCGCCGTCCCGACCCATACCTATACGATATGGATCCGTAGCGGAGATAAACCGCGATGATGTCTCGCACCTAGGGGCGCAACTAGTGATACACCAGTGCCTCCCTAATCGCCCACCACGAGAGGGAATTAAAGGCTTTGACTATGTCAAGACTGACAGCCAACGCCACTCCTGCCTAACCAGGCGTAAGGAAATCCTTGGTACGCCGACTCGAAATTTCACCCCTAAGGGGCTAAAATAAAGGATGAACTAAGCACGTGAGCGAAGCGAAGATGCAATGGCTTCTGAGTATGGGTGTTCTCTGTGTCCGTTTCATGTATGTTTGTAAAGCGCTACACAGGATGTATTCCAAATGCGGGAGCTGTCTTTGAAAAGAAAGAAATAGGCATCCAGGCTAACAGCCGCCTTATCTTTTTGTATTATATTTGTGTGTAGGCATGGTTTTTTTTAATTGATATTAATGGCATTAATATTGTCTATGAACATATCTAAGTAGTGATTTATCACAGGTGAAATCACAGTGACCAAAATTAATCATTTAATCAAATGAATATGATTTAAAAGTAGCGATAATTTAAGAAAAATCGTGATTATAAACTCAAAATAATACAAACAAAACTAGAAGGTCAATTCTCGTAATAAAAATTCTTACGAAAATCTGTTGCCGATCTATTCTCGATCTCAGAAATGTCATAAAACATATTACGTACATAAAACGTACAAGTGGGAGAGCCATGCTTCGGCACGAATGGGCCGCCTCGACCGGAGTGATATGCTCCCTCCTATTTTTAAGTAAATAATAATATGTCCGTACCAATGAATTTACATTACCTCAACAGCTCGAAATGAGTCCAAAACAAATCTCCAGGGTCGGATGGTACTTTCTCTCTGAAAATAAAAAGGTAAATTTTTAGAGGATAATAAATTATAATAACTTACACATGGACACTGTGGGAGATTATTTATCCGTTATCATTATCCGTGGCAGAGCCATGCTTCGACCGGCTCGACCGGAGTGTTACCACGACCTCACAGAAAACCGGTGTTAAGTAATTCTTTCGTTACCTTTCCCCAAGTGAGTGGTTACCGGAAAAAAGGGCGGCAACACACTTGTGACTTTTGAGTTGCTGATGTCCATGGGTGGCGGTAGTTGCTCACCATCAGGTGACCCATCTGCTCGTTTGACCCTTTATAACATAAAAGAAAAAAAAACTCGTAGTAAAATATTAAACGTCCAACAACGTTGACTGTAATGTGATTATATCGTATTGTGACCAAAATATGAATCGGTATTCTTCTAGTGTTAGTCACACTTTACTACGAGAATACCTTTTATGTCATTTGTGACATCGAAAGTAGGTCAGAACTGAAATATTTTTTATTATGAAACTACGTAATGAGGGTTTTCTGAAATGTTCCACGTGAGATGGCAGCACTGTAGCGTCAGGTCCAACCACCTGTCAAAACACATACACGATTTGTATTTTTCGATCATTTTTTTTGGTTTATTCATTCTTAAAAATGTTATAAAAGGAATATTGTTTTGTAAAATGCCACAGTGTTGTGCAGTGCCTATGTGTGCAAATAAAACATTTGCGCCTCTCTTTTTGAGCTCAATCTTCAGTTCGGCAACCTTTCTCTGGCCGTAATCTATAATAAACTCAATAACACTTCCAAATTCATAGAATTTCACTAAAAAATTATACGTTCGGTAAGTATCTGTGCTATCTGACAGCTGCTTGGACCTGACGCATACGAAGCGCCGTCTGGTGGCAGAAAAAATATCGAAAACCCTCATTGCTTTTACAACTGAGAACACACATGAGATTTGGTTGGTGTTTTTTATTGAGCAGAAAATTATCTGCAATTCAAACGTATGTATTATATGATTTTTTATAATGTTTTGAGGGTAGATGGGTTACCTGATAGTGATTAATACTGACTCAAGTCCGTTTGATCTTCCCTTCTCCTCCCTTTAATCTATACTAATATTATAAAGCTGAAGAGTTTGTTTGTTTATTTGCTTGTTTGTTTGTTTGTTTGAACGCGCTAATCTCAGGAACTACTGGTCCGATTTGAAAAATTCTTTCAGTGTTAGATAGCCCATTTATCGAGGAAGGCTATATATCATCACGCTAAGACCAATAGGAGCGGAGCAAAAATGAAGAATGTTTCAAAAACGGAGAAAATTTATTACTATTGAGAGACGCAGACGAAGTTGCGCGGGTCAGCTAGTTCTGGAGATAAAGGCAAAGAAAGGTAGCAACGCACTTGTCTCTTAATTTGCAAGTGTATAGTTGCGACGATGGTCATTTGCCTCCAAGTGGAGTTGCCGCCTGTTCCATATAAAAGCCAGTATCCGACCCGATGGTAAAATTATTCCGGATAAACCAATATCTCTAGTTTTTTTTTTTATATATACTAGTAGTCCACTGCTGGACATAGGCCTCTCCTTAGAAAGGAGGTTTTGGGCTGCTATACCACGTTGGCCAGACGGGTTGCTATAGGATTTTTGTAACATTTTCCTCCTCTTTGCAGTGCTATTGTCCTACGTAGTTTGCTCCCCTAGCTGGCTCTTAAAACACCACGGGATGAATAGGGTTGGTGACACTCCGTATTCTTAATCAAAATAAATACAAATAACTGTAAACGATAAAAATAAACTTTATTTGTACAAAATATCTTACAGCTAGTATTTACATATCACTTGACTTATAAATATACCACAGTAACAACATTCTCACTACCAGAACATTAGTATACAATTACATTCACTTAACATAACTTTTAACACTTATAACACTTAAATTTAACAAACAAAAGTGTGTGTCAGCTCCGACGCAAGACTGGACTTTACTCCTCAAGAACGATTTGGCTGCACACAAGTATACAAGTTATACACACACACATTTGAAAGATGCGCACATAAAACGTACCGAGGTCATTCGATCACAAAATTTTACTCATCATATTTTTTTCATACCGGGAGCGCCTTACTTGAAAATCGATTCTTAACGAGTAAACTCCAAAAACTTAGAAATTTAAACATTAACGCCAAAATAATAACGAGACATTTTCACCAGTTTTTTTTCTGTCTGTCTATTCGTTATGGATTTCTTCAAAACAGCTGGACCGGTTTTGATAATATTTTACTACCTTAAGTCCAATTCGCGTGATAAAAGTTCGGTCTCAAATCAGTGCCGATCAACTTTTGATCTCACAATTGTCATAAAAGGTATTTTCGTAGTATAAGTATTAAACATCCAACGTAATGTGATTATATCGTATTGTAACCGAAAATTGAATCGGTAATCTGCTAGTGTTAGTAATACTTTACTATTTTACTACGAAAATACCTTTTATGACAGTTGTGAGATCGAAAGTTGATCGGAGCTGAATTGAGACTGAACTTTTATTACGAGAATTGGCCATCAGATAGCTGTCTATATAAGGAGTAACTTAGGCTATTTTTCCTCTGAGAAAAATCCTATAAAATTTTGCCCGGTCAAGGAACCGAACCCGAGACCTCATGGACTGCAGTCGCGTACCGTACTACACCACTAAGGCAACGTTTTTCAAAAACCACGCGAACGAAGTACCAGCTAGTCTATATATAAATATCTTTTGTCATGGTGTTTTTGGTCGCACTCCTAGGATACGGCTGTACCAATATATTTGGTGGGTATGCAAATACCCCCACTTGCCGGGACAACTAAGAAGTGTCATAATTTTTTAGTCCTAAACGTTAATTGTTGTTTCAAGGTTACTCACATATGCAATAACTAAAATAAAAATTTGAGATCGGTATGTGTATACGCGAATTTAAATTCTGCAGTTCACAGATGTGTGATCTCACATTGATTGCGTTGATATTTCTAAATAACAATTATACAACAACAATAAATACCACGTAGTTCAGCTTGTCACCGCTAGATGGCGTTGTACGATATTTTTTCGATTATTTTTCACATATACTATTTTCTTATACCTATCCCGACACAAATTTGTACTCCGGGTTGGACGACTCGTGAACTTCTTTGACCAGCTCAGCCAACTCACCGGCGCCATAGCCCAGCAGTTGTCTCAGATCACATACGAACTTATACACAAATCTGTAATCAAAAATAAATGATGTGAGCCGGGAATCGAACCTCTGTACGGCAGTCGCATACGAAACCACCGCACCAGCGAGGCAGTCATTATCAATGTATATATTTTGACGACCGGATGGCGTAGTGGTTTGTGTAACGGACTGCTATTCCAAAGGTCGCGGGTTCGATTCCCGCTCAAGTCAAACATTTCTGTACATGAACATTTAATGTTTGATCTGGTCTGGGTGTTTCTATGTATAATATGTATGTATTTACAAAAAAAAAGTATATATGTATTCATATCAGTCGTTTAGTACCCATAGTACAAGCTCTGCTTAGTTTGGGACTAGATGGGGTTGTGTGAATGTGGTAGAATATTATTATTAATAGCATTAAATGACGGGCCTGTTGGTCTAGTGGTTAGTGACCCTGACTGCTAAGCCGGAGGTCGTGGGTTCGATTCCCACCCAGGACAAATATTGTGTGATGAGCACGGTCATTTGTTCTGTGTCTGGGTGTAATTTATCTATAATATGTATGTATTTAAAAATATATAAGTATGTTTATCAGCGGTCTGGTTACCATAGTACAGGCTCTGCCTAGTATGGGATCAGACGGCCGTGTGTGAGATGTGTGAGATATATTATTATATTATATATATATATTAAATGAGGGCTGCGTGAGTACCTCTTGCCCGCGACCTTGGCGATCATGTCCCCGTCGTAGTAGTACCGCAGCGCGCGCGAGAGCTTCTCGTAGTTCATGGCCGGCTTGTGCTTGCGCGCGCCCCACAGCCGCGCCACGCGCTCCGGCTCCAGCAGCTTGAACTCGCCCTCGCCGCCTGAGGACCAGCCGCACACATTTTAATTGTTGCATGTAATAGACAGTGTCTGTCAATTGTAACCACGCTACAGCTGATTGATTGATTAACTGAATGTATTCCAAATGTTAGAGACCCTGATACCCATAACACAAGTTAAATCTTACTTTGGGTATCAGTGTCACAACATACTGCTTACCGTGTAATATTGTGATCCTATTTAGTTTTAATTGTAAGTGGTTTATTGTACAACTTAATGCAAATAAAGATATTATTAAAAAAAAAAAAATTACATCAACTACCACCGCTCCTCGCTCCTGGACATGAGTCGTCGATGTCTCACTCGAGTGTCCCGTTCCCGTTGTTGATCATCCTGAACCGTCTGTATGGACGGGCCGTCTCAATACTATGGTCCTTTCCTCAAAAGACCAACCCGGACTCTTTACTGCACTCACATAGCTCTCTTTAACGTTGTACGTGTTGTAACGTTGTTACTGCCCAAAGCGAGTCTTAGAAAATACCAGCGTCTTCTAGCTGTAAAGTCCGACTTGTAAAAATATCCAAAAAGATTTAATCAGAAATGTTATCATCATCATCGACAGCTTTTAATAGTCCACTGCTGGACATAATCCTCTTCTAAGACAGGAGGTTTTGGCCTACTATACCACGCTGGCCAGACGGGTTGGTATAGGGTTTGATCAAAATGTTACTTCTCTTTGCAGTCCTGCATAGTTTGTTCCCTTAGTCCCTCCCTCACCCACGGGATGAATAGGGGTGGTGACAATCTTTATTCCTAATCCATCACCACACGAAATGAAAAAAACATACCATGCCACCGTATAATGTGGAAGTACTCTGCACTGGTGAGCAGCTCCAACAGGAACTGCCACAACTGGATCTGTCCGTTGTTGCCGTTGCGTGACGTCACGTATGACGTCATATCCTCCTCGTTCGGCGGCCGCACAACTATCTACAAACACATTAATATATAAATTAAACCTTAACCTTTCTGTAATAAAAATGGGACTACATGTACATTATTATTTAGACGAAATGATATATGTTTTATTTGTATAACCAATCGCAGCTTAGCTAAACAGAGACAGAGGGAAATTTAGGGCATTGGTGCGGACGATGCCTCGTCAAATGGTATAAATGAGAAAGTGGACTGTATTAGCTGTATGTTTATAATAATAATAATAATAATATTCTACCACATTGACACAACGCCATCTAGTCCCAAACTAAGCAGAGCTTGTACTATGGGTAACTAGACAACTGATATAAATACATATATACTTTTTTTTTGTAAATACATACATATTATACATAGAAACACCCAGACCAAATCAAACATTAAATGTTCATGCACACAAATGCTTGACTTGAGCGGGAATCGAACCCGCGACCTTTGGAATAGCAGTCCGTTACACAAACCACTACGCCATTCGGTCGTCATTATACGGTCGTCATATATATCATATGGTTTACAATACAATGTATAAATTATACTATTGCGCCATAGGATTGAGTGGTTCTTTTTCTCCAGACACACTGGAGGACAGCGCCATCTAGTATCTTGTAGGGCACAACACTACGCATTGAGATTATGTTTCTTAATTCCGATACTTGCTTGTAATGCCATCTAGTGGCGAATATCGAGAGGTTATAGAAATTTGTAGATGCCTTAGTGTACGTGGTTCTGTTTCGAACATTCCTTCGAATATTCGGGATTAGTCTAGTAATATATAGCTCGATAGCACTATAAAAGCGGAGTGTGTTGGCCGTACGGGACAGTATCGTTTTACGACATAGATAGTTAACATCGAAGTGAATTTCTAGTGCGACTAACGAGTTATATAGTGATTACTTAATTACAGTGCAGTAAAAGTAATTAAACGACGACAACTTTTATTTTTTGCAATAAACTGACAAAGAATGATTCGCGCGAGCACGGCCATTTGGTATCGTGTCTGTGGTTGACTGTCTGTCTGTCTGTTTTTTTTTTCGTGTGGAAACAACTTCAACTTCGGGCCGTCACCCCACCAGGGTGGTGTGTCGGAATCGAACCGACTAAAACCACACGGTGTGCTCATATATAGGATCCCACACGCCCACCACTGTAACTTCTGTCCACTAGGATCAACAGCAGTGACCCACGAACACACCGAGCTATGACACTCGAGAAGTCCCAAAATAAACTAAACTGACTTAGAACCCGCAAGGAAATTTATCAGAAGAAATTTGGAGGGGTTGGAAATAAGAAGGGATCCGTATTAGCTGTTAATAACACTCACACACACACACACACGCACACACACACACACACGCACACACACACACACACTCACACACACACTTCCAAGAAGCTGTACCTCGTGTTCTCTTTATGATTATATCTCTATGCTCCAAACAAATATGCCCAACCATGCCTCATGGTGAAAATAATATTTACCTGCTTTGGCTTCTTCTTAATAGCTGATTGAGGTACTTCTAAAGGATCTTTGGCCTGCTGACTCCCGTCGGTCTGTACAACGGCTGAAAACAAAATCTATACAAATAAATAAAGTGTCTGTTTGTAATGTAAAAATAATCATCATCATCATCATCAACAGCCTTTACTAGTCCACTGCTGGACATAGGCCTCTCCTTAGAAAGGAGGTTTTGGCCTACTATACCACGCTGGCCAGACGGGTTGGTATAGGGTTTGTTTCAAGTTTTCCTTCTCTCTGCAGTGCTGGTGTCCTGCGTATTTCGCTCCCTTAGTCGGCTCTTACGACACCCACGGGATGAATAGGGATGGTGACACTCTGTATTCTTAATCCGTCACCACACGGAAAAAATAATAGATTTTTTTATACAATATCTATGTCTAAAAACCAGTTTAAGTATTTTTTGTCCGTCTACTTGTTCTGGGTAAGCTTTAAAAGGGCTGGACCGATATTGATAATATTTTACTACCAGGTAGTATATATATAAGGAGTAACTTAGGCTATTTATCCTCTCAGAAAAATCCTATAAAATTTAGCCCGGTCAGGGAATCGAACCCGAGGCCTCATGGACTGCAGTCGCATACCGTACTAAATCTCTAAGGCAGCGATTTTCAAATATCAGCTAGTAAATAAAAAAAAAACATTCCACTCCGGGAGTGTCGATATAGAAGTAAAACTCTTTTTTTTTATTATATCAGGTTTTTTTCCGATTCGAAAAGTTCCGACAGGAATATATATCTACGTTGTACGTATATACACAATATATGTTTATATTATATATATATATATAGTTATATTATCAATGTATTTCAACCCAAACTCAACTCTCGTGTAAACGGGGCCAATATATGTAAATACTTATATACAGAGGTGTCGGTAACGGTAACAGTGTCGCGAGTTCGAAGTTTTCACTTCAATAAAACTTATGCAACATATGGTAGATTGAACAAGTATTCAACAACCCTAGTAATGAACCTTAGAATCAGAGGGGGAGGGGTTTAGGCTCTGGTGATCTCACTCACTCAGTAAAAAGCTACAAAAGAATTACTTAACTCCTGTTTCCTGTGAAGCCTTGGTATTACTCCAGTCGAGGAAGCCCAATTGTGTGGAAGAATGACTCTCCCAACTCGTAACTGGCTGTCCAAGCCAAAGAGCTTAAAATACCTTTTGTTTTTATAAAGGACAATTCCCGCGCTAGGAATATATCCTGTGTCGCGAGGGACTTTACAAACATACATGAAACGGACACAAAGAACACCCAGACCACGGTACTATTATAATACAGTACTCCAACTTCATACAAACGGACGAAACGCGAGCTATACCTACGCGCCTTGATCTCGGGGTGCGCTCGGGGCGCAGACAGTCACGGCTGTACCGCAGTGTCGAACGGACTGTGTGTCGTTTTTTTAACAATAACAATAAGAATAACTATAAAATAATTTTACTTACTAGTAGGTTGGTACATAATGTGTGTCTTTTTAATGGCTAAGTATTTCCTTTTATCTCACGAAAAAAAGGTGTTTGGATTAATAAATAAAGCGAATAGAGTAACGGAAAGTTATTGAGACGAGTGAAATAGGTAGTTATATGTGGTTCTGAATGAATCATGATACGGTAGGTACCTACCTACTTACGCTTGTGTTAAAACTTCGGTGCATGTGTGTTTTGTTACTTTGCATAATTCAAAGTAAAGACGTGGTATTTTATTATTAATAATATTTGTTTATTATCTGTGTGTACGAATAATACAAAAAAAAAAAAAATTACCGTCTGTGTGTCATTAGACAGTTTTCGAAATGTTCACAAAGTGTTTCTGCTGCTACTATAACAACATATACCACTAAAAACTGGTTTTATTTTCTCGGTATTAACAACAACAGCTAGACTCATATATAATATTTAGATGTTTGAGGGTTGTGATTTTAAAACATTCGTAGTCAGCTGTTCAGCTTTTTAATAATTAATTAATTGGTGACCAAAGAATTTTTGTTTTGAGTTGTTGCGAGTTGTAGGTAGGTACCTAATTTATAGAGACGTTAATAAGCTGAGATAAAAAGTTACTTTCTCGTCAGCTGTTTCTTGCATTCTATTTGAGTAGGTAGGTGTTGGAGTTTCTAAGGATTGGAGTTTTGTAACGCGTAAGGAGAAAGCACATTTATTTTATTTTATAGAAGGATTTTTTTCGGTCGCAAATTTATAAGCATGATTTGTTTTTCAAACAAAAACATGTTTTGATTAATTGAATCTACCAATCAAAAAACAACACGCATTTTTATTGAACACTTCCTATTCAATGTACAAAGTATTTCATTTATTTATATAAAAAGGATATATACAATCACAAATCTAAATAGAAACAGAAAGTAGGCAAATATAATTAAAATGCTGGAGACGGGCAGCCCTAACGCATGTTTACGTACCGCGCGGCTGTAGGCATTTATTTCTATAATGCGGCCGAGTTACACTACTGTATTATAATTGTACCGTGCCCAGACTCAGAACAACAATTTATGGATCACACAAAGTGTCGTCCCATGTGGGGATCGAACCTACAGCACTAAGCGAGTAGTAAGCGGCGAGCGACATAGCGGTGACCGCTTGAACCACTACGTGACTCGTGCAATCAAAATATATTATAATTAAGAGGAGATAAATAAGATTGTTTCGGTCTTGCAACTCTAATAATGTTCTCAGTTGCGCACACGTGGGGCCGCGCGCGCAACTGAGTTGAACTATCTATAACACATTATCTAACACTATTAGCGCACTACAGACAGGCATATATACTCATACATTCAAACATACACACACATATTCACACACGCGCAGAACATACTTCCAGGTATCCGGCATGTTGTCTATTTCTCCTTTTCTTTTAAGATGTGTTTCGTATTCATATATTGGTATCCTTATGATTTTTATCTTCTCTGAACTTTAAATGTATTTCCTTGATTTGCATTAATAATGTATTGACAGCAAAGAAATGTTTAAGAAGGGTGAGTGCCTGGTGATCTGAGCTACAGGCTTATGTCTAATTCAGACACCAGTCCTCTCATAATTACTGTTTCTAATTTTAGTTATTGATGTAAGTTAATATTGTACTGATTGGTGATTGTGAGAAGAAAAATAAAGAATTATTATTAAAAAAAATAAAAATAATAATAATATTGTACCACTTTCACACAACGCCATCTAGTCTCAAACTAAGCAGAGCTTGTACTATGGGTACTAGACAACTGATATAAATACATATATACTTTTTTTTGTAAATACATACTTATTATACATAGAAACACCCAGACCAAATCAAACATTAAATGTTCATGCACACAAATGTTTGACTTGAGCGGGAATTGAACCCGAGAACTTTGGAATAGCAAATCCATTACACAAACCACTACGCTATTCGGTCTCTCTGCTCTTGCCACTGATTGGCTACTTTGTGCAGAGAAGAGAGAGAGATGCAAGACCAAAGCAATATTCTTTCTCTACCTAACGGTTGTACGATACCACTTACCGAGGAATATACAGTTCACTCCATCTATTAAACTATGTCTATGACCCGAGCCTCCTAATTTTTGAGTCTTTAAGAGATGGGAGAATGGTCTCACTGGACCATTCTCCCTCCTATTTTTAAGTAAATAATAATATGTACGTACCAATGAATTTGCATTTCCTCAACAGCTCGAAATGGGTCCAAAACAAATCTCCAGGGTCGGATGGTACTTTGTCTCTGAAAATAAAAAAAAGTAAATTTTTAGAGGGTTGTACAATAATAAATTATAATAACTTACACATGGACACTGTGGGAGACTATTTATCCGTTATCAGTATCCGTGGGAGAGCCATGATTCGGCCGGCTCGACCGGAGTGATACCACGGCCTCACAGAAAACCGGTGTTAAGCAATTCTTTCGTTTAGATTTCGTTCAGTTTAAATTTTTTTGTCTGTCTGTCTGTTTGCTCCAGGTAATCTTCTAAACGGCTGGACCGATTTTGATAATATTTTACTACCAGGTAGCTGTCTATGTAAGGAGTAACTTTGACAATTTTTCCTCTCAGGAAAACCCTTTAAAATTTCGCCGGGTCCGGGAATAGAACCAGTTAGTCAAACATACAAACACACACACTCCATTTTTTGCCTTTATAATATTAGTGAATAGTAAAATATGTTAAATTAAAGATTTATTTAAATAAATACTTACTTAAACTCAACATTAGTTATAGTACAAAGTTCAGCACCGCTGATGTTCCAATCAGAGAGCCTGACACCGGTGAGGTTGAACTGCCTGACAGCCCACTGTATCCAAAGCTTTACATGTTGAACTGACCTGGCCAGGGTGGAGAAAACAATTTTATTGCTGAAGGTTGGAAAGTCCGGTTGACCTGGACGACATATATAATTTTGTTTACGGTAATTAACGCGCTCACGATAGGTATTAACTACATATATTTGAAATTACTAGAGACCGGATTATATGCATTTGCATATGCTTTTGCTTATTTAAGCCATTCTTAATGGTAATATATTTTACATCTCTCATGTTCGGTAAGTAGGTTCTTATCACCTCCAAATGGGGCTTGTAAGTGACTAATTAGCGCTCTAGGGTAATAATGTAGCTAGAAAAGCCCTAGGGCGGTAAGTGATTTAAAAAAAAACCACTTCTTTCTTTCAAAAAGTTCGCGTACAACCATCATACTGGCAACAGACATCATGCATTCAGCCGAATGACCAAAGAGGTCGCTTTGCTATTCAGCCTTGTCTTCGTGTGAGTATAATAGTCATCAATTTTAAATATCGAACGGCGAAGCTCAATTTCGATCTTGAAAAAAAAAACTTAAAAAAAAGTTCTTTACTTGACTCTTTTTAATGAAAAAAGGCGGGAATAGTAAACTTTTACTTTAAAAATTGTTTGTTTTTGGGATTAATTTATAATTACGTGCTAATTAAGAAAAAACATGAGTTCTTCAAGTGATGAAGATCCCAAAAAACACCTGTCCTTAAAATTTGAAAATTGTTCTCATTTCACTATAAATTTCAACAAATAAAATGTTTTATTCTTGTAATGCCGGTTTTTTTCTACTTACCTCACAATCAAGATGTAAAGCAGAATAGTTAGCTCGGGTGTAAGTATCAATTGCACCCTCGAACTATAGCTATAACTAAATATTAGATTTCGTCGAGTTTGGGACTAGATGGCGTTGTGGGTAAAAAAAAAAAAAAAAAAATATCTCGGGCTGCAATTGATGCCTTACAGCCCTTGGCTACTTATCTACTATTACCTAAGATCTAGTTATGATGCATTGTACAAATATCAACCTTGGCCTTTGCCGATATTCGCGGTGGAACAACACTACTTGGACTGGGTGTGCTGAAGGTTGAATTAAAACAACTCGTCAACTGAACTTATGTAATAATATTGTTCTCCAATTACAAATTACAAAGACATATTTACGTCGGCCTTGTGAACATAACAATGGTGACATCTAATTCGACACTAACGCCATCTATTGAGCTTTAGGTTAACATTGTACATGATAGCGTGTTGAACATGCATTTAATCAATTAATTTAATAGTGCAGTGTATTCACCCTGTGTTCCGAAATGGGATAAAAATCGAATTCGACCCGGAACGCAGAGTCAGTAGCCAGGCGCGTCTTTTGTTTTGACAGTTACGATAAAAAAAAATGTCATGTAATGTTACTGTACTTATTATCGCCAATCAAAAAACAATTTACTCATAAATAAAAAAAATTAAAACTTACTATTCTCTTTTTTTTGGGGGTTCCTAAAATGTATCATTTAATCTATACTAATATTATAAAGCTGAAGAGTTTGTTTGTTTGTTTGAACGCGCTAATCTCAGGAACTACTGGTCCGATTTGAAAAATTTTTTCAGTGTTAGATAGCCCATTTATCGAGGAAGGCTATAGGCTATATATCATCACGCTAAGACCAATAGGAGCGGAGCACCAATGAAGAATGTTTCAAAAATGGAGAAAATTTATTACTATTGAGAGACGCAGACGAAGTTGCGCGGGTCAGCTAGTTTCGAATATTCTGCCAATTTTCTTTTTATGTTGCATATAATCCGGTCCCTAGTAATGACTGACGTTTCAAAAAAATTGCAATGGGCTACTGTACCGGCTAGTACAAGTTTACAAACCTTAATAATATACCTTGACACATCTCTCATGCAGCGGTCTAATCCCAAACTAGTCATATGGTAATATGGTAACCAGACTGCCTGTACCATGGTACTCAGACAGCCTGTAATATGGTAATCAGACACAGTATAAGTGATTGTGTTCATCACACAACTATTTGGGTGGGTGGGAATCGAACCCACAACCTCCGGTTTAGCAGTCAGGGTCACTAGCCACGAAACTAACAGGCCGGTCTATGTTATATCTTTGTTTTATGTAACGAGAAATGCATCTAAATGTGACGCTTCTTTCATTGATTCACTCTCAAATTTATCTGATACACTCACCAGTCATTAGGATCATCAGGCACCCGGCTCCGATGCTCAGTGTTGAATGTCGAGTCCACCACCCACTTGACTGTGGCTGCGTGGGGCTGTCCCGCACTGTCTTCCACCATCTGCTCCTGGACCGACATTGTAGCCACCTCCGGGTCCAGGACTGTGAGGAATAACAAGTAACTGTGCTTGGTTGATAGAGTTCACACCACATTGTTATACTATTTGGTTTAATTAGTTTATCTCGTTTAAAGCAGAAAATGTTGGTATTGAAATCAAGCTCTTCAAACTAGCATAATTAGGCAGCTCCTCCTCTCTCCTCTCCTGATAGTGCTGTGCCCGACAGGGTCCATAATTGTTATCTACTTTTAAGCCTACCACCTGAATGTACATTATGGAATGCAATAAATTGAAATTGAATTTTTTCGTTTATTTAAATGTGTTAACAACATACATTATAATCATCATCAATCACTCACACATATTCAAACATAAACACACACACACACACCCAAAAACAAGAACGCGCGCACAGAACAGGGTTACTGAAATTAAGCAGGTAATTACTTGTGTTTAAGTTTTTTTTTCATTGTTGTTTTCTTTGTATGCCCTTTTTCAAAGTATTACTTCATATCTATGACATTGAGATCTTTATATTCAATGAAGACACTGTCGCCATGTCCGAACCGATTCGACCTTCAAACCTCCAAGAAAAGAACGTACCCCTTCCTAAAAGGCCGGCAACGCGTTAGTGACTCCTGAGTTGCAGATGTTCATGATCGACGATGGTCACTTTCCATCAGGGCCTCAATTCTGCTATTTTATGTTTACGCCAAGCCAGTGTCATACCACTGACACGCTATTGAGATGCCACCGAGTGGCCATTGGCATCGGTATAAATATCGGTAGTTGAAAATATATTACGTTTTTTGAGGAAATAATTTATTTATTTTTATTATAATAAATTATTAAAATATTATATAATAATAAAATTTTAATTTTGTTTTTCCATTTTATTCTAATGATTTATTTATTTCTTTTTTTTATTATTTTAATTCTTTAATAATATTTTTTTTAATAGTATATTGTCCAGTCCTTTAACAGTCCACTGCTGGACATAAGCCTCTCCTTAGAAAGGAGGTTTTGGCCTACTATACCACCCTAGCCAGATGGGTTGGTATAGGGTTTGTGTCAAGTTTTCCTTCTCTCTGCAGTGCTGTAGTTCTGCGTAGTTTTCTCCCTTAGTCGTCTCTTACGACACCCACGGGACGGGATGAATAGGAATAGAAATGCGTACCTACATTATAAAAACAATCTCCTGAAGAAAATTATAAAACATATATCATGCAATTATTTACACTAATATTACAGTCCTAAAACTTGCGAACCCGTGGTGGGCTCCGGTTTCCGCGTTAAACTCAAGAATGGTCCGTTATGCGTCAAGGCTAGTTGAGTTAACCAAGCTCCTTCCAAAAGCACAGAAGCCTCCTGGGGTGTTCTTCTAGGACCACATTATGACATCACTATATATTAATCTATACTAATATTATAAAGCTGAAAAGTTTGTTTGTTTGTTTGAACGCGCTAATCTCAGGAACTACTGGTCCGATTGGAAAAAATCTTTCAGTGTTAGATAGCCCATTTATCGAGGACGGCTATAGGCTATATATCATCACGCTAAGACCAATAGGAGCGGAGCACCAATGAAGAATGTTTCAAAAACGGAGAAAATTTATTACTATTGAAAGACGCAGACGAAGTTGCGCGGGTCAGCTAGTTAGTAAATATGATAGCTAAAACTCACGATGATCATCAGTCTGGTGTGGCAGCTGCACCAGCTCTTCATCAGGTTTCAACACGTCCAGGATGTTGATCTTCCTCTCAGCCGTTCTGATCTGTATGTTCACTTGGACCACACCTTCGCCCCGTATACATTGTTCAACTAAAGTTTTATGGTTTTCTAGCTGAAAGGAATAATTTACAATAAGTTCTACAAGTTCTATGCACCTCCATTTGGAGTAGTAATCTTTTTTTCTGGAATAGGAGGAAAAACAAGCATTCGCGGCACCTATTGGTAAGTGTCCGTGTGGTGACGGATTAAGAATACGGAGTGTCGCCACCCCTATTCATCCCGTGGGTGTCGTAAGAGGCGACTAAGGGAGCAAACTACGCAGGACAACAGCACTGCAAAGAGAAGGAAAACTTGACATAAACCCTATAACAACCCGTCTGGCCAGCGTGGCATAGTAGGCCAAAACCTCCTTTCTAAGGAGAGGCCTATGTCCAGCAGTGGACTTTTAAAGGCTGTTGATGATGATGATGATGATTGGTAAGTGACTACCGCTGTCCATGGACACCTGCAACTCCATAGTCACAAGTGCATTGTCCCTATTTCAGTCCCTAACCCCAGAATCAAAGCAGAGAAAGAACTGCTTAACACTAGTTTTTGGTGAGGTCGTGATGTCAGTCCGCTCGAGCTTGGCCCATATATGCGCAAGAGTTGCTCTGCCAGAATAATCTATTTGAAATCAGATACTTTGTTTTCTCCTGTCCAAAATAAAATTTAACATCCCATTATTAGGTTGGGGGGTAATGAGCGAGCCGACCAGCTCGCCAAGGAGACGGCTCTGGGACTGAAGAAAGCACCGGACTAGAGTTCGGTTAGTTTATCGATTTGCGAAAATGTGGGCGTCAAATAATACAATCTATATCCCGTTTAGAATCCTACGAAGGTTTATAAATTTCCTAGAAAACTTATACATTTGCGGTTTTTGTTATTTTCCGGTGATAAATACAAGTTTCCACATAAACCAAATATTCGAATGCATTTCCAGGTTCTTACCATTTTAGCATTTTGTAGCCAGAAGGTGTAATCAGATAAATCTGCTCCTAATCTTCTTTCCAGCATTGCTCGGAGGCGAGACAGTCTAGTTCTTATATCCATCAGTTGAACAATCACTTCTTCTGCAACATAAACAGAAACTAAATAATAAATAAATAATATTGTACCATATTGACACAACGCCATCTAGTTCCAAGCTAAGCAGAGCTTGGTTTGGGACTATGGGTACTAGACAACTGATATAAATACATACCTTTTTTTGTAAATACAGACTTATTATACATAGAAACACCCAGACCAAATCAAACATTAAATGTTCATGCACACAAATGTTTGACTTGAGTGGGAATCGAACCCGCGACCTTAGGAATAGCAGTCCGTTACACAAACCACTACGCCTTTCAATTATTTATTTACTTCGCCTTTTATTTTGCCTTTTTATTTACCAAATGTAGACTGAGAGAAAATGCCATGTTAAAAACAATATTGCACATTTTAAGAGTGACCTAGTTTTTCCAGGGGTGGAACCTAGAACCCATGATGATGAATCATAAAATGCCATTATTGCATCTATACAAATAAATGAAATTGAAGTTGCTGCTTGTAATGTCAAAATAATGTAGGTTTTTTCTGATCACATGGTTATTTGCACGATACCTATGCCTAAAACCCAGTTTAAATATTTATTGTCAGTCTGTTTCTTCTGGGTTTTTTTGAAAACGGTTTGACGGATTTTGATAATATTTTACTACCAGGTAGTTGTCTGTAAAAAACAATAAAATATTGCCCGGTCTGGGAATCTGTACTACACCACTAAGGCAACTTTAAATTCCACACAAACGGAGTCCCGGGTACCAGTCAGTATCTAATGTAAACTCACCGCTGCTTTCTGTACTCTGCATAGTGTCATCCTCATCAGCCGTGTCTGAGAACACAGCTAAAGGTGTCTGTAGTATTTCTCCGCCCGAGTTTATTAAACCTGAAGAAAAGAAAGTGTATTTGTTGAACTACTGTGTGAGCTATATCTTGGCACTTACAGGTCAGCTCAAGTAATAGTATAGTTGGAGTTAGACATGGAAATTATTGGTACTTTTAAATCATATTTCTATGACGATATGATTGGTTTTAGTCACAGTGATTGTACATGTTATTGTGATTTGGTCATAGACAAAGATAAATGACATTAAAATCAATCAAACTTCTATGAATGAAAACTTGTTTTTTTTTTGTTTTTTTGATTCAATAAGTTCTGACATAAATATATGTATGTTGTACGTAGATACACTATATGTTTATATTCTACCACATTCACACAATGCCATCTAGTCCCAAACTAAGCAGAGCTTGTACTTTGTTTATATTATATATATTTTGGTATCAATTTATTTCAACCCTTGGGTAAACTCTTGTATAAACGATGCCAATATATGTGAATACTTTTATACAGAGGTGTCGGTAACCGTGTCATGAGTTCAATGGTTTTTTTCCCATCTAAAAAATACATTATTTTGTTTGTTGTTTAAAAATGCCCAACGAGACCTGCCTTGAACCTTCACATATATATTTTATAACCTTTATGTGTTGATGTGTTTAGTGAAAAACTTTCTGTCCAAAATATCAGCATCTTAATAATTATAATCTTCAATTAAACATGAATCTGAATTTTTTGTCAAGAAATTTTAGTGTTATACTTATCCTTGAGAGTAGGCTTTTTTTCATAAAGCTTTTAAGCTTTTTAACATCACCCTATAGTACAGTGACCACAACAATAGTCCAAACTGCAAAATATACTTTATATTTCTTAATTCATATTCCTTTTATATTTACAAACACAAATAATGCGAGTGCTGGTGAAAAGCACAGCTTGTTAATGGGCTTTACTTCACCAATTGACAGGTGGTCCCTCTTAGTTTGAAAATATTTCTGCAACCCTGAACCTGCAACCTTGTAGAAGGTTCTTTTGTTAAATAACTAGTGCTAGGTTTGTTGGTTCTCGACCATCATAAGTAAAATATTACTTTACCATCTCGGATTTGGTACCTACTAAATTGTTAATCACTAATCTTGAAACGGAAATGAAAAACAGGAAAATTCTTTGGTAACTCATACGATCTATACTTTGAATAATATACAGGTAAATGTCTTACCCAGGTCTGATTCACTAACGTATTGAGGAATTATTGACAACGGATCTGAATTCTCTACGGTATTTTCATCAAAACCATTTTCGCCTTGCTCCATCTTGATAGCTCGCACATTTAGTAGCTCCTGCAGTTCATTTAAATCTGTCACCTCCATCACTAAACACTCACTCGGCAAATAACAGCTAAGAGTTCACGAAACTTGTTTAACTTTGTTTCCGATAAGAATATTACAAAAGTTTTAATGAGATATGATTTGAAATTTTTAGGAAAAGGAAATCATTCAGTAGGCACTTCCGCGTGCGCCAAAATCCATAACCCATAAACAATTGCCTCTATTTGACAGTTAGTCCAAATTGACATAAGGTTTTGTCTATGATTCTGTGTACCGATTGAAGCTCGAATTCACCTATTTTAAGAAAAATCATAAATCAAAGAATTAGTATTATTTAAAAACTAAAAATTACAAAAAAAAACGCGAACAATTTACTCAGAAACGTAAGTATATTTTTTTATGTAATTGAACTGATATTATTTCCCTATTTAAATATATATTTATTTTAAGTCTGGTCAGGTCTCATGTAAAAATTACTGGAAGGAACGGCCACTTTGTTGTTTACAAAGAAATAAATGAACAGTTAAAATAAATGACGAAATAACTTGGTACCAGTATTTTTAGTATTCTGTGGAATTAGTTACAAAACAATGTTCGCGGGAAGCTTGACTGGACTTGTCGTCGTTTTTCTGTAGGTAAGTAGTTTTTATGTTTGTATTAAACTTACGTGAACAGCACTAATTATATTCATATAGATTACAATTCATTTAATACACATAAGCTTAATATATTTAGTTAACTGTAATCAAAACTAACGAGAAATCTGGTATGTTTTTACATTTTTTCTTATATAATCTTACTTTTCTTAGCTTAATGGACATTAAACATTAAAATTAACCAAGTTCTTTTTAAATTATAAAAAGAATAACCTTGTGCTCGTGTCATTTTTGTTCCGTAACCGTATATACACCTTTTAATCCATTTTACAACAAAACGTACTGCGGTATGATATTCCTTTATCTTTATTTACCGTTTTGTCATAATTTGTGCACTTTTGGATGTGTAAGGCATTTTATGAATTTTCTCAAATTAAGTAGTAAGTGCGCTCGCTCGCACTGGTCTTGGACCCTCGCATTTTGTGCATTAGTGGCGTATCTACCTCTTGTTTGAATATAATGTCATTGGGGACGTTTGGCAGAAGTGAAACATCAAAATTATTTTGTAGAAATAATGAGTATTTGAGGCAAGGAAATAATAAATATTACACAATTAAAAATATAATATTCAGATTTTTTGGTCACCTGACGTCATGTTTCGTTACAATCTTCTTATATATAAAATTCTCGTGTCACAATGTTAGTTACCATACTCCTCCGAAACGGCTGGTCCGATTTTTATGAAATTTTGTGTGCACATCGGGTAGGTCTGAGAATTGGCCAACATCTATTTTTCATACCCCTAAATGACAAGGGAGACCCATCCCTATTTTTTTTTTTTTAATTTCCTACTAATAATCTATGTGGCAAAACATACGTTTGCCGGGTCAGCTAGTTAGTTTATAGAAAAGTACCTACTTACATTACCTACTACACAAAAACTTGAGTATGTAGGAATACCTACCAATAATTATTTATTTCATTATATTCCACACTAGATTATAAGACTTCAATAACACAATGCCGACCGTTTTACTTGCGCATGAAAGAGACAACGCTATGTCTTCAAGGACATCGCGCTGGTGCCGACAGTGTCAACGTGAGTGCGAGGGTTTGAGTTTGGTTCTAAACTGAATCAAATTTATTATTTATATCGTTCGAAAACAATTAAAAAAAGGATTATTTACTAACACAGAGTTTTTAACTCATCAATAGAATTTTTATAACTCACGCTTGGTCGGACGGATCAACTAGAACTAAAGCCGCCGAGTATATCAATATCAGTATATCACACTTATAAAAAATCTTTACACAGTTTATAGGTACTCCGTCATATCCCTACCTAAGTAAAATCTAAAAAATGTAATTATAATTAAGAAAAATATAGTCATCGACACCAACCGTTTTTAATCGAAAAATATTGGTTTTAAACGTTTTTTTTTCGTTTTAAACGGATTGGTTTAATTGGTTTTAAACCGGCCTTACATCTATAGCCAGACGTTCAGGACGGCTCATGTTTTTTATCTGAATACTCTTATCACGTAGGTAGCTATTGAGTAATGGAAAAACAAAGAACACTCCCGAAAATATTTGTGTCTGCAGCCAGATGACGAAACTGCAACACGGCGTTGCCAGACTGTAGTGTAGGTACCAGTACCTATAGACATTTCATCTCTTTCAAACTCCTCCGCAGCAACGAATTCTATGACTCTTGAGTTACAGCACAGTTGTCCGTGGGTGGCGGTACTCGCTTATTATACCCGAGACGGCGTGCGGTTTTAGTCGGTTCGAGTCCGACATGCCACCGACAGGTGGTATCCGAGGGGATTTCCGCACGGAAAAAAAAAAAAAAAAAAAGGTGCACCCATTAAAAAAACACACGTAAATATAACACATTAGTCTTAATAATAAGTTTTTATTTAAAACAAACACCGCATCAACAATTAGCGTATGGGGATTCCGTATTTTCTGGTCTTATTTGATAGTCTTGATATGGTTTATTTTCACACCGGATCTGAAAATAAAAAAAAATGTTTATACACATATTTACGTTCTTTTTAATAAATCCTAAAATAATATTGCCGTGAGCTTATTAGCTACCAGCTTTTCCCTCGAAACCGATTGCGTTCGGTGAGATTTAAATTGAATCCATATTTGCTTGCCTACCCCTGATTTGCACGGGTAACCCAGCAGATGTGGCTATATTATATCTTCTTATACGTTACACGAACGACCCATGGCCGTAGGAGCAAGAGATATATCATTTTCATATGCAACTGCGACTGTCGGCATCAGGGCGACAACTAAGGTGGGCACTGAAAATCAATTCTGAGGTGGCATCAATCCACCACAGTGTACACAGGGTCCACCTATTTTCTGAAGCACGGCGTACAATCCTCAGCAACATTAAAGGTTTTTTTATGGTACACAGGTTGAAAAGTATTAATTGATAAGTAATAACATAGTTATTAGAAGTAAAATTTTATAGACGCGTGGTTGGATACGTGGCACATTGACGTGTCATGTCAGTACTGTCAGAAATGAAAGATTGACATATTGAAAAATGTTGCCGTTATAAAACTTTACTTGATTTTTTGTTTCTTTTTGTATGTTGTTTTTAACTTTTGTTTTTTTTTTTTGTATGCTGTGCTCTATGAAATAAATATTATTCTGTTCTATTCTATTCAGTCCTAGAGTGGGGACTGGTACACTTTAGCCACATAGACTGATGACCTTTAGAAGAATGCTAAAATGGACTAGATGTGGAAGGCGGAGGATCATTTAGCAGTGGACTGCTTAATATTTAGTATGAAATACTAACAATTTCAGCATAGGGTGTCTCTTCTACTCTGGGTTTTTGATTATTGATCGGTACATGGCGTAGGTCTAGCTCGGCATACGTTAATCGTCCCGTGTCCTCCTGTAAATATAATATTTCAATTAATGTGACACAGAAAACTGGTGTTAAGTAATTCTTTCGTTGCCTTTCACTGAGTGAGTGAGGTTCCCGGAGCCCCAATCCTCCCGCTGACTCGAGCGGGAGGGACTCCATGGCAGCAATGCACTTTCACGTCACTTTTTTACCAGGTGACCCGTCTGCTCGTCTGCCCCCTCTAACATAAAAAAAAAAGATGATGTTATATTCTGAAGGGAACCTTACGGCCTTACGGATTGAACAGTATCTCTAAGTAGTGAACTGCAAGATTACGTCTTTTTATTTATTTATTAATAAGTACTACCACATCATACATATTATACTTATAACTAGTTTTGACAATATGTGGCGTTATACCTGATATGTATGACAATTAAGGTGTACATAGCATTTACTGTAATGTAGTAGTGTAAAAAGTAGTAAACTAATTACAATCAAACGAGAAAAAAAACTAACTAAAGAAGAGTAGGTATACTTAAAATACGTACGTTATAATTGTCAGAAGCAGTTTTTTTTGACTTGTTACAACATTTCCAAAATAAAATAGAAATAATTGAAAGAACAATTGTTCCAGTTATAGCACCTCCTATAAAGAAGTAAGTTTTGAAATCTGAAAATAGGATAAAATATCGTTAATATGTAGATGCTTAGAATTTTTGGTCTTCTTTTTGGTCGTTAAATCTATAGCTTAAATACAAACTTATCTTTTATAGAAATTGAAAATGAAGAAACAGTAGTTTCCTAGTTCATTTACCCCGCCAAAGATAACTTTACTTGAGCGATTATTTGATACTAGTTGCACCCCACGGTGTGACCCTCGAATTTTCATATCCTTGCTCATTCACCGGCAAGACCAGTTTTTCCCGGATAACAGACTATGTGTTAAACGTCATACACCTGTAGGCACTGCGGGGAGCTATAACACTCGCTAAAGCACTGCACCAAGAAGACAGAAGAAGTAAAACGCGCTTCAAAAAGCCGAATAATTGTAATTGGTATATAAATGTATGTATTTATACGTATAATATATTTAACTATCCTAATTAATGTCGGTATTTATTTATTTTTTATGCTTTTCTGTGTTGATTCCTAAGTACGCATGACTGTGCCCTCTATTCGCTCAAGGTTTGCTGGAAGAAAACTCAGTTTTGGGTTAAGCTCGCCTTTGTACATGACATTTCCTTGTAACTTATATAGATGTATGTGTTCAGTGTGTACAATATAAAGAATAAATAAACAAACAATTATGAAACAGGAGCTCCTGACTGTCAGGCAAAGCTGATGGCTCAAAAAAAAATAATACTTAAAATCCATTGATTACAAAGGCGCCTAAGAGCGTATTCAACACAGACATTTGTTGCCCTTTCTATGTTTACATAGCTTTAATTCTTAGTATTTAATTTAATTAAATTAATTAATTTAAATTAAAAAAAAAATGGTCCGTGTGGTGACGGATTAAGAATACAGAGTGTCACCACCCCTATTCTTCCCGTGGGTGTCGTAAGAGCCGACTAAGGGAAAAAACTACGCAGGACAACAGCACTGCAGAGAGAAGGAAAACTTGACACAAACCCTATACCAACCCGTCTGGCCAGCGTGGTATAGTAGGCCAAATCCTCCTTTCTAAGGAGAGGCTTATGTCCAGCAGTGGACTATTAAAGGCTGTTGATGATGATGAATTTAATTTAATTATGCATTGTATCATGCTATAGCCATGAAACAAAATGTTAAGCATACCACCTAATTTTATATTATGGAAATAAAGGATACCTCAACACAAAATAGGCACTCAAGTCCACATAATACGTTTGTTCACACGTATATACTCTTATTAAGTAAATAGACTCTGAATACCCCATACACAGCCGCCGCATGCTCTCTTTTCTAGTTTGTTATTAAGAATTTGTACCTATTTTGTGGTCAAAGCGAGAAACCACTGACGACTCAAAGCACAGGTACACACCGAATTTGTGAATCAGAAGCAACCCGCCCCTTGCCGCTATGTATATTATTTGATGTACTTTAACTAGACAGCAGTAACTAATTTTGTAAAATTACCTGAATATTTTATTTTTCTGGATTGACTGATGAAGGGGGTTGGACTAATATATACTCGTACATAAATAATAATAATAATAATCTTTATTGCATTTAAAATTACACTCACTGTTGAGGTACAATATCACAATAGTACAAAATCTATGACACTGACGGTACTAAATGCTGTCTACCAAACTAGGCGAGGCCTGTATTTTGGATGACAATATCCAGCCGCAGGCAAATTTACATGTAAGATTACGCTAAAGTGAAATATAGGGCACTTGCAATACAGATACATAACAATAAAAATAAAATAGGTATAATAAAAACTGTGTAGCGTAAGGACGTGAAGGTGTGTGTGTGAGTGTGTATGTGTGTGTGTGTGTGTTTGTGTGTGTTATCGAAAAAAAATACATATATTAACTAAAACTCACTTTCTTCTTTCTTCTCTTGATATATGAGTAAGGCTATTTTTTTTACATGTCTTGTAACCTTTTTATAGTGTATTTCATTTTCTGGTACAATATACAGACAATATAAAATCGACTTATTATCGGATTTAGTGAATTTCATTTTTGTCCCTTTTTCATGTGAAAATATGCTTATATATTTGTCAGGTTTTACCAGTAATAAATCTGAAAATTCACAAGTTATAATTAGCGCATAAATAGTTTTCTACATCTTGGTGGGTAGTTGTTATTTCTGACCAAGTGGTGTGGGTACACCACGGGGATATTGTGTCAACTAGGGTGAATTACCTTGCGTTTAGGTGATTCTGCCATACTTATTATAGAAATCAAATTTAGCTAACATTGACACACTTATGTATTTCTAAATACATAATATTTTAGATAAATTACACTCAGACACAGAACAAATGACCATGCTCATCACACAATATTTGTCCTGGGTGGGAATCGAACCTCAGGGTCACTAACCACTAGACCAACAGTCCCGTCAACAGGTCCGTTTATCAAAAGTGTGGTTACAATAGTACAGGCTCTGCCTTGTTTAGGATTAGACGGCCGTGTGTGACATGTTTAAAAATAATATTACTGTTGCAGGACAACAGCACTGCAAAGAGAAGGAAAACTTGAAACAAACCCTATACCAACCCGTCTGGCCAGCGTGGTATAGTAGGCCGAAACCTCCTTTCTAAGGAGAGGCCTCTGTCCAGCAGTGGACTAGTATAGGCTGTTGATGTTGATGATGATAAAGATGATTATAAAGAGTCCGTGTGGTGGTATAGTAAGCCTAAGACTCCTTTCTAAGGAGAGGCATCATCACATCAACAGCCTTTAGTAGTCCAGCAGTAGACTACTAAAGGCTGTTGATGTGATGATGATGAATCCTGCTAGGGAAACCACGGCCAATAGCTAACATATAATAGAGCTGAAATTGTACTCACAATAAAATGAAGCAAACTGGCTGCAATTAAATTCAAGTATAGTTTCCTCATTATAGTATTTTTCATTTATGTGTGAAACATCCGTTGTTGCTAAAAATTGAAATAATGTTAAACATAGCTAAATACGAGTAGGTTTGTGAAACAACTTTTGATTTTAAACTATTATTAGCAGATCCTTGAAACTTGATCTGCGTCTCTTAAAAGGAATAAAGTTTCCCCGTTTTTGCAACACGTCAGTCCCACTTCGCCCTCTAAACCGCATCCAACGAAGAGCGACTCGAATCGTCGAAAGCCCAAATATCTCCGATCGGCTCGATCCCTTGGCTAGAGATGTGGCTTCACCCTGCATTCTCTATCGCATATATCATGAAGAGTGCTCCGAGGAATTGTTCGGGCTAATACCAGCCGCAATTTTCCGCCATCGTTCCACACGGCAAAATTTTCATGCTCATCACCTGAATAGTTGGCACTCCACTACTATGCGCTTATCGAGACACTTTTTGCCCCGCACAACCAATCTGCGGAACGGGTTATCGTCTGCGGTATTTCCGGACCGACACGACCTTCAAACCTTGAAGAAAAGAGCGTACTCCTTCCTAAAAGGCCGGCAACGCGTTTGTGACTTCGAAGTTGCAGACGTTCATGGGCGGCGATGGTCACTTTCCATCAGGTGACCCGTCTGCTCGTCTGCCCCCTCTGACAGAAAAGAAAAAGAAAAAAAAAACGTGTGGCACTCGGGGACTGCCGCGGTAAAGCTATTGCATAGCATTTTTTATCAACTTATGCAATTATAATTATTTATTTATTTTATTTATGCAGTATTTTTTTTCCTTTTTTTTTTTTCTTTGATATTAATTAGATTGCGGGGCGAAAAGGGGGATTACGTATGCGCAGTAACGCCGATACAACCAATGCCACCTAGAAGCGAGTTCCTGAACTAAAGAGACAAGCGTGATATTTCAAAAAAGTCATTAAAAGTGCTGCTATTCATCGATAGATGGCAAAACTAAAAAGTATTACGTGGGGTGTGTTAGGTTATTTTCGTTACGGAATGTCTGGATTCGGTCTCCACGCTCAAGGCAAGCGATAGAAGCTATGCAATAGCTTAAAACATCTTTCATTGCTCCTCCTGTTAGTCTATACCCTTCCTAGTTAATGGGCAGCAATGGTTGGTTATAACACTAAAAGTATTTTTCAATTTGAACCAGTAGTTCAACCAAAAAGTTCAGAACCAAACAAACAAACAAACTCAGCGCGTTCAACCAAACTCTATAGATCATTGACACTATTTTTATAGCGATACCACGGCAACTGATAAAACCAAAATTAAGCAATACTTTCTATGGGTTTAGTGGTTAACGGGCCTGACTGGTATGCCAGACGTCGTGGGTTCGAATCCCACCCAGGACAAATAATTTCATGAGCACGGTCATTTGTTCTGTGTCTGAGTGTGGTTTATCTATAATACGTATGTGTATTTAGAAATATATAAGTACGTTTATCAGGCTGGTTACCATAGTACAGGCCCTGCCATGTTTGGGATCAGACGGCCGTGTATAAGATGTGGGAAGTTATTTATTAATAACTAGCTGAGACCCGCGGTGTTACCCGCGTTTGTTGTTATAACCGCGATCAACGCCGCGGGGCGAGTAGTCTAAAAAAAGTAGCCTAAGGTACTCCTTATGTCATCAGCTGTCTACCAGTGAAAGTCCCTTTGAAATCCGTCCAGCCGTTCCAGAGATTACCCGGAACAAACAGACAGACAGACAAAAATTGTAAAAAATGTTATTTTGGCATATGTACCGTGTAAACATACATATGCATTTAGTAGAAAGTAAAAGCGGTTATTTTAATATTACAAACAGACACTCTAATTTTATTTATTTATATTTGTATAGAAGGTTCTGAGAAGAGTTTACCTTGCCGTAACACAGCCTTATGACTAGCACGGGAGGTAAAGACTTTATCGAAAAGGAAATAAATAATATGCCTATATACTGTTCCAATATAAATATAACCCTATCTAAATTTTGTTTAATAGTTTGTGTAACATAATCTTTTTACACTCGAGTCATTTTATTTTTTCTTTTCCAATCACAGTAACTGTTTTTATGTTTTTTTTTCCTTGTTATTGTGCTATTGGCACAACAAACTATTTTATTATCACTATTGGCATACGCCATTAATTTACTTCATGTGCATGTTCTTAAAGTTAAACCGCCGTAAGCTTGGCCCTCCTGATGGTTTGGGGGACGCGGGGCGGGGGTGCATTCAACCAATTAGCTAGTGCGTCGCTGCTCGCCGGCAGTGACTGATGTGAAAGCATGGCTGTACGTGTTATTTTTCTTAAGACTGCTACACACGGTATTATTTTGCAACATGGATAATCTGCCGACTCTGCGTCACAAAAAGATTTAAAAACTTGAAGTTCGGCTTACAGAGGTTCTACTGTTAAAGTTCTAATAAAGAATATTTATTATTTTACTTAATTTTTAAATTGAATCTGAATATAATTTACATGATGAAGATAAGGTGATTTTATTAAAATTATTTTACAGTATTCAATTTTACAATTAATCATAAAAACTTACAATACACTGACATTATAATACATGGAAATAAATTCAATTTTTATTACATCGTGTGTAGATTTAATCTCAAACAAATAAATCTGATGATATCGAGTTAGTACATCGTGTCATGTATAGCCGAGCGCATCACCCGCCCCGCGTCCCGCAAACCATCAGGAGGGCCAAGCTTATGGCGGTTAACTATAGTATACATTTTTGCAAATTGTATATGGTAAGAATTCTGTATTCCGAACTTGTGTATCGTCAATTTGAGATAATTCCGTGCACTAATCCATTTCGTAGTTGTAAGTTGTCTAAGTATAGTCGATTTGTTCAGTGTGTTATACGTATCATGTAGTCATGTTATGTACGTCTGTGATATGTTTGGGTTTTACATATGTCATTTATTTATACTTTTTAATAAATTTATCTTATCTAAGTGATGATTTCACCGGAGCCACAACAACCACAACCCTAAACCTGGGAGGATAGGCACGATCGGAAATGCACTCTTAAGTTGTATGTTGCCATGGATGGCGTTAGTCTCTTGACAGGTCACCCAGCTGCTCTTGTGACCTATACCCGAGACAATATAAGGTTTTAACATTATTAACAATGAACTTGTATTCATACTCAAGACTCAAAAAAAGTATCAGCCGTAAATTGTACAGCTGGTAAAAACTAAATGTATTAATTATGGACTTATGGATTCGGTCGGGCATAGCATAGAAGAGAGAGGGGAATTATTTTTATTGGAACGGAGTTCCTTATTGCGCGATACACGCTCTGACGTCCGTGTGGTGACGGATTAAGAATGCGGAGTGTCACCACCCCTATTCATGCCGTGGGTGTCGTAAGAGTCGACTAAGGGAGCAAACTACGCAGGTCAACAGCACTGCAAAGAGAAGGAAAACTTGACACAAACCCTATACCAACCCGTCTGGCCAGCGTGGTATAGTAGGCCAAAACTTCCTTTATAAAGAGAGGCCTGTGTCCAGCAGTGGACTATTTTAGGCTGTTGATGTGACGATGATGACACGCTTTGGGCGGATGGGAGCGAGACCGAAAAATGTGTAACAATACTTTTTTTCCGACACCTTTGCCGAAAGGAACTTTGTTCCGACCGGGGGTCCATAGTCCCTCACGCCATTTTTATATGGATAAATGTATTACTGATTTATAATACTATTTTTATTTAAATATTTAGTTATTATTTATTGCGCTAGGTATTTTTTTAAACAGCTCTTGCAATAACAATAAATCCTGTATAGAGAGGGACTTTACAACCATTCATAAGACGGACACACAGAACACCCAGACTCAGAACAACAATATATAGATCACACAAAGTGTTGTCCCATGTGGGGATCGAATACACAACACTTAGCGCAGTAGCAAGCGGCGAGGTGACCGCTTAAACCACTACGGGATCCGGCATTGATAAAAATTGACTATATGATTATTTTACTTACAATTTATAACCGACGATTTTGTTACATGTGTTTGATTATTTAACGGGTTTTGACTCATGACGCATGTAAAAACGGTATCATCATCAAATTCTTCCAGCGTTAGTTCAAATTTGTATGTTTTGACGTCCGTAATCGTTGGATAATATAAAGTCTCGTTTCCTGCAACAAATATATTAAGTGTTAAGTCAGAAAGGTCACACAAACGCCAATTTTAAACCGACTTCAGTAAAAAAACGATGTTATCAATTCACTGGTGTTTTTCTTTTACATTTGTTGCTTCCCATCCGTGTGGTGATTGATTCAGAATACGGAGTGTCACTACCCCTACTCATCACATGGGTGTCGTAAGAGCCGACTAAGCGAGAGAACTACGCAGGACAACAGCACTGCATAGAAAAGGAAAACTTGACACAAAACCTATACGAACCCGTCTGGCCAGCGTGGTATAGTAGGCCAAAACCTCCTTTCCAAGGAGAGGCCTATGTCCAGCAGTGGACTATTGAACTCTGTTGATGTGATAATGATGATTGTTTCTTCAGAACTTCATCGTTCATGAATCGATTTGGAAAATCCGTTTTTTATTTGGAAATAATATGTATAATAAAAAAAAAACATATTTCCCGTAAAGGTGAAAAATTAAGATATGAAAAATACAGTTTGTTATAACTTATCATGGTTTAGGCGCAATGAAGACCGTGATACATTTTTCAAAGTTAAATATAATCTAGTGGTTTGTGACCTTGACTGCCAAACCGGAGGTAGTGGGTTCGATAACCACCCAGGACAAATATTGTGGAATGAGCACGATCATTTGTTCTGTCGGTGTTTCTGTATTCAATGAATTAGAAACGAAACAATTTCACAGGGAACTGGAGTAACCGATATCGTACGAAGAATCAGTACACTGAAGTGGAAGTGGGCCGGTCATGTCTCCAGGCGGACTGATGGACCCAGGAGCCGATATATGCCAGAGTGAAGACGCGATTAGGCAAGCGATGTAGGGCACCCTGCATGATGGAACGACGACTTGAGGAGCTGAGGACTCCAAAGACCACTACACGGGCCGTGTCAAGAAAGAACTGCCTTCTGCATCAGACCCTTGATCCAGCGTGACGTGAGCCTCTTAAGGTGTTGATCGAGGCTCTTAGCTATCAATCCGTGAGCAGATACGACTATCGGAACAATGATCACTGAATCGACATTCCACTCTCGTGAGAGAAATCCAAATATTTCATTTGTTTTTATTTTTTAACTTTCACGACTGTTGCGAGGAACGGCGGAATATCATTATTATTATAATTATGACATACCTTTAGGAAAGTAATGATGCCACGCCATTCGTGTAGAAGAATATGAATCATTATGGCTACATGTTAAAACTTTTTCTTCTCCAACTTTTGAGGACACAGGTTCTGGTTCCGGAGTGCTAGTGACTTGAAATGATGTTTCTGAAATAGACAAGTATAAATATCAAATAATTTAAAATAGATGATGATATTTAAATGGCTTTCTTGTAATATATAACCAAGAACACCAAATCATTTCTTTTAAAGAAAAAGAAAAATCGGTTGTCTGTAAAGTCGGTTTACTGACGATAGTTGAACGTGACAACGTCATAAGAAAATACTGATGGAATGGTTGCATTTTACAAAACATGTAAATGTATTATTGTATAGCAGCTGTCCACGCGGACGCATCGCTCACTCAAGTAGGACACAGAGAGACAGATGTCAAACGCTGCCGAACGCGAGGCCGATTGTGCCTCTTTGTCGCTCGTTCCGCGCTCTCGCTTGCACTTCAAGCCTTAAATGGAACGCCTCAGAGCGAGGTAACGCCGCATGAGTCATGTTTTTTCGTGCGTGCAGCCGGCTCCATCGAATTATAAGACGTTATCACGTCAAAAATAATTAAGATCAAGTATTACTATTTAGGAGTTATAACGTCACACTCCGTGTAGTGTCGGGAGCAAACTACGCATGACAACAGCACTGCAAAAAGAAGGAAAACTTAAAACGAACCCTATACAAACACGTCTAGCCAGCGTCGTTTAGTAGGCCAAAATCTGCTTTCTAAGAAGAGGCTTATGTCCAAAGACTATTAAAGACTGATGATTATGATGATAATAAACGCCACTAAGAAACGTTTAGTTACATTCCTAAAATGTATATCGAATCACATCACACCAATATAATACAAGCAAAGGTTTGTGAGTGTGTTTGTATGTTTGCTACTTCATCTCGCTCAAACGGCTGAACCATTTTGGATAACAGGGTTGTGTGGCAACCCTGTTATTCAAAATGTTAAAAAAAAATCCGGGCAAGTGCAAGTCGAATTCGCCCACCGAGTTTTCAGAACACATTTGTACATATTATAAATAGTTCCGAAATCGAATCTCAATTTTTTTGCCGAACTTTGCCCGAAATTCAGTTTCCAAAACCTATTGTACCCCTATGATTACGTACTTTAAATAAATACTATATTATTTATTTTATATAATTACAAATGTGTAGTTTTCACATTTTTGCTGCAATTGTAGTATAAGACCATGTTACTTTCCTAATTTCAGAGTTATATACTCAATACTTTATTGCTGCCATGATGTAAATTTTACAGTTGGTAAAAACTTAAGCTAGGTATCAATTATGGACCCTGTCGGGCACAGAATAGAAGAGAGAGAGAGAGAGGGGAATGATTATTACTATATTTATTTATAATATGTTATTTATGTATATTTAATCTGTATGGCCATTATTTTATTTTTATTTAAATATTTAATAATTATTTATTGCACTAAGTTAGTACTATTTGTTATAAAGGTTATTTGTATTATTGTGATTTATTTTGTTAATTGTTGCAATTGGTTTTGGTCAGGCTTGACTATGGTCTCGTGATGTTTTTTTTTTCTGAAACAAGTAGGTGGTATAATGTTTTATAATGTTGTTAAATGCATTGTCACAAATTGTTTATTTCATCCATATATTCTCTTACACTGTAATAGCTTTTTCGCAACAGGAAAAGTTTTAACTTATTAATGAAAATGTTACTTTTTCTTCGTTCTTAATCGTTTCTGGTAGTTTATTATAGGTCAACCCTATAAATTTTGATTCCCTTCAGAGTGTCATTGAGCATTAACTTAGGAGTTTGATTATTTTACAGCATCAAGGGACCGTAGACCTTTTTTTTTTTTTTTTTCGTGCGGGAATCCCCTCGGATACCACCTGTCGGTGGCATGTCGGACTCGAACCGACTAAAACCACCGTCTCGGGTACTAATAGCCGGGGAACCAGGTATACCCTAGAAAGGAAGTCCCTGGTGCAGGGACCGTAGACCTGAGTATATAGTTTTAATTTAAACTTGTTTTTTTTTACGGACATCTGACACACAACGCCATCTAGTTTCAAACTAAGCAGAGCTTGTACTACGAAAGTTAGATTGACTGATAGAATGCTTACATACTTTTTTTTTGTACACATACATATCATACATAGACAACACCCAAACTCCGAAACAAATATTTGTAGAGCATATAAATATTAGGTCCACCAGGGAATCAAACCTCAGAACTGCAGTCGCATACGTTACCACTGCGCCACCGAAGCAATCGTCATATCTCTTAAGGGTCTTGTCAGACAGACTGACAACAAAGTTATCTTATAAGGGTTCCGTTTTTTCTTTAACTAAAAACGAACTCTGTCAAGGCAGCTGGTCTTCAATAATTGCCGTCATAAATATTATCATAATTGTACAACACCATAATGAAAACATTTACACCTTCCTCATAAGGCAGCGACTAAAGTTTTGAACTAAATCTGATAACCTTTATGTGTAAAAAAAATCGGTTGTCAGTAAAGTCGGTTTACTGACGATAGTTGATCGTGACAACGTCATAAGAAAATACTGATGGAATGGTTGCATTTTTCAAAAATGTATTATTGTATACGAGTAGCAGCTGTCCACGCGGACGCATCGCTCACTCAAGTAGGAGAGAGACAGATGTCGAACGCTGCCGAACGCGGAGGCCGATTGTGCCTCTTTGTCACTCGTTCCTCGCTCTCGCTTGCACTTCACGCCTTAAATGGAACGCCTCAGAGCGAGGTAACGGCGCATGAGTCATGTTTTTTCGTGCGTGCAGCCGGCTCCATCGAATTACAAGACGTTGTCACGTCAAAAATCATACGATAGGAATCATACTCTGTATTCTTACCACCACCCCTATTCATCCCGTGGGTGTCATAAGAGGCGACTAAGGGAGCAAAATACGCAGGACAACAGCACTGCAGAGAGAAGGAAAACTTGACACAAACCCTATACCTACCAGTCTGGCCAGCTTGGTGTAGTAGGCCAAAACCTCCTTTCTAAGGAGAAATCAATGTCCAGCAGTGGACTAGTAAAGGCTGTTGATGATGATGATGATGATAAGGAATCATACAATCATAAGAATAAAATAACACTAGGATAGTTTTACGCTACGTTTTAGGCCAAAACATGCTTTCTAAGGAGAGGCCTATGTCCAGGAGTGGACTAGTCCGTCGTGTGCTACGCGGACGACACACTCGTGACGGCGCGCGGCAAGACGCACCACGAGGCAACCCTGAGGGCCACGGCCGGGGTTGCCCAAGTCGTTGAGCGTATCCGGCGGCTGGGTCTCGAGGTGGCTCTGCACAAGTCCGAGGCCCTGTTCTTCCACGGGCTTCGGAGGAAGCCGCCTGAGGGATCTAGCCTCACGGTAGGAGGCACTCGCATCGGCATCGAGCCCTCGATCAGGTATCTGGGGCTCGTACTCGATGGCCGATGGGACTTCGGATATCATTTCCGAGGTCTGGTCCCCAAGTTGGTTGGGGCAGCGCGTGCGTTGGCGCGGCTGCTGCCCAACATGAAGGGACCCGATGACTCCTGCCGGAGACTCTACTTGGGGGTTGTGCGGTCCATGGCCCTTTACGGGTGCCCAGTATGGGCGGGGGCCCTGAAGGCCAGCAACGTCGCGATACTGCGGCGACCGCAGCGAATGCTGGCCATCAGGATCATAAGGGGGTACCGCACGATCTCCTACGAGGCGGCGAGTCTCCTGGCCGGAACTCCACCGTGGGACCTGGAGGCGAGAGCCCTTGCAGCACTGTATCAGTGGCGCAAGGAGGCGCAGGAGTTGGGTCGATGCCCCGAGATTCGAGAAATCGATGACCGGAAATCCCAACTCCGCCAGGTCATCATAGGGGAGTGGAGGGAACGACTCGGGCAACCGAGCGCCGGGCACGCCGTCATTGCGGCGGTAAGACCCGTTATGGAGGATTGGCTCGAGAGGCGTCACGGGACCCTCTCATACCGATTGACGCAGGTGATCACTGGGAAGGGATGTTTCGGAGATCACCTGTGTCTGATCCGCAAGGAGCCAACGCCTGAGTGCCACCACTGCGATGGCCAGACCGTGGACACGGCTCTCCACACGCTGGCAGAGTGCCCGGCGTGGGTTGAGCAGAGGCGAGACCTCGTGGCGGCCATCGGAGTGGGAGTTCTCTCGCTCGATAGCCTGATTGCGGCTATCGTGCGGAGCGAGAGTGCGTGGAACTCTGCCGTCTCCTTCTGCGAGCAAGTTATGCTCGCGAAGGAGACGGCGGAGCGGGACCGGGAGAGGTTTAGAACTCTCCCGGCCCGCCAGGCCCGGGCACGGGCCAGGCAGCTCAGGCGACTCAGGCGCCGGAGGTCGCAGAACGACCTCCGTCCTCCATAAGCGCAGGCCTGGGGGTGACAGGCGAGGCCATCTGTCACCCTAGCAGAAGCAGGCCGGGGTGGCGGCGAGCGCGTTGCGAAGCGCGCTCGCTTCCAGGGAGCACAGGGAACATGGGGTTCCCACACGGGGCGGGGGTCGTCTACTCGTCTGTAGATGACCCGAGGTATGTCGGGGCACCAGGGCCTTCCTTTCTAGGGTATACCTGGTTCCCCGGCTATTAGTACCCGGCGAAGGCGTGCGGTTTTAGTCGGTTCGAGTCCGACATGCCACCGACAGGTGGTATCCGAGGGGATTTCCGCACGGAAAAAAAAAAAAAAAAAAAAAAAAAAAGGAGTGGACTAGTAAAGGCTGTGGATGGATGTGCTTGAACTTGGTCTATATTATTATAATGATAGGGATAAATCACTATATGTGAAGGTATTTTTTTTATTTTTACACGCTTTATATTAGCTTCACTTGTATGTTTGTATGTTTGTTTGTAACCGACTCCTTTGGGCGTGATTTTGACTGACTTTAAACGGTCACAATTCGTTCAAACTTTGTAGATATATCGAGGACCGATGACAATACACTAATTTAAAAAATATTTAAAAATAATACTTAATTAATTAAGTATTATTTTTTTAAATTTAATTAATGCTTTTTGCTATTGACAACAGGCACCCAACGCTTTGTTTTAAATTTATTAAAATTTATTTTCTATTTTTTAGTTTGGTTTTCTATAAAAAGCGTGTTTTTTAGTTTTTTGAAACTGTTATATATATTTTTTTATTATTCTTTATGCACAAATTACAACTCACTTCTACGATGCCGGACTTAATGCCACAGGCATTTTTTCCCAATCAACCTCTGGGTGTTGGGGACCTGTCTGAGTAGGTGCATTAGAAATTAAGTTTTGTTTTAAAAAGATCATAATTATACTTAATTGAGGAGATGGACATAAACAGTGGTACAGATTTATATATAAATACATACTACAATATACATTACGTAACGTTAGTATTGAGACAGAGACAAACGCGGCTCATCACATCATCATCACCAACAGCCTTTAATAGTCCACTGCTGGACATAGGCCTCTCCTTAGAAAGGAGGTTTTGGCCTACAACACCACGCTGGCCAGACGGGTTTTGGTATAGGGTTTGTGTAAAATTTTCCTACCCTTTGCAGTGCTGTTGTCCTGCGTAGTTAGCTCCCTTAGTCGGCTCTTACGACACCCATGGGATGAATAGGAGTGGTGACACTTCGCATTCTTAATCGGTCACCACACGGACCGTCAAACGCGGCTGGCTGTCACTTTATCATACATTTTACTCAATTCATCGATAGGAGTGATATAAAAAACGGTTCACAAAAAGCTGGCTTCCCAAAAGAAGCCTGTTGGTGTGCTGTTTTCCCCCCTCCCTCTTCCTCGAATCTAGAAACACAAGTGCGCCACCCTTAGTATCCGCCAGATCTAGACGGGAGGTGGGTTACACTAGGTTAGGCACAGAATAAAAAATAATCTTACCTGGTTTCTTTACATTATTCCAGCAAGCTTGTATTGGTGTAGCCGTTATCAAAATATAAATCCATAAATACATTTATTTAATACACAGATTCAGTATTATAAACATACACAATTAGATTAAAATAAGCATGAAATATAATGCAACTAACAGCTATATGGTAATATGAAAACAATAAACATTAGGTATTTATTAAGCTATCGTTAAATGTGTTGTTTGTAGAGTGCTAAAGTAATAAATAAAAACCAGTAAGTCAATTATATTATTTAAAATGTTTGTGTCCTTTTCGTTTGATGACGGATTAAGCATAAAGAGTGTTGTTAATCCCCTGTTCATCCCGTGGGTGTCGTAAGAGCCAACTAAGAGAGCAAACTACAAAAGCAGCACTGCAAAAGAGAAGGTAAACTTGAAACAAACTTTATAACAATTCGTCTCGCCAGCGTAGTATAGTAGGCCAAAAGCTAGGGAGAGATCAATGTCCAGCAGTGGACTGTTACAGGCTGTTGATGATGATTTATGATAAAAATTATCTTTAGCCTACTGCTTTCCACTGCTGAACAAAGTCCTCTATCCATGCAAATCCGCATCCATCCACTGCCAGCCATTTTCCTCAAGCCGTCGGTCCATAGTGCCGCAGGGCGCCCTACACTACGTTTTTTTTTACGTGTGGAAACCCCCTCGGGCTGTCACCCTACTGGGGTTTGGGGCCCCAGAGATATGTCGAAATCGCACCGAATAAAACCACACGATGTGCCACTCTGTGCCTGTAGTAGGAGGGATCCGGGAACTGCTGCAATTAAGACATCCGGACCACACTACGTTTGCCTAGGGGTCGGTGCATTGAATTTTATTTTTCCATACTCTTTCACACACTCCTGAATTTCATTGCGACATGCTTTTGTTTTTTTTCCAAGGGGCGAGAGGAGAAAAACCTCCTTTCTAAGGAGAGGCCTATGTCCGGCAGTGGACTATTAAAGGCTGTTGTTGGTCATACTTTTTTTTTTGGTTGTATTTGGCTCGTCTTTTAAAATTTTCTTATAAAATTGAAGTGTAAAATTTAGCCGACTAAAGTACACCAACTCTCCTACGGCCTACGGGTGTTAAATGTTTCGTTATCACTGAGTGAGTGAGATTACTGGAGCCCAAACCTCTCCTCCATTTGATCCAGGTGGGGACTCAAAAGGCGGCAACGCACTGGTGGCTCTTAAGCCGCAGGTGTCCATGGGCGACGGTAGTCAGTTACTATTGGGTGTGCTTGTTTGCCCCTATGCAATAAAAAAAGAAGAAAAAAGAAGAACATTGCAGACCCATAAACATGTGGAAGAACGGGTGTCATGTCCCTCCAACACAAAGGGAGGATCCTCCGACCAGCCGAGGTGATCATGCCTGGCGGGACGCGACCCAACGGTTGATGTTTATATATATATACATATATATATACATATCGCGATACAGGATTAGCAATTCTCATTCAAGAGTTACTCCGTAGGTCGGTGTCTCTTCGTTAGATGGCGCTGTAGTATGTTTCTGTTTCTTTGTATGTGGGAGTCACCAAAAAACATAATTACTGTTTTATGCCTGTAGTGTGAACTGATATATCTATTCTTTGCACAACACATTTTCCTATTGTGGTTGCATATTCCTGATACATAAATATCGTTATTTAGGTATAGGTACATTTGAAGTTATGATAACATTGTATAAACATAGTTTACTTTATTGTAAATTGTATTTAAAAAGATATTAAAAACGAGTTTTTATTCAAATAAATTGAAACACTGACAGAACATATTCTCATCACACAATTATTAGTGTCTGTTACGAAAGCAAAATGTTATCTCAGTTTTCAGTAATGCAAACAATTGAGAGCCCTATGTTGTAGAAATGTGTCGAAGTTATTAAAATAGGACAGCCGCTTTACAGTTATTCACAAACATTAGATTCTGCTGGAGTAACGTTACCGCAGCAAAAATAATTCGAATGTTGACTGACTAGATTTTAAATTACATTACATTACATTCAAAAAGACAACTCCCGCATTAGGAATATATCCTGTGTCGCGGGGGACTTTACAAACATAGGTACATGAAACGGACTCAAAAAACACACAGACTCAGAACAACAATTTGTTGATCACACAAAGTGTCGTCCCATGTGGGGATCAGACCCACAACACTCAGCGTAGTAGGTAGCGGCGTGGTGACCGCTTGAACTGACTATGAAATGACTAAATGATTATTTTACTTACAATAACCGACAATTTTATCGTATGTGTTTGATTATTTAACGGGTTTTGACTCATGACGCATGTAAAAAAATATAAAAAATAGTATCATCATCAAATTCTTCCAGCGTTCCACTACAAACTACTGAAAGTCATCATTTTCAAAGTTAGAAATACGAAATAAGAATTAATCACGCGAGCGATGCATTAGCAATAGTTAATTATGTATGAATGAAGAATGAACAAGAGAATCAGTGGATATGTTTTACATGAAGTAAAATACTTACTAGTAACATGTCTTGTTGTGGTTGATAAGTCCCTTACATGCGGCTCTCTTTTGAAGATAAACATCTCTTTTTTAGAAATATTTCTTTCAATTTCTAATGGTTTTTGTATAATATTTACACAACTGAATATAGAGCCGCTATCTTCTTCTTTCAATTTCAGTTGTACTGGACCCGAATATTGAGTTACGTTTTTAAAAACTTTGTTCTGTATTAACATTACAAGAGTATCTGTAAAGTAATTAAATAAATTAAATTGAGTTTACATCCATACTTATATCATAAATGGGATGTTGAGCTTGTTTGTTTGTCTGTTACGCTTTCACGCCTAAGCTAGCGCCTAGCACTATACCGATTATTATTTTTAATATACACAACTCCCGCGCTAGGAATGAATCCTGTGTCGCGGGGGACTTTACAAACATACATGAAACCAACAAAAAGAACACCCAGACTCAGAATAACAATTTTTGAATTACACAAAGTGTCCTCTCATGTAGTGAGCGGCGTGGCGACCGCTTGAACCATTACGCCATCTGTGCAGTCCGATCCGACCCGATTTGAAAAATTATTTCACCAATAGAAAGCAGCATTATCCGCGAGGAACATAGGTTACTTTTGTCCGCTATATCCGGCATACACGATGACGGAGCAAACACAAACAAACGAACACTAATACAACTGACAACAACAAGATACATTAATTATTCCTGTATTCCTGTAATCTGCCTGCTCGAATGCAATGCATTTATCTAGAGGTTACGAACTTTCAATTCGCTAAAAATGAAACTAGACCAGTGGCCAGTCCATTTGCTTTCGCCAAGAAGTCATATGAGGTCGTGGGGGTCTTTAGTTGGTCGCCTTTGCGGGTAAGGGTGCTTTTCAATGCGTTTGGCGTAAGAATTGAGTGTTTCTGTTATTGCCTGCTTCAGCGCTGGAGTTGGATATTGGTAACATACCATCGTACATTCTTTATCATGCGCAGCGTCTCTGACTGCATATGTTGTAGGATTTCCAGGTTTGAGTCGACTGCAGTTCTCCACAACTCCACTCCATATGACCAGCTGGGCTTCAGCAAACATTTGTATAAAAGGAGTTTATTCTCTAGTGATAGTTTGAATTTGCGAGACATCAACCAATTCATCTGCCTGAGTTGTTAGTCGAATGCTTTCGTGATCGCTTGTTTTATGTTCCATATATTAGTGACCACATGATCTAAACAGCCTTGCGTACAGCGTTGTCGCAGCGTTGAACTTCAAACTAACTTAGTTTGAAATTCGACCCTATGGCAGCTCTGTAGCCTTGAATTTCAAACGAACTTTGTTTAAAGTTCGACGCTGTGACAGCACTGTACGCAAGGCTGTTTCCTTACAGAATAGCACTGCTGAGTCGGCAAGTGCTGTTTTGATGTCGCCAAGATCAGTTGGTGGATGCATGTCATCATCAACATCATCAACAGCCTTTACTAATCCACTGCTGGACATAGGCTATTCCTTAGAAAGGAGGTTTTGGCCTACTATACCACTGGCCAGACGGGTTGGTATAGGGTTTGTTTCAAATTTTCCCTCTCTTTGCAGTGCTGTTGTCCTGCATAGTTTACTCCCTTAGTCGGCTCTTAGGACACCCACGGGTTGAATAGGGGTAGTGACACTGTATTCTTAATCCGTCACCACACGGATGCATTCCTGCATACTTCAATATTACTTTGAAGTTTCGTTCATGTTTAGGTTTGAACGAATATTATTCGGTATCCTTAGCATCCAGTTCCTTCGTGATAGTTTAGTATACATCGCTTGATTTTGGCTGTATTTGGTTATTGCGTAAAACTTTGAATTTGAATCTTTCCACTTTATCGTGAAATAGTGTAGTTAACGGTGGTATATTTGTAACTTTATCAACAAATATAGGCGGTGGATTGCCTTTCACTAGGTTGTGTCTAAGACAAATCATTTTGTGTATCTCTTTTAGCTCAGCAAATGAATTTAATGTGGGTAGAGGTGACTGAGCCAGTAACCCTTTGGTTTCGCTTGCTTAACCACCCGGGACTGTTTCATTGTCTTTTTTTGTTAAGAACTTTAGTCGACGGTTCATCATCTGTGTTTTGGGTTTAATGTGTCGAGTCATCAGGATCAAGAGTTGTACTTATATTGCATCTGAGAGAGAGTGAGATCTTGGTCTATTAAAAAGACCAGGGTGAAATATTTGCTGTATTAGCTTTTTATTTTCTGTTTTGTCTTTTGGGTTGTTTATAACTTTTATATTCAAATGACTAAAAACGTCGCACACAGGGTGACGCCCATTCCCATGTGAAGGCACTATACAACAATGTGAGAATTTTCCATTGAGGTTGGCGCTAGTGACTGATATCCCATCAGTCATTCATCCGATTGGCGCGTATCCCACATGTAGGATTAGTGTTTATTAGAGAGAATGGCTAAATCTTGGGCCATGCAATTAAGGCATGACCCCCATGCGCCTCAGACATGACCACTGGTTTACGGATTGGTGATCAATTCCTATGTTTAGCTGTTATGCTTGTCAGATTACTCGGCGTTGTTTAGGACCTACACCACAATAGATTGTGAATCCTACGGACGCGTAACATTTAAAATGTTCACAAAAATCTCCAAACGTAACAAACAAAATCGAATCGAAAGAAGAAGAAGAAGCGGCGGTAGCCTAGTGGTTAAGGCCTTGGACTTGCGATCAATAGGTCGTGGGTTCAAATCCTGACTAGTATACTACCGACATGAACCCAGCTTAGCGGGAGGGGTTAACGGGAATACTAGTAATTTCGGTTGCTAGTAGACCCTATTAAAAAAAAAGTCAGCTAAAAAACAAAACTCTTTCAGCGAGTGTTGGAATTATTTCAACTAAGGATTTTATAACTTACATCCTTCATGCTCTGGATTTTTTTCACACGAATAACGGATCTCAGAAGTTTCATTGTAATACCTTGGTATTATGCGTGATGCTGAAAAATAGTAATATTACGTGTTTTCCTTATAAAAGTAGTTTTTTATAAAAGTAGTTAGCTTTTTGCGTAATTAACATGACGCGACCCTTAATAATATTATAATACTAGCTGACCCGGCGAACTCTGTTCCGCCTTAAAGGCAATAAATAAGCCGATTTTCGAATTTAGTAAGTTAATTTATTTCTTAGAAAAAAAAATGAAGTACATTAATCATTTATTATAGTTTCTGCATTTCAGTACATAGGTTGCTCTTCACTTAAGTACCTTGTGATACACGACATTTTTTCTTTTCTTATCAGGCGCAAAAACAAACAACGCAGATGGTCTTCCGACCAATACTCAACGTTGCAATGTGTCTTGAACGTTTTAGAAATAAGTGGCGAATATGGAACAATCCAACTGTTGTCGACAACGAAATCCATTCTTTTCACTTTTGTTGTGACAGTTCCACCGTTGTCATCTGGTGATCGACGACGATACAAAAAAAAACCGGAATAAATAGTATCCTATGTCCGTCTCCTGGCTCTAAGCTACCTCCTCACCAATTTTCAGCCATATCGGTAAAGCCGTTCTTGAGTTATAAATAGTGTAACTTACACGACTTTCTTTTATATATATAGATGAATTTGACACATCTCACACACGGCCATCTCATCCTAAATAAGGTAGATCCTGTGCCTACAGAAACTTAATAGATCCTAACTGATCTTCTACAATTATGTTCATATTTAGAAATATTTCATAATTACCATCATCACCATCAACAGCTTTTAATAATCTACTGCTGGACATAGGCCTCTCCTTAGAAAGGAGTTTTTGGGCCAAAAATACCACTCTAGCCAGACGGGTTGGCATAGGATTTGCTTCAAGTTTTCCTTCTCTTTGCTGTTACTGTTGTAGTTTGCTCCCTTAGTCGGCTCTTACGACACCCACGGCATGACTAGGGTTGGTGACGCCAGCAAACGTAGTGTAGGACGCCCACAGGCCTGGTTGAGTGACGATTTGCGCAAGATGGCTGGCAGGAGCTGGATGCGAGAAGCCCAAAATCGATCTAAGTGGAGTGCAATGGGGGAGGTTTATGTCCAGCAGTGGACTGCGATAGGCTAATGATGATGATGATGTATTTAGAAATATGTTTATTAGCAGTCCGGTTACCATAGTACAGGCTCTGTGTAGTTTGGGATCTGACGGCCATGTGTGAAATATGTTAAATGAAATTTAAAATATTTATTTATTGACATGACAAATCTTTATATATATAATTCTTCTGTGAGTGTGTATGTCACTGAACTTCTCTCAAACGACTGGACCGATTTTGATGAAATTTTTAGATAGATTCACAATTTTGTCCGCTGGACAATGTTTTTTTAATTAATTTTTAATTTATTAGTAGTTGTTGATTTTGGAATGTTTTACATTGGATCAGACAGACGGCGCTACCATCGCAGTGACAAATTTGACAGGACAACGTCTGTCGGGTCCGCTAGTAGTATATAATACATACGCTGGCTCCTAAACTAGTGTGAACTGTATTATAGGACCCAGTGACTTCACCTTGTTACATGTTACACACAGTTATGTCAACAAAAATATAAAAGAAAGTTGTTTATTTACAAAACAGAGCAAGCCAACTTTATTATTATTTAAATCATCATCCATCATTCATCCATCCACAGCCTTAACTAGTCCACTGCTGGACATAGGCCTTTCTTTAGAAATAAGGTTTTGGCCTACTATACCACGCTGACCTAACGGGTTGGTATAGGGTTTGTTTCAAGTTTTCCTTCTCTTTGCAATGCTGTTGTCCTGCGTAGTTTGCTCTCTTAGTCGGTTCTTACGACACCCACGGGATGAATAGATGTGGTGACACTCTGTATTCTTAATCCGTCACCACACGGAGGCCGTGGCCGTCACCACACCACCGTAAAATCAAACACACATTATGGTGTTAGTATTTGTGTCGCGTGTAAAATATAGTGCAACTACAAATGTGACTTGCACTGGTATGAATGTGCGCATCTGTGCGTGCAGTGATTATAAGGTGAGGTAATTCACTCCTTTTGAGATGTATTTATAATCATCTACTTACAATTTATTGTTGATATTTTAATTGGATAACGAACAATCTCTTTACTTTTACCAAATTGTCCAACTTTCTGGTAACAGACAAAAGCTGTGTTCTCATCTAAATCGTCGATTCTCATAGTTACTGTGCTTCTATCGCCTATTGGTACAGGGTTAACTGAAACAAGTATGCTAAAATTAATGTTAAATAATATCATTTAAATAAGCTTTTGGACAATTGGAAAATATTTAATAGCATTAGAAGAATATAAGATAAAGAAAAAATATTATATTATATTATTTGACTACCGGATGGCGTAGTGGTTTGTGTAACGGACTGCTATTCCAAGGGTCGCGGGTTCGATTCCCGCTCAAGTCAAACATTTGTGTGCATGAACATTTGATGTTTGATTTGGTCTGGGTGTTTCTATGTATAACATGTATGTATTTACAAAAAAAATGTAAATATGTATTGATATCAGTTATCTAGTAACCATAGTACAAGCTCTGCTTAGTTTGGGACTAGATGGCGTTGTGTGAATGTGGTAGAATATTATTATTTATTATTATAGTGTCAGAGTAATAAAGAAGGGTAAATTAGATCAGTTAAAAGTAAATAATTATTATGGGGAAAGGACCAGGAAGTATGTAGTACCAAAGTTATGTGAAAAATATCAAATACTAAGGGCGGACAAGAAAATAAAATGTAAATTTAAACTGAAACTAAGATTAAAAGAAATGTTTGAATGGAAATGGATTAAAACGTGTACATAAATAGGGAAGCAGGTACCCAGGAAATAGACAGGTTACACATACTTATGTATTGTTTATGTCTTGAATATATTTTGTATTTTTAGTTAGTACACCGTTGTAGTAGTAATTTAAAAACTAGCATTTAAGTACTAAGGGTATTATAAATTGAGCGGCACTCCTACAAATTGTTAGAACAGTTTAGCGAATAGAGAAATTGAAAAAAAAATGAAAATCAAGTGTGATTAAGGTTTAAAATATAAAAAAAAGAACGCTATTGACAGAACAGCTGAAATAAAGATATTTTTAAACTTAAAACCTATCGCCGGCTTTAATGCACCTTTTTTTTTTTTTTTTTTTTTTTTTTTTTTTTTTTCGTGCGAAAATCCCATCGGATACCACCACCGCACGCCGTCTGGGGTACTAATAGCCGGGGAACCAGGTATACCCTAGAAAGGAAGTCCCTGGTGAGGCTTTAATGTGTAGTGCTCGGCTAGGCTGCCTACACTAACAACGTTCGGGTATCGAACCCGCGTGAAAGCACTAAGTAAGCGAGCGATAGTAAGTAGGAAGAATGAATGAAGGTTTAAAAGCAGAATGAATAATATTATTATTAAGGAAGAAATGAAATTATATTAGCAAAGTAAATACAGGAGAATTTAGCACATACAAAATAAGCACAGGTATACGAATAACATATGTTAGCGCGACGCGTATAAGCTCCAAGCAAGTCGAAAGCGTTATGTGGTGGTGGCGCGCCGACATCGGTGCGCGGGCGCATTGGCGCCAGCCGTCTGCAGTAAACATCGTATGTTTCTTGGTTGTGGTCTAAGTGGCATGAGCGGAGCGATTCCGCTCATCCAGTGACGGTGTCGGAATAAGCTTCCGCCACAAATGCACCTGAGTTGTAAAACTGTATTCCTCAATTTTCCATTTTTCAAAAAATACCATACATATTTCTTTATGACTGCGCTGGTGGTTTATTTGTTTACACATCATGCACTTTTGATGCATTGGCGCACTTAATGTCTAAGGCATTCTCTACCAGTCAACCTTTGAGTGATGCAGAGAGAACAGGAAGTAGGTGCATTTTATTTAGACATTTAATATTGTATGTATACTTTGTACAAAATCATATAATATATACACATATACAAATCTGTCATAGTATATGACCACCATAGTATATGATACACCATATTTTTTTTTATTCCTGTGCGGAAATCCCCTCGGATACCCCCCACCGGTGCCTTGTGCGAAAATTGTCTTTTAAAAACAAAAAATGAGACCAACCGGTAAGTATCCCAAATAAAAAGAATTTTACAAAATCGCTTTTATATAAATTGATGGGTCTGTTGGTCTAGTAGTTAGTGACCCTGACTGCTAAACCGGAGGTCTTCGGTTCGATTCACAGCCAGGATAACAATAGTGCCCCCTCTCACCAGAGTTTGAGGTAAATAAGTTAAAAAACTCACAAATATATTATGGTGGTTGGCAATTTTCGTGATTGGGAGGTAATAATACATTGTTTTTTATTTTTTAAACCCTATCTATACTCTATACAAACAAATAAAATTGGAGTGTCTGTTTGTAATATTAAAATAACCGCTTTTTACTAAATGCATATGTATGTTTACACGGTACATATGCCAAAATAACATTTTTTACAATTTTTGTCTGTCTGTCTGTCTGTTTGTTCCGGGTAATCTCTGGAACGGCTAGACCGATTTCTACGGGACTTTCACTGGCAGATAGCTGATGACATAAGGAGTAACTTAGGCTACTTTTTTTAGACTAGCTTCGCTCCGCGGCGTTGCCCGCGGTTATAACAACAAACGCGGGTAACACCGCGGGTCTCAGCTAGTTATAAATACATACATAATTACTCGTATTATACATAGAAAACATCCAAATATCCAAAACAAATATAGGACAATATATAAATTAAGAATTTAGCCTGTTCGTGGGTTCGTTTCCCAAACAAGGCAAATCGTTGTGTAAAATAAGCACTATCATTTATTCTATGTGATATGTGGGAGGATAATTCTTACTTACCATTACCATGATTAAATTCTTGGTACCACTGTATTGTAGAGTTCTCATCGCCACCATGATTACATTTGAACACTTGTTTTGATCCAACAATTAATTCTGAAAAAACCCAATATCAAACATCGTTTTCTAGACTGTAAAAAAAAGAGCGTGGACCTAAACCCACCCACACGCCCACCACTGTAACTCCTGTACACCAGGATCCACAGCAGTGACCCACAAACACACCGAGTTATGACACTCGGGAAGTCCCAGGAAGAAATTAAACTGTGTTAGCAAAGCGGGAGACAAAATGAAGTAAAATAGGCACACACCCTTTTAAACAGGGAAGCACCACGTCCACAAAAATATTACGGGTCCTACGTGAGCTATATTTGATTTCTATAATATGTATGGCAGAATCGCCTAAACGCACGGAAATTCACCCTAGTTGACACAAGATCCCCATAGTATACCGCCCCAGATGTCACCTGCTAGCTATTCAGCATTATATTACGTTCATTATACTAAAGACTACATTCCCAGAGGATATGATGATGCGTGCGGACCTAACGGATCGGTTGACCGTGACCCTTGCAGAAGCACCTGCTCCGCGCTTGCTTCTCTTATCTGGAGAGGATGACGGTTCCCGTACCCCACGGCGTGGTCACCAGTTTGTTTTATATACACAGCATGCACTTTTGGTGCACTGACGGATTTAATGCATCAGGCATTTCCTTTAGCCAACCTTTGGGTATAAGTTTTGGAATATACAAACAAGTTTTTATGAATTCATACTAAATTCATCAGGTGGCCTTAGTCTAGAGGGATTCTCGGGGACACCGTAACAAGGGTTGTGTTGAACATGGTACCAAGGTCGACCAGATTTCAAGTAATAGTCGTCTTCAATAAAATACCAGAACGCTTCAAAGAACTGACCTTAAATAAGTTTGCCCAAGCCCTGAAAAATCGATTGATTGCCCACACATTTTATTCGGTTAAAAACTTTTTGAATAGTAGAGAGAGTAGTAGTTATAATGAATAAATATTAAATTATAATCAATACACAAAAACTGAAATAGAATAATAATAATAATAATAATATTTTTATTGACATAGAAAAGAAGTACAATGCTTACATACATACATATTATCAAAACAGCATCAGTGAAAACTTAAGCAGTCGAGCTCTGGCACCCATTGTAAGATTTAACTTGAGTCATGGGTACCAGTTCTTCTCACAGTTGTAGACTTATGATAAGACGCGTATGCGCGTGCGTGTGTCTCTTTCTGTGTCTTGTTTTGTGTGTGTGTTTGTGTGTGTGTGTGTTTATGTGTGCGTGTATGTGTGTGTGTGTGTATTTAATTTTATAGCACGGTGAGTCTCATTAACTTCTCGGTTGTATCGTAATCCTGTTCAAGTAACCAGTTCATTACTTTGGCTTTGCATTGTCTTTTCGCAAGGTGATGAATTTGGCAATGCTTGTTTAAGGTGTTGTAAAGATGAACTGCGATAATACGAAAGTGTCTCCTGGCAAGGGCAGTTCTGCATGTGACTGCAGGACAAATTTTATAAGACCTGCGTGTGTGTGTGTGTGAATAATACTCGTACGTTACATAAGTCATTTTAATATTTTTTTAAATAAATATTTGCATGCTATTTTCATGGCGTTGTTCCATTACATTTAACTTGTAATACCACATTATGTTCTACCCCAATTAAAGCAAATAAATAATTTGAATTTGGAGGAAGTATCCGGGTCCCCTGCAAAACCCTGTTCGAGTCCAACCAATGAAAATATAATTTTCCAGATGAGTTCATAAATGACTGAATTCTGAGTTCTGAGGTCATCATCATCGTTAACAACAGCCTTTAGTAGTCCACTGCTGGACATAGGCCTCTCCTTAGAAAGGAGGTTTTGGCCTTCTGTACCACGCTGACCATAAGGGTTAATATGGGGTTTGTGTCAAATTTTCCTTAGTTTTGCAGTGCTGTTGTCCTGCATAATTTACTCCCTTAGTCGGCTCTTACGACACCCACGGGATGAAAAGAGGTGGTGACACTCTGTATTCTTAATCTTACAATTCTGAGGTAACACTATAAAAGGCAACTAACTAGACAACCTGCTTCGATGTCGGTTAATTTATGTGGGTAGTTAGAAAAAAATAAAAACAAAATCATTCTTACCACACCTTTTCTGCCAGTCTACATCAAACACAACACCACGTTCACTGAAGCCATAACTGCGGTAATCATGAGTCTTGTGACTATATTCTACACAAACAAAAACAAATTAATTTTACCATTTGTCTATCTATTGACACCCGCAACTCAATTCCCTCCCTAGAATTCCTAAGTAAGGGGGATCGTCCAGTGTCTTCACTTACTTGGTATGCTGCAACGAAAGAATTGCTTGACTCTGGGATTCTGATCTTCCCAATTTGTGGTTACCTTATAACAATAAATTCATCACTTTCTGGTGGAATGCGTTTGGACCAACAATCTTAGTTAAATTTATTTTTAAGTATAAGTAGAGTATTTTTAATTATTGTGTCTGAAACTATGTCGAACGTAGCTTTCACATCACACACATCAACAGCCTTTAATAGTCCACTGCTGGACACAGGCCTCCTCCCAGAAAGGAAGTTTTGGCCTACTATACCACGGGTATAACGTAGCTATTGTGTTATATAAATTTAAAGAAAAGTTAGAAAATATTTCAGGGCGTTAGAAAAGTACCGTAACATTATTCGCTAAGGATGCATTTTTCGGAAATACGTTAAATACAAAAGTTACAGGATTTTTTTTGGGTATCCATTGGTGTCCTTGAAATTGACCTTGAGCGCATCCTTGAAGATTATCTCAAGGGTCAACGGCAATTTTCAAATAAGATTGCATATTTTTGAGCCCGGAATTGAAAAGAGAGGAAAAAATTACAATCGGATAAAATTCAGATCAAAGTTACCCATTCATAATCTAAGGTCTCCACTGAACGGCCAGGAAAAAATCACGAATCTTGTAGCTAGTCTCTTGACTGAAGAGAATAATCAATTTACTACGGTTTTGTGAGTTTGACCTTGGATAGGTGACCTTTGAGGCCAAAATTTTCTTTCTAAAGGTCATATCCAATTGTATTTTTTTCTTCTATTTTCAATTCCGGGCTCAAAAATATGCAATCTCATTTGAAAATTGCCGTTGACCCTTGAGATAACCTTCAAGGTTATGATGAAGGTCAATTTCAAGGTCACCAATGGATAGCCAAGGAAAATTCCTATAACTTTTGTATTTTACGTAATTCCGAAAAATGCATCCCTAATGAATTATTCTGCTGTTCCTGTATTTTTCTAACACCCGGTATAATTCAGATAATTCGCTTTTAAGGATTTTAAGTTTGTTTGTATTATTTATGAAGCGCTTATGGGATTGACATCATAATACATAATATACAAATATATAATAAGCATGCAAGCTGTGTTTAGTTTAGATCTAGATACTTTTTTACCGCGGGAGAGCCATGCTTCTGCACGAATGGGCCGGCTCGACCGGACTGATATCACGGCCTCACAGAAAACCGGTGTTAAGCAATTCTTTCGTTGCCTTTCACTGAGTGAGTGAGGTTACCAGACCAAATCCCGCTGACTCGTGCGGGAGGGACTCCAAGGGCAGCAACGCACCTGTGACTTTTGAGTTGCATGTGACTATGGGCGGCGGTAGTTGCTTACCATCAGGTGACCCGTTTGCTCGTTTGCCCCCTTATACCATAAAAAAAAAGATAGCGCTGTAAAGAACATTGTGCGTTATGCAGAGGGCTTTAAGTAGTGTTTCAAATCACATACTTGCTAGGTCCTCATTAGTGCATCGGTGATCTCCTTTTAGTTTTATCAGCTGTCTTGTCGCACATATTTCGTTCTGTTTTTTCTCTAGAGTTACATATAACTCGTCACTATCGTCTTTTAATGCACTCACTCGGATTGTGTCATTGCAAGGACAAGTTCCGCCATCGCCTTTTTTATCTATGGCAAAAAAATGGATTTCATTATGCAGCAAACTCATAAACAATTTAATTTTTCTGTTAAAAGTATTAACTGTTTTATTTCTTAATCTAACGATAGATTTTGTAGATTGTATCCAGAAAAGCTTAGTCGAGCCCACGCCCACGTTCCACGAGAATGGTCTTAGAATCGATCCCTGTGGGACACCCTACGTTTATGTAGAGTGATGTCTGATGGTAAGCTCTTCTAGAGTATACCACCAGTCGCCTGAGGTGGTGTTGCTCTCCGTCATAGCGTAGCACCTTCCTGGCGCAGCTGAATGAAAAAATCAAACGTCAAAAAAACCCCCAGCTGAAATAAGCAGTTTTCGGTGCAGCTTTTGAATGTTTTTATCTTTCGATTTTTGCGATAAAGTGTTTTTTTCTTTTTGAAGTTGTTGTCTATTTTTTAGTTCGTCTAGTTACAAAAGCATGTTTTTTAGTTTTTCAAAGTATAATTTATTTGACAAATGTTTTAATTTGATCGCAAACTAAGAGCAAATAGCCAGAAAAGTTATTAAAATGTTATATTTGTCGTGACGTCTTAAGAATAGTAAAATTTTGTTAAAATTGAAATGAACTAACGGGCTACCTTACCGGTTACCCTGAGACTACTGCTGTTGGAAGTCAGAGATCATTTTGAGCTCTCCATTGCCCGGTGCTTTTACTGTGGGGTGAGCGACGCCTTCTCTCATTCTCTTTCTGCCACCTCTTTTGTGGGCATGATTTTTACACAAAATGAGGCCACAAAATCTCAAGCACTTCCACTTTGGACCTTGGACAAAACCGCGACAAAATTGCGAGAGACTGCATCGTGACGATGAAAATGCCTAGAGCAAAAAAATAAATTCAAAGATACGTACAGTTTTTGCCATGAACCCAATACGTTACTGCTTGAGAAGGTACGTTTAGTAGGCTAAATTTGGAGCCTAGGTAGACTTGTTTAGCTAACTGTTGGCAGGAGAACGGTAACGGCAGAGAGATATCTGAAAAAATTAAAATCCCAATTAAAGGAAATTATAAATTATTTTGCGCAAGATGGCTGGCAGGAGCTGGATGCGAGAAGCCTAAAATCGCAGGCCATCGCAATGATGGCACCCAGGCGTTGGCTCCGGATCAGACATAGGTGATCTCCGAAGCATCCTTTTCCCGTGATCACCGGAATAGCCAGAATGAGAGTCCGGTGTTTATTCTCAAGCTAATCCTCCATAACTGGTCTTACCCCCGCTATAACGGCGTGCCTGGACCACCCCCTCCCCCTGATTCTGGGGGAGGGGATGGTCGTGCTCCGTCTGCTCACTTGTAGGGAGACCCTAGTTCCCGAACTTCATCCTTTATTCTTATCACGCTTAACATTCTTGCCTGAAAACATTTTCATTCCCGAGGAGTTCTGGCATCAGGCAAGTGACCGTAACAAAACCATCGATATTGTCTGGTTATCTTTGCAATTTTACATTCATCATCATCAACAGCCTTTAATAGTCCACTGCTGGACATAGGTCTCTCCTTAGACATGAGGTTTTGATTACAACGTAACACTGTTCCGAACCAGAATAAATTTAAAAAAAAGGCCAGTAAAATGATGAATACAAAAGATCCTTAACGTTTGATAGTTTATAGTAATATAAAATTGTTTACGTACCTGAATTGTGCTCTCCAAAAATATGCTTATTTATAAACAAAATACTTAGTACCAAGTGTTGAAAAATATTCATGACGTATTTGATACGTTAACTTATTAATAACAGAATAAATCAAGTAGAAATGATATTATTCGAACATGTTGTAATTGTTTGTAATAAAAGCACTCATTTGCCGCTAGCAACAAATGTCGCTATATCATATTGTATGTATTTGCTAACAACTACATATATTAGTGAGTCATTTTCCCTATTTATTTACCTAAATACAATCCGTGACTTCTTAGTCACTGTTATATGATAACTTCTATTTATTAGTTATGTGTCATGAATTATTGTGTCAATTTTATTAATTCTTTTGACTACTGAACACGTGCAATGAATTCTGGTACTACCTCTGTCCCTCCTAATCTTATTTGATCTTCCATGGGTTGCTTGAAAGTTATTGCTTTTATAAATAAATTCACCTTTTGTACATTAGGTGTTCTTAGAATTATGTATGATGCTTTCACTCTACAATATTTTTTTCAATTACCACATTCACACAACGCCATCTAGTCCCAAACTAAGCAGAGCTTGTACTATGGGTACTAGACAACTGATATAAATACATAAAATATATTATATTAGATCTTTACCTATGAAATTGCCGTTTTGTATGCAATAAGTGAAAGGACTTATTTTTTCAAACTTTTTTATTTCTGTTATTCGAAGTAATCACCCATGCAATCGACGCATCTTTGCCAACGCATTGGCAGTTTATTGATGCCCTTCTTGTAAAAATCAGCTGGACGGGAGGCAACAAACTCTTCAAAGGCATTTTGTACTGCCTCTCGTGAATTGAATTTTTTACCCACTAAAAAGTTGTCTAAATTTTGGAAAAAGTAATAGTCGGTAGGTGCAAGCTCATGTGAGTATGGCGGATGAGGGAGAGCTTCCAACCCCAGATCTTGCAGCTTGGAGACTGTCTGTTACGCAGTATGGGGTCGCGCGTTGTCGTGAAGGAGCAGTGGAGACGACCGATTGACCAAAGCTGGTTGCAGATGTGACCACCAGAACACAAAAAATTCAATTCCCGAGAGGCAGTACAAAATGCCTTTGAAGAGTTTGTTGGCTCCCGTCCAGCTGATTTTAACAAGAAGGGCATCAATAAACTGCCAATGCGTTGGCAAAGATGCGTCGATTACATGGGTGATTACTTCGAAAAACAGAAATAAAAAGTTTGAAAAAATAAGTAATTTCACTTATTGCATACAAAACGGCAATTTCATAGGTAAAGACCTATTACATAGAAACACCCAGACTAAATTAAACATTAAATATTCATGCACAAAAATGTTTGGACTTGAGCGGGATCGGACCCGCGACCTTTGGAAAAGCAGTCCGTTACACAAACCACTAAGCCATCCGGTCGTCTGAAAAAAAATTGTAAAAACCTATGTACATTAAACATGTTTAATGAGACAAATAAATGTACTATACGAGTATTCTCACAAATAAACATATCTTTAGGCATATTTTTGTAAAAATAAAAACAAAGAACTGGTATTTTTCTAAATAACTTGGCTCCTGGATGGAACTAGTGGAATTTTGTAATCTGACCTGTATTCAGATAGGCATATTAGTGTAGAAAATAATGTAATAGAATAAAACGAAATGAAGTGTAGTAGAGAGGAGAGAATAGAAGAGAATGGAGTAGAATATATAATATACTAGCTAACCCTGCAAACGTTGTTTTGCTTTTTACATTATTATTATTTTTTAATTTCTTAAATCCTTTCTTAGCTGACCTCTACTCGGTGAAAAGAATATTTCTACCAAATTTCAAGTCTTTAGCTCTAATGGTTCCAGAGATATCGTGATGAGTGACTATATACGTGGAAATCTCTTATATATATATATATAGATTAGTATATATAATATACTAGCTGACCCCGCAAACGTTGTTTTGCCATATATATTATTTCAAATAAAATTGACACAAAAAAAAAATTGGTGTATGAAAAATAGATGTTAGCCGATTCTCAGATTCTCTTTCATTCTCTACCCGATATGCACACAAAATTTCAAGAAAATCGGTCGAGCCGTTTCGGAGGAGTTCAACTTCTAACACCGTGACACGAGAATTTTATATATTAGATATGATGAGATATATTAGTATCAAATAGAACAGTAAGTAATTAAGGATACCAACTAAATCAAAATACAGTGTAACCAAATTACAGTGTGTATACGAGCCGACTAGGCAGGACACCAGCACTGCAAAAGAAGGAAAACTTGACACTAACCCTATACCAACCCGTCTGGCCAGCGTGATATAGTAGGTCAAAACCTCCTTTCTAAGGAGACGCCTATGTCCAGCAGTGGACTATTAAAGGCTGTTGATGTGATCCAAAATGTATACCTTTAAAGTTATCTGAATGTTAGTACGTGATCAGTAGTTTCTATGTATTTCTGCTTTTTATTGTTGGAACGAAGTTCCTTATCGCGCGTTGTGAAAGGGGGCTAGACGGAAAAAAATCATACAAAAATTTGGGACGCGACACTTTTTTATTAATATAAATTGACGTCTAACTGTGGATACCATACATTAAATTTGCTTTAACGTTCGCCAACGTCCATACCATGTTGAATACACCGGTTCTCGTCCGATCACCGAAGTTAAGCAACATCGGGCGTGGTTAGTACTTGGATGGGTGACCGCCTGGGAATACCACGTGATGTTGGCTTTTTGCTCTTTATTTAATTTTTTACCGCAGGTTTTTTTTTTTTTGGTGTATTTCGTATTTTGTTTTCGTATTTTATTTTTCTTTGAATTTGAATTGTATAGTTTTTTTTTTGTGTAAGTATGTAAATGTGAGTATAGTGTAGGCTTGTAATGTTAATTCATATTTTATTATCTTTCTGGTGGTTTTGAGTGTTTCCACGGCCTACCCAAATGTCAACATTATATTTTTTTCTTGAAATTTTGAATTTGGGAAATAAAACTAAGTAAATATATTTCAAAACACTTTAATTATCAAAAGAAGTTGATGCTATGTACATTATTACCCAATTTTCAGTCAAAGTTTTTTTTAAATTGAAGTAAATCTTATTATAACATACAAGGTAAGCCATGAATTTGATGAAAGTATGAACTATGATTAGTAATAATATTTTTTCGTGTCATCTTGTCAGACATTCAGCGCCATCTATCGAATAGATAGGAAATCATTTCGCAAGAAGATTTTACCAATGTATAAATTGTTTTAATTGTTTTTAACATGTAGGTAATAGCCGCTTTCATAGATGGCGTTGTAATTAATATCGTGTCAAATCAGTTTTAACTTTAAACAACTTCGTTCCTATCGGGTGTCCCACGACACCACACGGCTTTTTTTTTGTTATTGGTCTAATCCCTCCCACACGTCCACCACAGTAACTCTTGTACACCAGGATCAACAGCAGTGACCCATGAACACACCGAGTTATGACACTCTGGAAGTCCCAGGAAAAGTTAAACTGTGTCGAAACCCGCAGAGATCACAACAGAAACAAAAACCAGAGACACCAACATTTAGTACAAATGTCTACTAAATAAATATTTACAGATCAACGGTGTATATATTCGGTATCTGAAAAATTAATTACTTTTTGATATTCCTTATAAATTCGCTATTTAGTGTGACCATGTCAAAATATGAAATCACGAGGACTAGTTCTTGAAATGTAATTTTCAATAAATCGACAATTATCGAATTATATGCATATACTGAAATTCTTCAGCTCTAAGTATTTATTAATCAATTTGGACATAAGTTATACAATTAATTAATATTGGTTCGTCGGTGCTTTGACGAATTTTACAGTGAGAATCATTGTCGTCATAACAATACATTTCCTTCGTTGAGTAGTGACATGACTGCACGGATGGCGTAGTGGTTTATGCGGTCGCCACGCCGCTTCCTGCTGCGCCGAGTTCAAACCCCACATGGGACGACACATTGTGTGATACACAAATTGTTGTTCTGAGTCTGGGTGTTCTTTGTGTCCGTTTCATGTATGTTTGTAAAGTCCCCTCGCGACACAGGAATGAATGCCTAATGCGGGAGTTGTCTTTTAAAAAAAGATAAGTGTCCCATGCCAGTGTCCCTAATTGCAGGGATAAATTCTATACCATTTATTATTATACTACCTACTACCACCTAGTTTTGTATCGATAATAAAAATTAAATATAAAAGTAATAATTCACTACTTCTGCAATAACTATTCATCAGTGTTGAGATACTGGTTGTGGTGTTTAAATTAATATTATTAATGGTAGGTGGGTGTCGTAAGAGCCGACTAAGGGAAAAACTACGCAGAATAACAGCACTGCAGAGAGAAGGAAAACTTGACACAAACCCTGTACCAACCCGTCTGGCCAGCGTTGTATAGTAGGCCCAAACCTCCTTTCTAAGGAGAGGCTTATGTTCAGCAGTGGACTGTTAAAGGCTGTTGATGAATGGTAGGTACGTAACCACATTAATTTGCAGTTACCTCCAAATAACTAGATGAAATAAAATAAACTGGATTTGTGTACGAAACGGAACGAAAAAATACCTTTTATATAAGTAATTCATGGACACCCTACAAAAAAATATTGTTAGGAAATTAAAAAATAATACTGTACTTTTTTCTTACAGGATTATACATTTAGTATAAATTTATACAAAATAGAAGTTTTATTTTCCAAATTTCTTCTCTAGTATAGGTAAATTAAAGTCAAATCAATTTACCGAAGCATCTTAACTGAGGAGCCAGTTAAAATGTGCCATATCTCCGGATTCACTCATATTTAATTACTGACTCCGCTCCACGACTTGGGCAGCGCCGGCCGTGACTCTCCGCACGCCGTCACGAGCGTGTCGTCCGCGTAGCACGTGACGGCGACACCATCCAGGAAGGCACCACGAAGCACCCAGTCATAGCCGATGTTCCACAAGAGTGGCCCTAATACCGACCCCTGTGGGACACCGCACGACATTTCTCGTCACCCGAGACCTACTTGGGTAGACGACGGCTCTCTCAGACAAATATGCCCCGACTATGAGGCGGAGGCAGAGAGGCACTTCGTGATACACGAGCGCCTCCCTGATGCCACTCCAGGCCAAAGTGTTAAACGCATTAGCGATGTCCAACGACACCGCCATTATCACTTCACCCCGGGAATCCGCTTTCTCTACCAGAGCCCTTACGTGCATGGTCGCATCCACGGTGGAGACTGACTCTTTCCACTACAAATTTAATATACTTACTACTAAATGATAAAGAAATTGCGCGTCATTAGAAAGTCTGCTTCTTTGAACAATGACAGTCGTATGTATGGTCTGAGGAGCCACATATATAATGTATGGTATCTTATTTAATTTTAATATTACTGAGCTCCGATTTTGTCTACTAACTACCCTCAAATACTACAAAATCATACTAAATTATGATATATATACATCCATCATGTTCCTAATTCTGACATGGCTCCTCAATACCCAATAGTCCATACTCATTTTTTTTTTAAGAAAGCTCCCGCATTAGGAATATATCCTGTGTCACGGGGGACTTTACAAACATACATGAAACGGACACAAAGAACAGAACTCAGAACAACAATTTGTGGATCGCACAAAGTGTCGTCCTATGTAGGGATCGGACCCACAACACTTAGTGTAGTAGTAAGCGGCGTGGCGACCGCTTAAACCACTATGCCATCCGTGCAGTGAATACGTAGATGACAACAATTCAAGCGGCAACAATTTTGGACCCTGTCGGGCGAAGCACAGTTTTTTTTGGAGAGAGGAAGATCACACAACCACATATACAGTAGAATGTTTTGTTTCTAATTAATATAGTATAATACAATCATGGTATAATCATTGAGGAGCCACCTTTATGTTCATATAACTTTAGAAGTATTATACTACAATATCGAGGATCGAGGCTACAATTATTTTTTTATTTACTACTATATAAGCCTGAGATTGGAAATACCAAGGCATTCTACCAATTTCTACACAAAGTCATTTTCCGTAGAAGCTGCACGTTTATGGAATGCCTTGCCGGTTACTATCAGACGTGCGCAATCCGTAACCACCTTCAAGACTATGCTATATGAGCATTATCTGTCTCTAATAGTTGAAAATTAGCGTATGTATATATTAACGTATTTATGTATAAATATAGATTATTAGTATTTATGTATAAAAAAATATTTTATAGGTTAAGACCTTATTTACTTCTCTAATTTCTGTATACCTATCACCATTTCAAAATGAATCCATCCAAAGTTTGCCTGGAAAAAATTGCACTAAGCGATAAGGCCGCCCTTTGTACATTACATCGGTCGTTAATTACTGTATAATGTTTGTAAAACATTGGTGTACAAATAAAGTATTTATCTATCTATCTATCTATCTATATAATAATATTATTTTCATTATGATATGAAAAGTGGTTCCTTAATCCATACGGACATATGGAAAGAACTGCTAAAAGTAGCGCCCCTTAAATGATTCATCCCAGCGTTGTTGCCATTCGTCTATGAGGTCATTATAGACATATCTGATGATAATTTTATATTTTTTTCCTTTCAGTGTAAAGGGGAAACTGGGGTCACAAATCCTTCCCGTTACCTGCTGCCACTTCATCCATCTCGTATTGATTCGATGTTGCACAGTTCGAACGATCTCACCATCGCATTGTGAGATCGATGAATGATATGGATAGTGATCCATAAAATGTTGTTCTGAGTCTGGATGTTCCTTGTCTCCGTCATGTATGTTTGTGAAGTCCCTAGTGACTCCGAAGATATTCCTGTTGCGGCGTCTTTTGTAGGTAACCCAGGTTTAGTGGCGAGGGTACACTACACGGTGTACCTACGTGAAGTGTTATGGCAACATAGCAAAGCAACAATAAGAAATGACGTTTAAGTCAACATTTTATTTCATTTCGTTAAAATTAATAAAAAACGAACAAAAACACCTTAACAAAATTGAAATTTAAATCTATACTCACATAATAAAGCTATTTTTATAATTTAAAAAAGAAATGTAATAAACTTCATAAAAAATTAGGTAAGTACAGTGAAATTAGTCTCGAGAAATTTTTGCATATGTAGTGGTGTGTATATTACTTAGATCTTAGAGCGCGTTTCCACTATATCGTTCTGGCCTATACAAAAATGTTTCGATATTCTAACATCATCATCATCATCAACAGCCTATACTAGTCCACTGCTGGACATAGGCCTCTCCTAACATTAACATTACTATTCCTATTCTAACATTACTATTTAATTTTATACTTATCCCTAGCAACACTCTGATTTTTGTTTTCAATAAAAACAAGTTATTATTTTAAATAAAAAGGTTTTGACTTTATAAAAAAAAAGGTGTGTGTGCGATTCACACACGATAGAAGTGAAACTTCAAAGAGGAGAGACCGATATTTAATTTTTTTTTTTTTCCTTTCATCTAGGTTTTTAAAACTCCGGGGGGTCTACGGCGGGGTCATAATTTTTGTTATTTTTGGCCTAGGACGCACCGTTTCCGAGATACTTCAATCTAAAGCAAAAAATCGTCACTTGATAGTGGAAAGTGGAAACACGCACAAAACCATAATAAAACAGTTTACGCTGTCCGTACACTACACCGACCATACACTACTACAAACGCAAAAAATTCTCCAAGCTAATTTACCTGTACCAAATAATAATGTATCTTATTACTTCAGTTGTTTATAAGAATTATGTAATACTAACACAATGAACCTTAGTCTGAAATAAATAATTATTAAAGTTATATTAAAAATCTATTAAAATTCGTAAAAAAATTACATACAGAACATGAATACAGATCTATTCTCTCCCTAGGATACCCGGGCATACAGATATCGGGTACATTTAAGTAGATTTAAGTCCAAAAAATTATTAAATCTCACAACTATATTACACGCTGTACGTTGAGGCAACTATACTATAATAGTAATAATAATAATCTCACACACCTCCCACACGGCTTGTTGTGACTGGAACATTTTACAAGAATTGGCCTTCGACATCGCGTTACACATTTCCGTCCCTTTTCATGAAATCTCCCTCATATATTGCAGAGAAAGCGATAAGAAAGATATTAAATATAAATAATAAGAATAGACAATAATAAGGATAGAATAATAGACGAAAAAAATTTCAGCCTTACACAAAACTCAATGTCAAGAGAAAACTGTTGTATGCTCGAAGTAATTTATAATAATAATGTCACACATCTCAGACACGGCTGTCTGAACCCAAACTGCTGCTTGCCCAGACTGCTGATAAACATACTTATGTATTTCTAAATCCACACGATACACAAATTTTAATTTTAAGGTTATACTTTAGATATAAGACAGCTGTGTATATGGGGTGGAGGGTTGATAAAATGAGATACAGGAACATTCCTAGTTCAGGTATCAACCCACAATAGTCCCTTTATTTTTGTCCAATATGCATCTATATCTCTTAGGACGTCGCGGCGCGCGGATGACCTTTGACCCGTTACTGTCGCGCCCTTGAACTAGTGACCCAGTCACAGCTGAGCGAAGTCATTATTACCTCAATATCTACGTTATTTTATAATTATATTCAATGAAATAAACATATTTGGAATCCCTGATATATATTCTTCTAAATGTTGTGACAGAGACGCTACCGCGTAAAAATTTGGTGTCACAACTGTTGTGACGGCGACGCGTCGGAGGATATGTAAATCCAGTAATTATGGTGAAAAATAAACTTATACTAAAGATAAATAGCGTCACACAATATTTGTCCCGGGGGGGATCGAACCCTCCCACCGGCTTAGCAGTCAGGGTCACTAACCACTAGACCAACAGCCTCGTCGAATTGCCAAAGACTATTACTTTTTATACGCCTGGCAATAAGTAGGTTCTACATATTCAGAATTTTTACTATTAACGTAACGGGAGTCAGGAAACACATTATCGTAATTCGTTTTACTGTTTGGCTTCAAATTCTTAGGTACAACTTGGGTGTAGAGTTCCTTCACGCTGGAGTACTGCGGCTCACTAAAATTACTCAACGAGGTCTTACTCCCACTGCCAATATTAAGTTCAGCGTAGGTGGGTCCTGAGTCATATTGATTATCTTTGGGAGGTCTTTGGCTTTTTGGTATAGGGGTAGCATAAGGGTCCTCTGGCCCTCGAACAGGTTCTGCATATATGTTGCTGTCGTTTCTAATGTCCATTGGTACGTGGTAGTTCTGTTCATCTTTGTGCGACCACTGTTCTGGGTAAGGAGGTATTGAGGTTTGGGAGTTCTGATTTTGCAGGTTCTCATAATTATTGGCACCTGAGTCTCCCTGAAAGAAATAAGACAGGTTACGATGATTTTTTAATAATTAACTATATTTATTTTCGGTAATTAGGATATTATGGCACTGTTGCAAGCGCCATGATCATGGATAAACTCCTGTGGTCATCCATGATCAATATTCCTTTTATAATAACTTATCCAGTAAATGGTATATGTCAATGTAACCACTCACTGTCGCCCGGGCTGGAGGCGCTAATATTACTAACAGCCTTAAATAGTCCACTGTTGGACATAGACCTCTTCTTCCAAAAAAGGTTTTGGCGTACTATACCACGCTGGCTAACCGGGTTGATTTAGGGGTTGTGTGAAGTTTTCCCTCTGATTCATCTGATCTGATGAATCAGAAGGATCAGAATCAGAAGGATTGACCATTCATCTGATCAAGATTGCTATTGTCTGTCTATTGGATGAATAGGGGTGGTGACACTCCGTATGTTCCGCTAATATGTTCGATATAAATATAATTTATGGCCTATAGCACTCAGGGATTATTTTCAAAATCAGTTCAGTACTTTCAAAGATTGTCTCTTTTATACAAACAAATTTAACCTCTTTATAATATGAGTGCGTCCGTGTGGTGACGGATTAAGAACACGGAGTGTCACCACCCCTATTCATACCGTGGGTGTCGTAAAGGCCGACTAAGGAAGCTAACGTAGGACAACCAACACTGCAAAGAGAAGGAAAACTTGACACAAACCCAACCCAACCCAACCCGTCTGGCCAGTGTGGTATGGTAGGCCAAAACCTCCTTTCTAAGGAGAGGCCTATGTCCAGCAGTGGACTATTAAAGGCTCTTGATGATACTATTAGTGTAGGTAATCCAACAAAACTTTATACAAATTGGCTTCATACCCTTTGGCTTCGTTTCCTCATCTTCCATATGGCGACGACCACACAGCTGATTACAATGCACACCAATAATGCTCCCGCTGCGATAGCCCATATAGAGAAGTCGAATTCATCTGAATCAAATTCACATCAATCATTAGATAATTACATTTTTTTACGATAAGACTAAGACATGCCTAAGTAAGTATTTAACACTTTTTTCTATTTGGTCATTATTTAAATTGCACTACTGAATATAATCTTATTAAGAGTAAATTGGCAGAACAGTCACAACGCTAGTACCCAACTGAGTATTTATATATTTTATTAAATTTATGTAGGTTTATGCATGCATGTGTGTTTATATATTGTGTATGTCTCTGGACTTCAATTATGTTAAATTTAATATTTTATTTTGCACCTACCGCATTATATTTCTACATCACCTGAAGGTTGACTGGGAGAGAATGCCTCATGGCATTAAGTCCGCCTTTGTACAAAATGTGCATTAAGTTTTAACTAAATAAATATAATAATAATATTCTCACACATCTCACACACGGCCGCCTGATTCCAAACTAGGTAGAGCCTGTACTATGGTAACCAGACTGCTGATGAACATACTTATATATTTCTAAATACATACATATTATAGATGCAGTACACCCAGACACAGGACAAATGACCGTACTCATCACACAATATTTGTCCTAGGTGGGAATCGAATCCACGACCTCTGGCGTAGCAGTCAGGGTCACTAACCTCTAGACCAACAGGCCAGTCAAATACACATGTCATAATATACGTATATTTTGGTACAAATTAAAAAAAACGTTAATTTTAACAATATTGTACACTGTCCAGTGCCACCTTAGGCACGACCAAACAAGTTAAAAATATACAAAGTACAAATTTTGCATTATTCTAATTCATCAGAATGCTCCAGGATTGATATTTCTTTACTAGACTAATGCTTCATTGTTTTCCACCAAGTGAGTGAGGTAAAAGAAGGTCCAAACCCCATCACCCCCTCTCTTTTATTCTGGTAGGCGAGATACTCCGAGGACGGTAAAACATGGATGATTTTCGAGTTGCAGGTGTGTGCGGCGGTATTCCATCTGACCAATATTCTCGTTTGTCTCGTATATATATCATGAAAAAAACTACTATGGGAGAGCCATGCTTAAGCACGAATGGACCGGCTCGACCGGAGTGTACCACGACCTCACAGAAATCCGGTGTTAAGCAATTCTTTCGTTGCCTTTCACTGAGTGAGTGAGGTTACCGGAGCCCAAATCCCCCCTCCCGCTGACTTGAGCCGTGACCCGTCTGCTCGTTTGCCCCTAATAACATAAAAAAAGGAAAAAAATTCTCATCTGTTGGTGCTACACGTAAATGTTAACATAAATATGTGAAGAAAATACTTTGTAACCCCTTGCAAACAAACCGCACGCACCCACATCATACTTAAAATACTATTACTATATTTAAATTAATTTAGAACCAGTGCACACAACGAAAATTTTAAATGATATGTTTAAAAACATTGAATAAACGTTAACATAAAATGCAAGCCTATTGCTGAACGAAGGCTTTTTTATTTACGTGCGGAAACCCTACCGGGATTTGCAGCAGGTTAGTGTGTCGGAATCGGACCGACTCAAAACTACAAGGTGCTCCACCCTGCACCTGTAATAGGAGGGATCCGGGAACTGCTGTTATTAAGACATCCGGTGCTAAACGAAGGCCTGACTCAAGGAGCACCAACCATCCCGGGCTTGACTTACCATAATAAAAGAGTCTATATAATGAGAGTTCAAGTCATATTGGTCACAGAAATAATATAAAACATTCAAACAGTCGCATTTGACTGCCAGGCGATCTCAACTATTTCAGGGTTATTCCTCGAAGAGCGAAGCATCCTGCTGTGACGGTGTCAGCCGTCACACTATGTTAGGGACCCGAAATCACATGATACGGTTTTTAGTGCAAACACTACATACTGCTGGCTCCTGCGTCCCCTAGGAGTCGGAGATCTGAAGGGATTTACCACTCCGCAAACACAAAAAAAATGTCCCATAATTTAAGACATTTGTCGGCCATGCCCGAAATATATTCTTCAGTAAAATTGTATTTCCTATAAAATATAAATCATCATCAACAACAGCCTTTAACAGTCCACTGCTAGACATAAGCCTCTCCTTAGAAAAGAGGTTTTGGCCTACTATACCACGCGGATTAGTATAGGGTGTGTTTCAAGTTTTCCTTCTCTTTGCAGTGCTGTTGTCCTGCGCAGTTTGCTCCCTTAGTCGTCTCTTACGACACCCACGCGATGAACAGGGGTGGTGACATTCCGTATTCTTAATCCGTCACCACACGGACATAAATACACCCACAAAAATAAGAAAAAATCTTCGTACCTAATCGTAAATGTAGTTCTGCGGTGCTATTCAACTGGAGTCCCTCCATGATTTTAGGTTCTGTAACAAAACCAGTATGTTCTTTGTTATATTCTAAACAGTTTTTTCTTTACCAAATACACCTTTGCACGATACTTTACCACAAACATTTTGGACGTTCCAATCACTTCGTTTTCCGTTTGTCTATCTCTCTGTCTTTTATGTTACATACATACATAAACTCACGCTTTTATCCCCGAAGGGGTAGGCAGATATCTATTAAAAGCCCATATTTTTCTGATTATCAACGGGGCACATAAGAGTACAATGTGAAATGAAAAGCAGTTAAGAAATGAAATGATAGGAAAGGGACCAGGTATAGGCATACCTGTGACTCTAACTGGCCGTTGGCGAGAACTTCTTCTCATCTAATCATTATATTCAGTTGAAATTAACATACAAATACTTCTGTATACGCAACGAAACCTCAAAATATGTAAAGCGTAATGCAGGATCATCAATTACTAGTTCGTATTCTCTCTGATAGATGACGCTGTAGGAAATTTAGCTGGATGTGTATATCGCCACACTAAATTCTTAACCGAGTGTGTTGTGACAAAACCAATTCAAAAACAAATTTGACTGCACGGATGGCGTAGTGGTTTAAGCGGTCGCCACGCCGCTTTCTATTGCGCCGAGTGTTGTGGGTTCAAACCCCACATGGGATAACACTTTGTGTGATCCACAAATTGTTGTTCTGAGTCTGGGTGTACTTTGTGTCCGTTTCATGTATGTTTGTAAAGTCCCCCGCGACACAGGATTTATTCCTAGTGCGGGAATTCTTTTAAAAAAAAAATTAAGGATAATAGAATTACTAAACTGTATTTGTTGATGTAACGTGGATCAGAAGGCCAATTCTCGTAATTAAAGTTCGGTCAAAATTCCGTTCCGATCAACTTTCAATCCTACAACTGCCATAAAAGGTATTTTCGTAGTAAAATAGTTAATACTAAGAATATAAATCACATTACTAGGCATGCCATTTATAGTTAAACCGCCGTAAGCTTGGCCCTCCTGATGGTTTGGGGGATGCGGGGCGGGGGTGCATTCAACCAATTAGCTAGTGTGTCGCTGTCCGCCGGCAGTGACTGATGTGAAAGCATGGTTGTACGTGTTATTTTTCTTAACACTGCTACACACGGTATTATTTTGCAGCATGGATAATCTGCCGACTCTGCGTCACAAAAAGATTTAAAAACTTGAAGTTCGGCTTACAGAGGTTCTACTGTTAATGTTCTAATAAAGAATATTTATTATTTTATTTAATTTTTAAATTGTATCTGAATATAATTTACATGATGAAGATAAGGTGATTTTATTAAAAAATATTTTACAGTATTAAATTTTACAATTTATCATAAAAACTTACAATACATTATAATACATAGAAATAAATTCAATTTTTATTACATCGTGTGTAGATTAAATCTCAAACAAATAAATCTGAAGATATCGAGTTAGTACATCGTGTCATGTATAGCCGAGCGCATCACCCGCCCCGCGTCCCGCAAACCATCAGGAGGGCCAAGCTTACGGCGGTTTAACTATAAGTTCTGTCGTTTCCATATTTCCCGGCAATTTTGAATTTGGAACTGTTCTATATTTGAATGTGTTTAAATGTTGAATCTCAAACCAGTTGCAAGTATTAGGATTAATGCTATTGTTTAGTCACAGCGTCGATTGGAATCTGTCATGTTACGTACGAAAATGAATCTTTCTAAGGAAAATGTTCGTGCAATAATTTTCTACAACTTTAAAAGAGGCCTGACACGGCTTCAGTGTTTTGAAGAGCTAACATCTGTGTTCAGTGATGAAGCCCCATGTCTGCGGACTGTCGAACGCTGGTATTTAGAATTCCAGCGTGGACATATTAGTGTTAGTGACAAATCTATTGATGCCCTTCTTGTAAAAATCAGCTGGACGGGAGGCAACAAACTCTTCAAAGGCATTTTGTACTGCCTCTCGGGAATTGAATTTTTTACCCACTAAAAAGTTGTCTAAAGAACAATGGCAGAAACATATTTACCTAAAACTGAAGCGTTTAAAAAATTGACTAACAGTAAACTTACTAAATATTTTTTCTATGATTTATCATTATACCGCCATGTGTTGTATAAGTCTCATAAGAGATTGGATATTTTAAAGATTTTATTTGACCTAAGTACGTAATGTCAGAATCGCCATCACGAACTGACTAGAGATGCGTAATGACATTATTATATTATGGAACGTTTTATCGATAAGCGATTGTTATAACTTTGGCTTAAATATCTATCGAAGGTTCACCTATTATGATTATGAATTTGCTTCTGCCTACGGGTTTACTCATACGCTACCGTAACTAGTACTTTAGTGACTAAATCAACCTAATTAGAAATAATTTAGAATATTTTTGACTCTTTTTAAAAGATTATTGCTACACCAAAATAAATAGAATATAGTTACGTTATTTTCCTACAGAAAAATACTAAAACAATATACTGCTTAGTGTGATGAGAAAAAGACATTGTAGGTTGATAACGGCATATTTGTCCAGGCTGTCCTCTTATGGAATGCGCTTCCTCACGAAGTCAGGATGGCTACAAATCGGTACTCTTTTAAGGCGAAAGTGAAAGAGCTATTGCTGAACGAAATGGCAGATTCAACGAGCTCCTAGTTCATCGGCTAAATTTTTTATTTTTTTTAATTTTCTCATATATATATGTGTATGTGTATGTATATATATATGTATATATTTATGAGTATGTATAGGTATATATATGTGTATGTGTGTGGTATTACGACGTATTCACCAAATTCCAAGATAGTTGGTATTTAACAAAACCACTATCGTTTATACCCTACCATAAATGCACCTACCTCATTCTTTCTCAGCACCGCCCAATCGGTCGACTGGCAGAGAATGCCTTAGGCATTAAGTCCGCCGATGCATGTACTTGTGCAAAAAGTTAAAAATAAATAAATAAATAAATATAAATAGACATGCATCGATATTTTTAAAATGTCGATACGTCGTCGTCGCACTTACTATAACCCGGCAAGCTCGTGCGCGACCGTCCCGCGGGGTGACAGACAGTGGCGGGGGCGAGGTAGCGCGTCATTCTAGCACACGGCTACACACCGCTACACCACCCGCTACCCGCTGACATCGTGAGTACCTCGTCCCCGCCACCATCTGTCACCCCGCAGGACGGTCGCGCACGACGTTGACGGACTATAGTCTTGTCGTTTGACACTTACACGCATGACTTACATACCATTTCTCACAAGGCAATTGTAGTTTATTTAGTTGTTTTACTTTGTTGTTGTCATAACTACTGACTGTTGAATAACTAAATAATAAAATAAATTGTGTAAATGTGTATTGAAGTACATTTATTCAAATGATTATTAATAATTTATGTATTTATGGCTAGTATTACACCTGCTATGTAAGCGAAGATTTTTTTCTATTGTTTACCAATACATGCCAAGCAAATACCCTTCCTTCCTTCACCCATTTAGAGAGTCGGCTAACACTTTCTACAGCAAAATAGGGTTGCTTATAAGTAATAATAATGATGAATAATATTTTAGAATATATGACACACAACGCCATCTAGTTTCAAACAAAACATTTACAATATTTTAGTACTTAACCTCGAAACATTCAAAATCCAATATCTTTTTTCCTAGACTTCTTTCGCTAGTAATTTTTTTATGAGAATGTTCAAGAATAAATTCTCAAGGGTTATAGGCATTTTTGATATTTAAACGCTGTCATTTCACTTCAAATAAAATTATGTATGGGGACCTGCCATTGTCCTTTTGGAAAAAGTAATAGTCGGTAGCTAATAAATTTATTTACCTAAATAAAGTCTATTTTGTTACAATATTAATACAATTTTATTCACTAACAATTCTTTTTACTCGCCAATTTAGTTTTACTGAAATATGACATCAGTAATTTGGAGAACATTATATAATAATAATAATAATATTTTTCGGACGTCTAACACACACAACGCCATCTAGTTTCAAACTAATCACAACTCGTACTATGAAAGTTAGATGCACCGATATGTTTTTGGTAAATACATACATATTATACATAGAAAAAAACACAAAAAATCCGACAAAAATATTTGCAGATCATACAAACATTAGCTCCGACGCAGGAATCGAACCCAAGACCTCAGCACAGCAGTCGCATACGCTACCACTGCTAACGAGGCAGTGAAATATACGTAAGCTCTAAGATTGCCAGCGAATAACACTGAAGACCTCCTTTGTCCTGGCCTATGTCCAGCAGTGGACTAGTATAGGCTGTTGATGTGTGATGTGAACACCGAAGGCGTAAGTGCAGTGTTTATCGTTATGTATTTGTTTATCGCATAGATCGCAAACGTGTCACCTGATGGTAAGTGACTGCCTCTGCCCCCCCCCCCCTCCCCCCCCCATCATAGGGGGATCGTTTCTATGAATTGCAAGTCCAGCTAGGTGCAGAAACTCTCATCTAACAGAGACACCCCTGGTCAATAGCACATGTGATTTGGGCTGGTGTGATAAAATGGCGCTGCGTAATTAAAAAAAAAAAAAACTTACCTATCTCGCTAGTACTGCTGGTTGAAGGCGTAGTTATGGTGACCACAGGTCTCTTTCGAAATAAAACCGTAATATTCTTATAAATCATGGGACTGTAGTCATGTGGGTCCATTGCTTCCATTAGCAGACATTCAAAATATTTATTGTCATCCTCAGATGTCAGTGTTACTTGTTTACTTTCTTTAAATTCTGAAATTAGTTAACACATTTAAAAAAAAAAATGTCTTCACGCATCTTACACACGGCTATGTAATTCCAAACTAGGCAGAGCCTGTGCTGTGGTAACCAGACTGCTGATAAACAAACATATAAATTTCTAAATACGTACATATTACAGATAAATTATACCCAGACATAGAACAATTGAATGTGCTTATCAAACAATTATTTGTCCTGGGTGGGTACCCACATGTCGGGGCACCAGGGACTTCCTTTCTAGGGTATACCTGGTTCCCCGGCTATTAGTACCCGAGACGGCGTGCGGTTTTAGTCGGTTCGAGTCCGACATGCCACCGATAGGTGGTATCCGAGGGGATTTTCGCACGGCAAATAAAAAAAAAAAAAAGGGGTGGGTACCCACAACCTGTCTCTGCAGTCAGCATCTCTAACCACTATTACACCAACGGGCCAGTTTAAAACAGTGATTCATACAGAATAGTTTTTTTTTAGTTGCCTATGGGCGGCGGTGGTTGCTTGCCATCAGGTGACCTGTCTGCTCGTTTGCCCCCTTATACCAAAAAAAAACAAATCTAATTATTTTATTTTTATTTTCATTCTTTTTGCACAAATTACAACTCTCTTGTACAATGGCGAACTTAATGCCACAGGCATTTTCTGCCGGTCAACCTTTGGGAGGTGGGGAAATGTCTGAGTAAGTGCACTAGAAATTAAGTTTCGTTCTAAAAAGATAATAATTATATTTAATCGAGGGGATGGACATAAACAGTGGAAAAGTACTCGTATATAAATCTATACAAATAAATAAAATTGGAGTGTCCGTTTGTAATATTTAAATAACCGCTTTTTACTAAATGCATATGTATGTTTACACGGTACCTATGCCAAAATAACATTTTTTACAATTTTTGTCTGTCTGTCTGTCTGTTTGTTCCGGGTAATCTCTGGAACGGCTGGACCGATTTCGACGGGACTTTCACTGGCAGATAGCTGATGACAAAGGGAGTAACTTAGGCTACTTTTTTTAGACTAGCTTCGCCCCGCGGCGTTGCCCGCGGTTATAACAACAAACGCGGGTCTCAGCTAGTATATACTAAAATACACATATAACTGCTGAGTCACATACATACATATAATATACACAAACTACGCTAAAGATATACTGTTCCTTGGAGGGGGATATATCGGTGCGAGCACTACCCCTTGGATCGTTTTCTTCTGCGCACGAAACGTGCTAGTGCAACTATTCCATAGCTTTGTAAGTAAATAAGTTCATTGCTTGTAAGTCTCTTCCTAAAGTGGCAAGGATCATGGAATTTCCACCTGCCACACAGAGAACGACAGACTAACCACAGTGCCGACAAGATCGTGGTTGGTAATAAACAACTTTTTCAAACTGAAATAATTATTCTTACCTTTTTTATTGAAAAAATATTTAACAACCATTTCAGCCTTAGAGTTTTCATCCTTAGAGTATATACATTTTAATTCCACCTTCTTGCCTTCCTCAAATTCATAGTAAATCCAAGAGTGTCGATCCATTTCCTTATAGTTAAATAATTCTAATAAGATGTTATCCCTGGGTAAATCCACATCGAGTCTTTTGTTTTCTGTAATAAGAAAATTTCTTAAAAAAGGTAACGCTCGCACTAGGATTATATCCTGTGTCGCGGAGGACTTTACAAACACACATAAAACGGACACAAAGAACACACAGACTCAGAACAACACAAAGTGGATCACACAAAGTGTCGTCCCATGTGGGGATCGGACCCACAACACTCAGCGTAGTAGTAAGCGGCGTGGCGCTTAAACCACTACGCCATCCGTTCAGTCGGTGTATTTAGTCGGTTAGCAGTGTAATAGCGAATACTATAGTCGAAACTATCCATGCCTAGTGTGATATTTTCTATTGAACTACGAGTAGTGTGGACCTCGTACCATGACGAAAATAAAAGCCAGATTTTAGTAAGTAAATTAGGGCAGGCTTTAGTAAATTTCTTAGAGGAATTGGCTTGGAATCAGTTGAGACTACGATAAGGCGTTCGAACACTAAAAAATGTACATATTAGTTTGAAAAGTATGGTAATAACATTCCGAGACCAAGATCCATTAGGTATGCATCTATAATCAAGATAATTATGTTGGTTAAACTGGAAGGAAATGCACGTAGCAATGAAATTATTTACAATTTGATATTATATTGATGACACAGTCAGTTCTACCGACGCACTAATTGTTTCATTAATAAAATTCTTTTTTAAAGCTTACCTTTAAAATTCGGAGCAAAACTTTTGGTAATAACGTTGATTTCGTTAGCTAAAACGTCCTTATCATCACACAGAAGACACTTGTATTCGAACGGAGTCTTAGGATACCGTGTATATGTTTGGTTACCTGCAATATTAATAAAATGCCTTGTAATTCCGCACACATTTTCTTTACAAATGACTGAAGTAAAAAATATCTCTCAGATACCGTGGCAGAGCCATGCTTCGTCACGAATGGGCCGGCTTAACCGGAGTGATACCACAGCCTCACAGAAAACTGGTGTTAAGGAATTCTTTCGTTGCCTTTCACTGAGTGAGTGAGGTTACCGGAGCCCAAATCCCATCCCGCTGACTCGAGCGGGAGGGACTCCGAGGGCAGCAACGCATTTGTGACTTTGGAGTTGCGGGTGTCCATGGGCGGCGGTAGTTGCTTACCATCAGGTGACCCGTTTGCTCGTTTGCCCCCTTATACCATAAAAAAGGACAAAAACATTTAACAAGAATGTTGAAAACATTTATATTTCATTGATCAATATTTTTTTTCATTCTCATTTGTCAAATATAACCCTAGATAGTTTATTTTAACTTTTAGTTCATTTTAAAAATGCATTGTAGGTATGTATTAAGAGACACAACCTCTATCTTAGCAGTTAGGGTTCGATCCCCACCCAGGACAATCTGGGTGTAATTTATCTATATTATGTATGTAGTTATATATAGGTATGTTTATCAGTAGTCTGATTCCCAAAATGCAGGATCTACCATACATAGTTTCGGATCAGGTTGCCGTATAAAGTGTGTTATTATTATTGGATCATCATCAACAGCCTTTAACAGACCACTGCTGGACATATGCCTCTCCTTAAAAAGTGAGGATTTGGCCTACTATACCACACTGGCCAGACGGGTTGGTATAGAGTTTGTTTTCTTTCTCTTTGCAGTGCTGTTATCCTGCATAGTTTGCCCCCTTAGTCCACTCACAGGATGTACAGGGGTGGTGACACTCCGTATTGTTAATCCGTCACCACACGGACATGTTAAAGCCATAAAGATAAACAATGTTAAAACCATACAAAATACAGATTTCTATTAATAATACAGTGACTTAAGACTTCTAAGAGCTATGGAACTCTAACAAAGAAAACATACCTGCAAAATTCCATATTATCCCACTAAATAAACAAATAACCAAAAATATACTGCACATATATAAACAATATTCTTTATCTTTTAAATTATTAATGAATCATCAATCATCATCCACTTAATAGTCCACTGCTGGACATAGGCCTCTCCTTAGAAAGGAGGTTTTGGCCTATACTATACCACGCTGGCCAGACGGGTTGGTATAGGGTTTGTGTCAAGTTTTCCTTCTGTCTGCAGTGCTGTTGTCCTGCCTAGTTTTTTTCCCTTAGTCGCTTTTTACGACACCCACGGAATGAATAGGGGTGGTGACAACCTGTATTCTTAATCCGTCACCACGCGTTAATGAATAATATGTTACAACTATTCAATATACATTCAACTCACCAGTTTTGCATTCCTCCTGCTTGCCAGCAGCTGAGAAACCGTGGTGGCTTTTACAAACTATCTCTACATGTTCATCTTTGAAGAACAGGTAATTAAATGTAAAATTATTATCATTCTTGGTGCCTTGAATTGGCCTTGCTATTAACCCATTGACTGTAATATATCCGTTACCTGAAATAAATATATTGAATATAGCATTTGTAAATTGTAGTTAACTTCGCGCTTCGAGCGAATTATACCAATCATTTATTTATGACTTCATGCACAAATATATACATCGGCGGACTTAATGCGTAAAGCATTCTTTGCCAGTCGACCGATTGGACGATGCAGAGAAAGAATGAGGTAGGTGCAATTATGGTCGTAGGTTAACGGTAGAAATAACGTTTCAAGGTTTACCCAAAAGGGTCTAGCAGGATAAGGTAGGGTCAGCGGCCCCAGAAAGATATTTTGAAACTAACTCATTAGGCAACATCGGCGAGGTGTAAAACCACTATTCACTGAAATTCAGCCTGTTATGTCTCTGCGTTCCGGAGATAATTGATCAAAAAGACGCTAGAGCGGGTATTTTTCAAAATTATTATTTTCGAAAACTATTACAGCTGCACTAATGAAACAAAAACTGGTCGTTAGACAAAATATTAGTCTACATTATATATTTTTTATAGAATTTTTCAGTTGTACTTACTATTAAAAAAAATATTTCTAGATTTTATTCATAATTCACGCAGAGGTACAATCACAGAAAAAATATATAATATAGCTTACTATGTCTAGTATTAGTACCAAAAAGTACACAAATAAAAAATGGGTGCAACACTTCCAAAAAAAATTAACTCCTTATGACTGTCTTAGGTAGGTACTAATGAATTCATATTTGTCTTTTGATTAAACTTTCATTATTCTAGACACGATAATAACATGTTTATTACTTAAAAACATATTTGATAGTAGTTAAAAATATAGGTATAACGTTGATTGCGATATAAAAAGATGAAAATTGTTGGTTGAACTACAACATTTTTAAAGAACAAGACGAAACTTGTCGGTCTCAAGTTAGTTGCGTGTATGCATTGTTTTGTGTTTTGTTTACCTATTATTCTCCTATCCCGATCATTATAGTGGCTCGATTTCAATAATCGTGTGCGGAATATTGTTTCGGACTATTTAAGTTTACGAGTACATTTAAAATTACTCGCCCTGACTGACTGGTCCATGAACGGCTGCGTTCATGGACCAGTCAGTCAGGGGCCCAAACCGCTGGGGCTACAAACTTGAACTTTTGGCAGCTGATGCTTTTTATGTTGTAAGCACCTACTAAGAAAGGATATTTGGAAATTTTACACCTAAGAGGGTAAAATAGAAAATGAATGGTTGTATACAATTTCGTCATTTCCAAAGTTAGATTAGCTCCGCTCGCGTGATTACTTCTTATTTCGTGTTTTTGCACTTTGAAAATGATTCATCATCATCATCAAACAATCCTCACTCATACTTCCGCTTGTGTCAACTCCTCGTTCCTAAAATCCTCCCTCTAGAAATCAGGATAGCACCGAGACGCCTCTCATTCAAGATAAAAATTCGAGCTCGCATTCTGGACACCCTAGCAGATTTATTACAACCTTTAAGCTTTATATATTAGCTGACCCTGCAAACGTTGTTTTGCTATTTACATTATTTAATTATTATTTTTTTGTATTTCTTAAAATCCGTTCTTAGCTGACCTCTATTCGGTGAAAAGAATATTCCTACCAAATTTCAAGTCTTTATCTCTAATGGTTCCAGAGATATCGTGTGTGACTATATACGTGGAAATCTCTTATATATATATATATATAGATTAGTATATATAATATACTAGCTGACTATAATATTTATTTATTTTATTTTTTTATTGGCTTTATAACTAGCATGTAAGGTGTATTTCTTGTTGGAGATTCAATAAAATAAATAAAATAAAATAAAATATACTGACTGACTTAATAAGTAGGTTTATGTATGAATGTAACTAGGTAAGTATTTATGTATTTGGTACGTATACATGTATGTATATTTGTCTCATTGTTTCTGTCTCACTTGTCAATAATTTTCTCTTCCTTTACCTATCAATCTCTAGTGCACCTAATGACACATTTCAGCAATTATTCACCTTAAGTAGACTGGGAGAAAATGCCTGTGACATTAAGTCCGCCATTGTACAACTCACACTACGATTATGACGATTTTTAAGGCATGAAAATTATTTAGTAGACCGAATTTACTATAGCATACTTTTAAGATGGCATAATTTTATTTTGTATAATTACCTTTGGCAGAGTAAACCTGCCGCATAATTTCGTTTAGCATAACGTTTATTTAGAGCGACGATTATTTAGTACAATTTCTTTGTAAAAATTTTAATTTCATATGTCTTGCTACAAAAAAAAATTGTGACAGAAACGAATCGCTGCAAAATCGACTCCACGTAGTCTTGCCTGCCCTAGAGTGTAATTTAGAAGGACCGAAGGACGAAGCGGCCGCGAGCTGAAGAGAAGGTGGTTTGTGAGTGTTGTTTAAGTGAGCTTTGATTTCATCTGGAGGCCGCCGGAGCCGTGACGTGCTGCATGCTGCATTCTTGCTTTCATTCTGCATTCAGTACTGGCTTTATTATTATGGTAAGAAATACAAAATGATGGACAGATAGTCCTTCAATTATCATAGACATAAAATGTATGCCAAAGGATGATTCGTAAACTGCCTGAGTTATGATAGTTCTGTCTTTTAATGACTATTGATATGAAAATGCTCAAAGACGATTTTGACTATGAACTTTGATGGTTTTACTTTTTAATGAAGTGTTTGCCTTAAGATGATTATGGCTTAAAAAATTATGAATTTAGAATGTATGATAAATAGGTGTCAGCCAAACGATACTTGCAAAATGTTTATGCTCTCCGTTGTTTTGCAAAATAATATTATGACATAAAAAGTTCTGCTATAAGGGTAGACTGGGGTAGACTCAATTTTTTTTGTATAATGTTAAAGGGGGCAGACGAGCAGACGGGTCACCTGATGGAAAGTAACAATCGCCGCCCATGAACGTCTGCAACTCAGGAGTCACAAACGCATTGCCGGCCTTTTAGGAAGGAGTACACTCTTTTCTTGAAGGTTTGAAGGTCGTATCGGTCCGGAATTACCGCAGACGATAACCCGTTCCACAGATTGGTTGTGCGGGGCGAAAAGTTTCTCGAAAAGCGCACAGTAGATTTTTATATGCATGGATTATTTAATATCATAAAAAATACTTACTTTCAATCTTCTGTTGTTGAACAAACGTTACTTTGATTGTGGTATGATTATTTTGTCCTTGACATTTACAAATCATTACGGTGTTATGGTGCTGAGCTTGTAGCTTAGTACGGAAGCCGTAACCAAGGGTAGTGCGAGTCGTTTTAAGTTCTTTAAACATGTCTGAAAAAAGTACAAATAAATATATATAAATCACTGACGGATGGCGTAGTGGCTTATGTGCTGTGGGTTCAATCCCCACGTGGAACTACACTTTGTGTGATTCACAAATTGTTGTCCTAAGTCTGGGTGTTATTTGTGTCCGTTTCATGTATGTTTGTAAAGTCCCCCGCGACACAGGATTTATTCCTAGTGAGGGAGTTGTCTTTTAAAGAAAGAAAGAATAATAGATAGTTCCCTCTATCTCTTTCTAGCCGAGAAAAATCTATACTAATATTATAAAGCTGAAGAGTTTGTTTGTTTGTTTGAACGCGCTAATCTCAGGAACTACTGGTCCGATTTGAAAAAATCTTTTAGTGTTAGATAGCCCATTTATCGAGGAAGGTTATAGGCTATATATCATCAAGCTAAGAGCAATAAGAGCGGAGCACCAATGAAGAATGTTTCAAAAACGGAGAAAATTAATTACTATTGAGAGACGCAGATGAAGTTGCGCGGGTCAGCTAGTAAATAATAATACGCAAAGTAAATTCTTTGTATCTTATCACGATATCATATTTGAAATATTTATGGTTTAAATGTAGAAGAAGTGGAGAAAGTTAAAGGGGTCATCGTAAAGTGGGGCAAAGGAGCAGATTCATCACATGATGGTAAGTGACTACCGTCACATGACACTTAAGAGTTGCAAGTGCGTTGCCACCATTTCAATTCTCCCCTCTGGCAGACGAGCAGACGGATCACAATTTGATATTATAATAGCTATGTTACAAATTATTTTGACTGTTTTTTTTCGCTTTTCATGTGTTGATTGATGGTTCTTAAATGTATTAAATATATATATATATATATTAGGACATCTGACACACAACGCCATCTAGTTACAAACTAAGCAGAGCTTGTACTATGAAAGCTAAATTAACTGATAGAATACTTATATACTATTTTTTGTAAATACATACACATTATACATAGAAAACATCCAAACTTCGAAATAAGTATTTGCAGATCATACAAACATTAGTTGCGACCCGGGAATCGTACCCGAGACCTCAGAACAGCAGTCGCATACGCTACCACAACACCACCGAGGCATATTTAACTTGCATATTGAATATTTTATGTTAAATCCAATAATATAGAAAGTTAATTATTATTTAACAAAACAGAGATTGTTGCTACCGTGTGTATGTTGATCTTACAACTAGAATTATCTCTATCAGATCTACAGCACAGCTAGGTACTACAATGTCCATTACCCAATGTAGGTAATACTAAATAATAGTAATAATATTTATTAACGTCAAATGAGGTACCAATTTTATAATATAACAGGATTTTCTTAACTTAATTACACAGTATAGTCAGGCTCTGGTACCCACGGTAAGATTAAACTTGTGTTGTGGGTACCAGTCCCTCTCTCATCCAAAACTAACATTCATGAAGTATTCTCTATATTATAAAACATTTTCCGATATTCTTACTTGTGAGCATGCATGCATGTTTGAATGAGTTATAAGCGTGTGGTATGTTTTGGTGTGTGTTTGTGTGTGCGTGTGCGTGTGTGTGTTTTGTGTGTGCGTGTGTCCATAGAGATGTAAGTTAAAGTAGCACTTCCATTTGTTCATAGTCTTGTTCAAGTAACCAGTTAATTACCTCATACTAAATAATGGTATATCACCAGAAGGGATTACAGTATTAAGAATAAAGAAAAAATCAAAAATAGTTTGAAAAATCTTACATTCGCGGAAGTACATATATCTTATGGATGATCCAAAGGCAAGGAATTTGTCAATACACTTAAATTATTCTATGATTTATGCTTTCCTTTGAGAGAATTAAAAGTTAATATATTAAACCTAAATGGCTCTCGCGTGGAGTAGAACTGTGCAGTAAGAAAAAGAGAAAACTTTTATGGCAATTTAACTGAAACCTAACAGTGACTGCACGGATGGCGTAGTGGTTTAAGCGGTCGCCACGCCGCTTCCTACTGCGCCGAGTGTTGTGGGTTCAAACCCCACATGGGACGACACTTTGTGTGATCCACAAATTTTTTTTCTGATTCTGAATGTTATTTGTGACACAGGATATGTTCCTAACGAGGGCGTTGTCTTTAAAAAAAAAAAAAAGAAAAAATAAGACAATAAAAAGACATTTGTTAAGTATTCTAAATTATACAATAAAATTATTAAATCGACAAAAAAAAATCAAGGGCCACATCGCACATAATAAACCAAACGAAATACAATATTCCCAAGCAACAAATAGAAAAACTTAAAGTTAGGAATCAAATTATATGCAAGCCCTTGGATATCTCTAACGCTTTTAATAACTTCTTTGTAGACAAAATACATCCGAAAATAAATCTATATATATATACAAATAAATAAAATTGGAGTGTCTGTTTGTAATATTAAAACAACCGCTTTTTACTAAATGCATATGTATGTTTACACGGTACATATGCCAAAATAACATTTTTTACAATTTTTGTCTGTTTGTTCCGGGTAATCTCTGGAACGGCTGGACCGATTTCGACGGGACTTTCACTGGCAGATAGCTGATGACATAAGGAGTAACTTAGGCTTACTTAACTTTTTTTAGACTATCTTCGCCCCGTGGCGTTGCCCGCGGTTATAACAACAAACGCGGGTAACACCGCGGGTCTCAGCTAGTGCTAAATATAAACCATCGGCATGTACGTCTTACACAAAACAGAAATCAATGTTCATGGCACCCAGTATACCATACGATATACATAAGATAATAATGTCTCTAAGAAACACAAGTAGTGTGGGTTATGATGGGATAGCCACTAGCATATTGAAATCAGCGTCAACTGAGATATGCGCTCTCATAAGTCACATAATAATTCGACTGCACGGATGGCGTAGTGGTTTAAGCGGTCGCCACGCCGCTTTCTACTACGCCGAGTGTTGTGGGTTCAAACCCCACATGGGACGACACTTTGTGTGATCCACAAATTGTTGTTCTGAGTCTGGGTGTCCTTTGTGTCCGTTTCATGTATGTTTGTAAAGTCCCCCGCGACACAGGATTTATTCCTAATGCGGGCAGTCTTTTAAAAAAAAAAAATCTTAGTATTAGTACAGGTATTTATCCAGATGCTTTGAAAATATCTATTAATAAACGCTTCCTATGCTCCAATCACGATCGAAATCTTTGATCAACCAACAATATGCTTCTTCTATGCCCCCCTCACACCTCCAACTTCATCAACTCCTCCTTCTACGTCCAGTCAGTTCTTCTCTGGAATACCCTCCCTGCCGAAATCAGGATGTCAACAAACCGCCTTGAATTCAAGAAAAAAGTGCGCGATCTTATTCGGAATGACGGAACAGTCACAACGCTAGTACCCGACTGAGTATTTATATATTTTATTAAATTTATGTAGGTTTATGTATGCAGGTGTGTTTATATATTGTGTATGTTTCTGGACCTAAATTATGTCAAATTTAATACTTTATTTTGCACCTACTGCATCATATTTCTACATCACCTGAAGGTTGACTGGGAGAGAATGCCTAATGGCATTAATAAACCGTTATTTAAAAGGAGAATAATGAGTTTAAGGAAAATTCTAGACCTATTTCTCTCATACCGGTTATCTCAAAGGTTTTTGAGAGATATATCTCTCAAAAATAGTCATTCTGTAAGGGGGGAGTTGCAGGTGTCTATGGCCGGGGTAGTTATTTACCATCAGGTGACCCACCTGTTTGTTTGGAGTATTTATTCTTTTCTTTTTTTATGCCATAAGGGGGGCAAACGAGCAGACGGGTCACCTGATGGTAAGCAACTACCGCCGCCCATGGACACCTGCAACTCAAAAGTCACAAGTGCGTTGCCGCCCTTGGAGTCCCTCCCGCTCGAGTCAGCGGGAGGGGGGATTTGGGCTCCGGTAATCTCACTCACTCAGTGAAAGGCAACGAAATTAACACCGGTTTTCTTTTTATTCGGTGCAAATGTGTTCAGGTCAGGTTTTTTGTATAGTTGTAATACTTACTATCCAAATTTTCAGCATAATTGTATTGAAATTCAATTGTGTACGGAGGCACGGTATCTTCTTTAAGTATGTTACTCCCTAGGATACACGCCACCGTTACTTCATCACCATTTAAATAATTGTATACAGCATAACGGTCAACGTCTTCCTCTGTATAATCCATTCGCTCAGTTGGTAATATCATATTATTTACAAGAACTGTTTGAGGAGTCTCTGGAAAAAAGTCAATATTTAAACATCAATACCCATACCTTGCAATGGGGAGTGCTCGGATTGATTGTCATCATACCGGGCCGAACTTTCCTCCATCCTCAACGCGTCAAAATTGCCATCCCCATCACATAGATCATTAACCTTCCTTCCTGGAAAATCTCTTCGGATCTCTTGCTCCTCGGGGACTCAGGAGTCAGAAGCGTGTGGTGATTACACTTAAACCTCCCAAAAGCCAGCCCAGGCGCTCGACCCAGACCATGTTAATGCAAGTCCTCCCCGAATCGACGGCATGCCTAATCAGGTCCTATCCCATCCTATCCCCTATCGCAACAATCAATCTGCGACCAGACGTCCCCACTCTCTGTCGGCCCGCTGCCCCGTCGTTGAGTTACAAAAGCTTATGAGCGGAGTCACGTATCATCAGATGAACCGTTTGGTCATATTATGAAAGATAACTTTTATTTCGTTTATTTCGTTCGTTTATTTCGCTACGCATCACTAGATGGCATTTTATGTGAGTTAAAAGTCGGTGTTAATATATTCAATAGATGAGTAACCTCTAAAAGCTTCTGAGAATTTCGTGGTTAGTGGAATTACGTATAATATTGATGCAGTTTAAAAAAGTGGAGACAAGAACATATTTTTGTTCTAGTTAGAATCTATTGTACCCTTTATTATCCGTGTGGTGACGGTTTAAGAATATGGAGAGTCACAACCCCTATTCATCCCGTGGGTGTCGTAAGAGCCGGCTAAGAGAGCAAACTACACAGTACAACAGCACTGCAAAGAGAAGGAAAACTTAATACAAACACCCAACACATCTAGACATCGTGGTATAATAGGCCAAAACCTGCTTTCTAAGGAGAGGCTTATGTCCAGAAGATGACTATTCAAGGCAATTAATGTGATGTGATCATGTACTCTCTAGACTATCTCTAAGGATATTAAATAGTCCGCTGACGTCCGGTGAGTCCGGTTGTCCGGTTAGATAACCGGACTCACCGGACGTCACAGAAAACACGTAACACTTACCTAACAATCTTACATGCACATTAACATGACAAAATAATTCTGTGAAATTTTTTTTCTGTTCCTTGTCATACGTTACTGGTTTTATACCGATACCTTCATTTGTCAAAATCCTGCATTTCCAAAGACTCGACATTTTTTTGGTTGCTTTTATGCTCTAAAAAAAAAAAGAATTTTATATATATATATAATTATTTTTATATATTTGAAGGGCAAATATCTTCGTATTTAGGATTGACAACATCTGCCGAAGAATCGATGACCGTAGGGACGAATGAGCCCCAGAGCGGAGATCGTAAAGCAGCAGTCCATCTGGGACTGACAACCTGAAGATCTTATTTGGGCCGGATCGGATATGAAAGGTGGAGAACCTGATGCTCACTTTTTGTCCGGAAGAATGCAGACAGCTAACGATCTGAAGATTGATTATATTCTTTAGAGAGTTGATCCTGAATTAAAAATTGGTATTCAAAAAAATCGTATGTTTTTAGGTAAATACTAGCTGAACCGGCAAACGTTGTTTCAAAAAATGTATCAAAAAAAAATTAGGGGTATGAAAAATAGATGTTGGCCGATTCTCAGACCTACCCGATATGCACACAAAATTTTACGAAAATCGGTGGAGCCGTTTCGGAGGAGTTCAACCACGCACACCGTGACACGAGAATTTTATATATTAGATGGATGTTCTCATAAAAGTGACAAAAAAAAATCTTTACTTACAGTAACTGAATTTCTTGGTGATTTCTCTGGATTTTGAACAAAAACAGAGGTTGGGTCATCATTCTTAAAACATCTGAAAATGAGCAATGATATTATGTAAACTATTAACTCTTTCTAAAAACAATGTGCTGCAGGATATACAGTTACTGTAGTTTTCCCATTTAATTTTATTTTGTTTATTTTGAAAAGTGGGAGAGTAACAAGTGTGTGCCGAGCTGAGTCGTCCTCCTCCCTAGGATTAGGAAGCTGCAGTTTTCTTTTATGGTAGATGAGGAGACGGGTCACCTGAAGGAAAGTAACCATCGCCGCCCATGAACGTCTGCAACTCAGGAGTCACAAAAGCCTTGCCGACCTTTTAGGAAGGAGTACGCTCTTTTCTTGAAGGTTTAAAGGTCGTAATGATCCAAAAGTACCGCAGACGATAAACCGTTCCACAGACTGGTTACAGTTTCTTCATTCACTCGATGAAAAGTGATAAAAGAATTTCTTTAAACCGGTGTTCTAGCCTGGCCATTTGTGCCTAAGCAGCTATGAGAGCTACCTCGCACGAATATTTCGTTCATTCACGAATGCGCGTTCAGACATTCATTCTTTTGTCTCTCGTTCAAGTTTATGAATGATTTAAGAGTATACTTACTGGAAAGAGTTAATACCGGGAGAGTTATTTGGCTTGCGCCCCTCAAACGTTACACTGAGTTTTATGTAATCGTTTTCTAGTGCAATAGTCTCCCCTGGCTTCTCTTGAGTTTGTTTACATGATAAGGAATTGTCATTAAGTTCTTCTATACTAAATTGTACTTCTGAAACTATAATAATTAAGATTTGAAAAACCTCTCCCGTACCGTGTGGTGACGGATTAAGAATACAAAGTGACACCACCTCTATTCATCCCGTGGGTGTCGTACACCTTACGACACCCACGGCTAAACAATGTGGATTTGCAAATCAAGAGTCACAGAAACGTTGCTGGCTTTTGACGTAGAAGAGTAGGCTCCATCTTTAAACTCAATTTTATGCGTGCCGATCTACAACCGCCCGTTTCCAAGGGGTTAAGCCTCATGAGAAGGAAGGGTCAACAAGCTCACTGCCACTCTTTTTTAATTACAGCTAGATACAGTGGCATCTATACATACAAATAAATAAAATTGAAATGTCTGTTTGTAATGTCAAATTGATAGATTTTTTCATGCTTACACGGTTATTTGCACGATACCTATGCCTAAAAACCAGTTATTTGTCTGTCTGTCTGTTTGTTTAGGGCAATCTTCTTAACGGCTAGACCGAGTTTGATTTATTTATTTAGTATCCACACTTACTATTATCATTAAGGTAAATCCTAATGCGACAGATAATATTTTAATACCGGGTAGCTGTCTATATATGGAGTAATTTAGGCTATTTTTTCCTCTCAGAAAAACCCTTTAAAATCTTGCCCGGTCCGGGAATCGAACCCACTAAGGTATCACTTTTCAAATTCCACGCGAACAAAGTCGCGGGTACCAACTAGTCATTAAGTAAATCTTAACATTGTTTTGATGTGTGCCAGTATGTCAGTTATTAAGAAGTAAAAGATAAAAGCAATGAAGAGGAAACAAGATAAAAAAAGAAGAAATAGAATTGAAAGAGAAGTAAAACATAAAAATGAAAAAATAAAATAAAAAAACACACTAGTCCATACTACATTTCCACTAAGAAATAGCCTAGGCCAAATTAATCCCAAGCATTCTTGTCTTCTATGTAATCCACGATCGAGTAATTTGCCTTCTAACACAGCCTATGCTTCACTGTGGATTTAAATTTGTTTATACTGAAGTCTTGTATATTACTTCGGTTTTTATTATAAAATCAAACACATTGACCTCGAAATGGCTTCATACCATGTTTATTTATATTTCTGGTATTTAAAGCATGTACATCACTTCTTTTTAAAAAGCTATCCTTTGGTCTGAGAATAGAACCTTGTGGAACGCCCATTTCCACAACAGAACTCGGAGACTGTTCACCATTGATATTAACTTTCTGAATCCTATTACTTAGATATGAAGCAAGAAGTTCCAGTGCTTTAATTTGATACCATAGTGCTGTGATTGCCAGATAAGCGTTTCATGAACAACACAATCAAATGCTTTATAAAGTTCAGTCTGATAATACTGCAGGATAAAATGTGTTCAACAGATTGATTGTGAGCAAAAGTTTTTATTACATTAAAGTGCAGCAGAAGGTACCTACTTTATATAAAGGAAAACAGTTCCATATACTCGTATTTATAAAATGATTATTATACACTAAATCCTTTGTTTTACCATAATCTACATTTTTGTGTTTGTTTGAACGCGCTAACCTAAGGAACTACTGGTTTGAATTGAAAAAATCTGTCGGTGTTGGATAGCCCATTTATCGAGGAAGGCTATGGACCATATTTCTTCATGCTAGGACCAATAGAAGCCTAGCGTTAATGAAAAGTGTTGCAAAAACGGGGGCAAATTTATTCCCTTTGAGAGATCCACACGGGCCCGCTAATTATATCCGTATATCGGTTATTGTTTTTTTTTTTTATAAGGACTAATCCCACCCACACGCCCACCACTGTAACTCCTGTACACCAGGAGCCACAGCAGTGACCCACGAACACACCGAGTTATGACACTCGGGAAGTCCCAGGAAGAAATTAAACTGTCTTGGAACCCGCAACAAATTAATCAGAAGAAAATTGGAGGAGTTGGAAATACAGTAAATCCACTTCCCTCCTTAGCAAAGCGGGAGACAAAATGAAGTAAAATAGGCATACAACTATGTCCTTCCTCAGAAATCAAACTATCTCAATACCAAATTTCATCAAAATCGGTTCAGTGGTTATTGATTCTTCACCCCCCACCCTTTTCACTCGCTTAAAGGACTATTTCTGGGACAAAAAGTATAAAAACTATCCTATGTCCTTTCCCGTAACTCAAATTATCTCTTTACCAAATTTCATGTCTTCAAGGTTCAGCGGTTTAAACGTGGAGAGGTAACAGACATACAGACACACTTTTTCATTCATAATATTAGTATAGATAAACTTCCTTAAGCAATGAATCTATCATCAGAAAAGTAAATATTTGAAATCCAACCAATTGTTTTAGAGATGAACGCGTTCAAGTTCATACAGTAATGGACATACTAGATTTTAACAAGTAAAATCTGAGTCTCAATTTTCTTTCTTTATAAGCTTTTGTATTTTAATGAAAGTAGGTGTTTTTTTTTCATTTTTTTTAAACTAATATATTTCTCATTTAATATATCTCACACGCGGCCGTCTGATCCCAAACTAGGCAGAGCCTGTACTATGGTAACCAGACTACTGATAAACATATTTATATATTTTTAAATAGATACATATAATAGATAAAAACCACCCAGACACAGAGCAAATGACTATTTGTCCTGGGTGGGAATCGAACCCACGACCTCCGGTTTAGCAGTCAAGGTCACTAACCACTAGACCAACAGGCCTGTCCCCGTCCCGTCATTAATTTTATGACACTTTATGCTCAAATTTATGCTTCGACGGACTTAATGCCTAAGGCATTCTCTGCCAGATTGGGCGATGCAGAGAACGGATAAGCTAGGTGCATTTATGGGGAGCTAATAAACGATAGAGGCTTTATTAAATACCATAAATTTTGACCATAACTAACAAAGCTTACTTAGTCGTGATACTTTTCCTTATCAATGATTGAATGATTAATGTTATCATCATCATCGACAGCCTTTAACAATCCACTGCTGGACATAGGCCTCTCCTTAGAAAGGAGGTTTTAGCCTACTACACCACGCTGGCTAGACGGGTTGGTATAAGGTTTGTGTCAAGTTTTCCTTCTCTTTGCAGTGCTGTTGTCCTGCGTAGTTTTCTCCCTTTATGGGCTCTTACGACACCCACGGGATGAATGGAGTTGGGGACAGTCCGTATTGTTAATCCGTCACCACATGGACATGTTAAAACCATAAAGATAAACAATGTTAAAACCATACAAAATACAGATTTCTATTAATAAATAATACAGTGAGTTAAGCCTCGGAATTCTAAGGACTCTGCAACTCTAACAAAGAAAACATACCTGCGAAATTCCATATTATCCCACTAAATAAACAAATAACCAATAATATACTGCACATTTTGTCATTTCATGTAACTCACATTAAATGTTATAACAATATTAAAATTAAACACGAACAAACGCCTTCGTCCGGTTGAATGTCTCTACGTACTGTTTCATCAAAAACCTACACAAATAATTAATACAATATTATCCTGTAATATTCATACTGTTAGATAATTTATTTATTTGTAACTATATTTTATTAATAGACTTCTAATGGAGGTTCTCTAGTACAGTGTGTATTTCTTGTATGTTCGTTATCGATTTCTACGACGTTTGTGATGTTTTATATTGGGTTTTTTTGGACAACTTCCGCACTAGGAATATATCTTGTGTCGCGGGTGACTTTACACACATTTACGAAACGGCCTCAAAAAACACAGAGTCTGAACAACAATATGTGGAGAACACAGTGTTGTCACGTGCGGGAAGCGAACAGACAACACTAAACACAAAAAAACAAAAAAAAAAGGCCTGTGACCACAACCGTGACACAACCCGATCATTAATTCCCGTATAAACACGAGGATAATAAAACAGTAAAATAATCGGCATTAATATCCTTAAATGACTAAACAGTCACTTTAAAACGTCATTTAATATTTATCATTGGCGAAATTGTGGCAAGACTCCGCAATTCAACCATTTAAGCAATATCCCTTTTATTGCTGCACGGATGGCGTAGTGATTTAAGCGGTCGCCACGCCGCTATCTACTGCGTCAAGTGTTGTGGGTTCAAATCTCACATGGAACGACACTTTGTGTGATCCACAAATTGTTGTTCTGAGTCTGGGTGTTCTTTGTGTCCGTTTCATGTATGTTTGTAAAGTCCCCCGCGACACAGGATATATTCCTAATGCGGGAGTTGTCTTCTTTAAAAAAATAAAAATAAAAAAATAAAATTAATTTATTTATTTCTTTTCCGTCATTCGTCGTTTGTTTCAAGTTTTCCATCTCTTTGCAGTGCTGTTGTCCTGCGTAGTTTGCTCCCTAAGTCGGCTCTTACGACACCCACGGGATAAATAGGGGTGGTGACATTCCGTATTCTTAATCCGTCACCACACGGATTCCAATCCAGTAATTTGCATGTCTAAATATGGTAAACCAGTTTTGGCCCTGGCTCCGCGCGCGTATGTCGGTTTTCGCAGTGAAAAGTAGCCTATGTCTTTCCTCAAGAATTAAAGTATCTCCTTGCCAAATTATATTAAAATCGGTTCAGCGGTTTAGCGGTGAAAGTGTAACAGACAGAGAGAGTTACTTTTGCATGTATACAAATAAATAAAATTTAAGTGTTTGTTTGTAATGTTATTTGCACGGTACCAATGCCTAAAAACCAGTTTAAATATTTTTTGTCTGTCTGTCTGTCTGTTTGTTCCGGGTTATCTTCAAACAGCTAGACCAATTTTGATAATATTTTACTACCAAGTAGCTGTCAAGGAGTAACTTTTTCTCTCAGAAAAACCCTATAAAATTTTGAATGGTCCGGGAATCGAACCCACTAAGGCAGCGCTTTTCAAATTCCACGAAGTCGCGGGCACCAGCTAGTTTATAATATTATAGTGGAGACCACACCCCAGTCAGCATATACTGACGGCGGATGACGTCACAACCATGACTAGTGCTGTGACTAAGCTAAGTAGAATAAATGAATTACATTTTGTTATTTTGTTTGCTCTTACATAACATGGATTGTGTGTTTGTCATTACGTATCGCTATCCTATAATTAGGCTTGCCAGAGGAAAAAACACAATTCTAGATAAGATCAAAAGATAAGTAAAAAAAAACAGCGGCACTCCGCAACTGCCAACAGAATGAAAACTTGAAAATTTAAAAATTTGTCATTATAATAACACGATTTTTTTGCCTTTTTTTTCGATTCGAAAATTTCCGACATGAATATATATCTATGTTGTTCGTATATACACAATATATGTTCATATTATGTATAGTTATATTATCAATGTTTTATCTTATACTAAACTTTCGTGTAAACGGGCTTAATATATGTAGATACTTATATACAAAGGTGTCGGTAACGGTAACAGTGTCGCGAGTTCAATGGTTTTTCCCATCTCAAAAAATATATTCTTTTGTTTGTTGTTCAATAATGCCCAATGCGCCCGAAGAAGTTTTCGCTTCAAAAAACAAGTAAATAAAATATAGCTTTATTGATAGGAATAATCTATACAAATAAATAAAATTGGAGTGTCTGTTTGTAATATTAAAATACCCGTTTTCTACTAAATGCATATGTATGTTTACACGGTACATATGCCAAAATAACATTTCTTACAATTTTTGTCTGTCTGTCTGTCTATCTGTCTGTCTGTTTGTTCCGTATAATCTCTGGAACGGCTGGACCGATTTCGACGGGACTTTCACTGGCAGATAGCTGATGACATAAGGAGTAACTTAGGCTACTTTTTTTATAACAACAAACGCGGGTAACACCGCGGGTCTCAGCTAGTTTATAATATAAACATAACGATGTTGTACGTACAACATAGATATATATTAAACATTTTTTTTCCTGTTATATTAAAAATTTTCAAGTTTTCTTTTCTGTCAGCACTCCCTGCCATCAGCCCTCCATAACCAAAGTACTAGGCGATATTGAAGGTCTGTTGAAAGACTGTAGTCAGACTTTTTATGTCTCCAACTATTCGTAACGATTGCCACAGATGCTGGTGAGGCAACCGGAACCGATGGCTCAACGTGCTCTCAGATCAGATCTAATAAATAGTAGATGACTGGAAACCACGTATTTTTAAAGTAAAGAATACTTTTAGTGGTACTACTATTAAATCAAATCAAATAATTTATTTTGCGAACATGGGTATACATATTAAGGTGGTAATAAAGGTATAACAATGATCAGCCATATTCTACCTCAAGGCATGCAAAAAAAAATTAAGTTTTTACAATAATACATAATTAAAAAAAAAAAAATAGGTATGTTAAATTTGCGTAGTCAATTTACGATACAATAAATTTAAACAAACAAATTTCAGCAATTTCATGTCAAAACCATTATTTCCCTTTTTACAATTCTGTCATTCATAAAGTCAGTAACACTAAAATAACATTTCGCAACCAAGATATTCTTTAATATATTTTTAAATAAGTCAATTTTAATTTTTTTAATTTAGGATGGCAGTTTATTATAAATTTTTGGCGCAAAACATACCAAACTTTTACTCATCATCCTTGTTTTAGCACAACCTATTGTCCTTGCTAATAGGTTAGGATTTTTGTGTACGAAAGAAGCCACCTCTAGTATGTATAGTGACGGAAGCGTCAGGACGCCATACCGGACAAAATATGGCCTACAACTATCAGTCGATTGCAGACCAAACATGGCTCGAACGCAACTTTTCTGTTAAGTTACCCCAAAAAATGATGCCATATCGTAACATTGATTCCGATAGACCGTGATAGGCAGTAAGGACAGCATCATTATCAACAATTCCCGACAATTTGTACAGTGCGTATGTAGAACTACTGATTTTTTTGCATAGTTGAGCTACATGTTCTTTCCAATGTAACTGTCTATGCTTCTTTTAACGCATGATTATTGTGACTGATTGTAATCGGATTGTGCACCTTGGGTCTTCTTGGCATGACTTGTGTTTTATGAAGATTAATTTTAAGGTTATTCCGGGATTACCAATCAAAAATCGATGGCATACAGTCATTTATATCGTCCTGATAACTGTCAGGTGTTTTGGATTGTATAAAAACAGTACAATCATCGGCAAACAAGGACATTGGATGTCTCGTACAACAAACAAAACAAAAGTGGGCCTAAAACACTACCTTGAGGTACACCATGCTTACTTACCCGGCTTTCCGATAGGTAAGATTCTTCATACTTAGTACGAGTATTTATTTTTGAGATGCTTGTCATTTGTATACGATTATTTGCTAAGATATGATTTTAGTAAGCTTAAAACGTTGCCGCGTATTCCATACGATTCCAGTTTTGCTAGTAGTTTTTGGTGATCCAGATAATCAAAGGCCTGAGTCGTGTCGCAGTATATAGCGCAAGTAGGAACTCTTTTATCTACATTAGCAATGATTGTTTTATAGAAATCATATATGGCCAAGTCAATGATTTTATTTTTTCTAAAACCTTTTTGTTCTGGAAATAATTTATTAGACTCCAAATAAGAGTACAAATTATTATGAATGTATTTCTCAAAAACCTTGGACATAATAGGAATCAAAGTAATTGGCCCATGAGATTCCATCAACTCTTTGTCCTGTTTTTTAAGCAACAGTTTTATTATTGCCGTTTTTAGGTTATCAGGAAATATACCACTGCTGATACATAAATTTAATATAAAGCTCAAGTGGCCACAAATGTATGGACAAACTATTTTAATTATCTTAGTTGATATATTGTCAAACCCTACACTATTCGTAGATTTCAGTCCATGCATAATGTTTTGCATGCCACTTGATATGCTAGGAGTCATACAAATAGAATGCGTTGTAGTCAAAATTCATTTGTTGTTGTTTGTTATATCAAATCTCGGACAGCCATCACTAATAAATATTATCCTGTTTGAAACTCAAAATATTTTTCCTCAACGTCGCAAGTCACAGTGAAATAATATTTTTTATTTGTCTTTTTGTTTGTAGAATATATCAGTAACCGTTATCCGCAGTCTCTGGGAACAGCTCCGCTCCTTTGCGTAGTAGCGGGATGTTAAATAGCCTATCTTACTCCACGGTAAATATTCTATCCCATACAAAAGAATCATTGAAACTTGTTCGGTCGTGTCGGAGATTATAGCAGTAAGTATACAAACAAAATAATAAATAAAAATGGGTGTTTACAATTATTGTATTCTTTCTAAGGAGAGGCCTATGTCCAGCAGTGGACTTTTATAGGCTGTTGATGATGATGATGATGATGCAATTCACACACGGCAGAAGTGTTACTGCCGAATTTATTTATTTTTTATCTCAGAAAAACCCTTTAAAGTTTTGCCCGGCCCGGGCAATCGAAA